TTTTTTTTTGCTTAAAATAAAATTTTTATAAAATTAAAAAGATGTTACAAACGAAAAAAAAAACAAGAAATATTTAAAAACTAATTTTATAATAAGAAATTAAAAAGTTTTTTTAGTAAACAATTCAATTATTTTTGTTTAATCAAGAATATCTAAAAATACAGTAAATATTTAATTAAAGGAAAAATGGATAAATTGTTGCATTTTGATATTTAAAATTATTTAAATATTTGTGGTAAACTAAAGTTTGGGGGAGGGGGGGGGCTTTTTTCTTCCCAATCCTTATTTTGTACCGAATGATCAAAATTTCTTCCTTAAAGGGAATCGAGAGAAGTTGAGAATAACTTGTGGAAGAAAAAAAGGGGAACACCTAAACTTTAATTTACCCAAATTTTTATGCAGAATTAAAAATAACTGAAAGAATAACTAAATCTTTTGAAAGTTTTTATTGGATTTTTACTTTCTTAGCTAATTTTGTAGTAGAGAATATCTAAATCGATTATATTTGCGCGTGTTTTAGCGAATTTCAAGTGGATTTAGGTCAGTTATTTATATATTTACTAGTAAAATTTTTATTTTTAAATAAATATATTTATTTATGTAAATACTTTTTTAAACCTTTTTGTAATTAAAGGGAAGATTTTTTTTAAATTATTTAAATTTAAATTAAGTAATTCAATTAATTTAGTATTGAAAATTTTTAAATAAATACTTTAACTTTTATAGAAAATCAAAGAAATTACCTATATTATTTTTCCTTAAATCTTTCAAATCTTTCCTCGTTTCAATTCTTTTAATGTAATTTACACATAAATTCCCTCACTTTTTTATAACTCAAAAATGATGCTAGGGGAAGGATTTAATTATTTACAGCAGAGGTGGGTCGGAACAGTCAGAGGTGTCGGAAATCGGAACTGCCGGAAATCGGAAATGGCTCAAAAGTCGGAACTCGGAAATCGGAAATCAAAATTTTTTTTCGGAAATCGGAAATCGGAAGGAAAAAAACGCCGGAAATCGGAAGGCGGAAATCGGAAATAAAATTTTTATTTTCATAACTGAAATAATATTTAAAATTGTAAGGTGGCAAATTTTGGCCTTCTTGAGTGTAGTTTGAGTGAGTAAATGTTCTTTTTGCAACTCAAGAGTCAAATTCGAAGGGATTAAAAGAGATATTGTGGGATTTGTTTGATTAGACGGGATATCAGAGAATTTATAGATTTATATTTGGAGATTAAAATTGAGGACTGATAGAGGGATGAGATATAGAGATTTGATAAAAGAAAGTTAAGGACCCACTCCTGCTCGAAATACAGAGCTAAAGTTTTTAAGAGCCGCATAATGATCGAAGATATCACACCCAGATCCTATGACCCCTTGAAATCACACGATATAACTCAAAATCCACTTTAATCCACCTAATCCTCCGATATACCATTCAACTTCCATTTACAGCGCCGCAGGCGAAAATTTTGAGAATTTTGGAGGTTCTTAAGCCAGATTTCTTCCATTTTTTGCGCCGCAGGCGAAAATTTTGAGAATTATAGAAGGATAGAAGCCAGATTTCTTCCTTTTTCAGCGCCGCAGGCGAAAATTTTAAAAATTTTGGAAAAATTGTCAGTCGGAAATATGCCTTAAAAATTCTCGGAAATCGGAAATTTTCCCAAAATTTCGGAAATCGGAAATCGGAAGGAAAAAAACGTCGGAAATCGGAAGTCGGAAATCGGAATTCCGACCCACCTCTGATTTACAGGGAAAAACTATGAGTAAAATAAATTTAAAAAAAACTTTAAAACAAATTAAATTTGTATATATTTTTAATTTGAATTTTAACAAAAATTAAGATTTATTTACTATTTTTAAATGGTCAACAACTTTATTTATTTATGTTTTGTTTGTTTAAATGAGACTAATTTTTTTAATTATAAAAAAGGGAAAAAATATTTAATTTGTTTAGGAAGAAATTAAAAACAGGAATGACGTGCCTCCGTTGTTGTTAATAATTAAATAAATAAATTTATTTATTTATTAAAAACTTGATTTTTAATAAGAAAAATAAAAGAGAAATGTGTAAAAATTATTAAAAATTATTTTTTAAAAAATATACAGTATTTACTCAATTAATTTTACCCCCTTCTAGGAATTTTATATTTTTGTAGTCTGTAAATATTTGAAAATATTTTAATAATTTTTATTGGATTTTTTAAAAGAAATATTTACATACAATAAATAAACAAAATATAAAAGAATATTTGAAATAATAAAGAAAAAAAAACAAGGTCAAACGTAAAATAATTTTTTTATAAAAAATTTATTGGAAATAATTTTTGTAGAGAAAACAATTAATTACAAAAAATAGCTAATTAATTTAAAAAATATATTTTTAAATTTACATTTTAGGTTCTTCATCATCAAATTTTAATTTAAATAATTTAATTTTCTTTTCAATTTCTTCCAAATTAAATTTATATAAAATTTGTTCATTATTTTCTGTAATACAAGCAATTGCTATTTTATTTTTATTTTTTTCTTCTTCCATCCAAATTGTGTATGTTTCTGGACGAAGAAATAAACTTTAAATTAAAAAAATATTTTTTTAATTTTTAACAATTTCCTCTTCTAAAATAACCGTTTAATTCCATCTTTTACATAAACACATCCAAGACTTTCTATAATAGCCCGACCTTTTCTAATAATACATTGACGTTGTACTCTATAATTTGTTGTTGTTGTTGTTAATTGTTGTTGTTGTTTTTGATTATCTTCCCTTTTTATTTTATTTTTTAAATTTAAATACCAAAAAAACCAAACCATTTACAATTAACAACCCTTTCAATTCTTCCTTCAGAAACACAACCAACAGGCTTTAATAAATGCCTTTTTGGACGTATTTCACATTGAAAAACAGTTTCATTTAATTGAAAACGATCTCCATCAAATAAATTTTGATTTTTATGGAAACAACTAATTTTATTTAAATTAATTAATTAATTTATAAATTACCCAATACATGTTTTTTCACAATTTGAAGAATCAATTCTTTTTTTACAATAAAAAATAAAATCTCCTTCCTTAAAAATAAAATTTATTTTTTTCAAAAATAAAGAAAGAGTTTAGCAAGTTTGGCTAACGGGCAGAAAAAACTCACAACAAATCTACCAATGAGCTTTTAGTTAGTTTAACCTCCGCCTAAGCATTTTAAATGCTCCAGGTGAATCATCCTCACAATAATAAAAAAAATAAATAAAGTTTTGGACAATTTTAATTAAAAAAATTTTTCTTTCTTTTTTCTAACTAACCGTCCATTGTTTCCCAATTTTATATCTTTTTCCATCATCAGAAATACATTCAATAGCTACTAAATTTAATAATCCATATTCATTTTGTTGACATTCATAAACAGTTTTTCCTTCAATTTTTTGTTCCCCAACATTTATTATTTTTGTTTCATTAAAAACACAACTTTTTTGTCTCTTTTTTAAATAAATACCTTCCCAAGCACATTCCCACAAAAACTTTTAAAAAAATATTTTCAAAATTAAATTATTTCTCCATTTACCTCTCCATTTAACCAATTTTCTCCAACAAAAAAAGTTTTATTATTTTCTAAACATCCAACAGTTTTTATTTTAATTAAATTAGACCACAAAATACATTCAACAAGAAAATTTCCGTTAATAAATGTTTTATTTAAAGGAACTCTTTTTCTTAAAAATTATTTAAATTTAAAAATATTTGTTAAATAAACTCTGTTTCATCAATACATCCAGCTGGAACAAGTTTTCCACCAGAACATAAATACCAATATTTTCCTTAAAAAATATATTTAAATAATTTTATTTTTTTTTATTTCTTTAAAAAAATACTCAGTTATCGAGATTTCCCCATTTCCATGTCCCTCTAATCCCCTACTACCTCTATCCACAATTTCCCCTTCATTTATCCAACGTTCATTTTGTCCATTAGAATTACTCCAACAACGAGAAGAAATAAAATCTAAATCTTTTTCTTCTATTTTTTCTTCTAATAATTCTTCTTTAAATAAATCCTCCTCCTCTTCTTTTGCAAATAATAAATTATTATTAAATAAAATTAAATTAATTAAGAATATTAAATAGTACATTTTTTAAAAATTGTTAACAAAATATACTAAATTCTTTCATTCATTATTTTATATTTAAATATACACAATAATTGTTCCACTTTTCCAAATAATTTATTTAAACAATTTTTATTGTTTATTTATTTTGTTGCCTTTGTTTGTTATTATTATTTTTATAAGTTTTACTTAACATTAAATTTTGTTGTTAACAAAGTAAGAAAATTAATTTAATTAATTAATTGTAAATATTAATGGAAAATAATTTGTCAAAAAACAAATTAATTATTAAACAAAAATAAACAAACAAGAACAGGCAAATAGTCACAATTTAACCACAAAATTCAAATTAGTGCAGAGCCTTGACAAGGGGTTTTTTCAGGGTCAAGTGAAAGAACCTGGTATTTTTGACAATACTAGTTTAGCAAAAGATGGGACAGAGCTCGGGAATTAGAAGAGATTGAACTCTTTATATTTAGTAATATAATATATTATTTATATTCTAATTTCAAGGGCAATAAATAATTATTTCTGATTTTTAACATTGCTGGTTTTCTTGTTTTTAAGTTGTCTTAAAAGTCTTTTATTGATAACTTTTATGCTTAGGTCAAGATTGGCTAATTTAAAAATCATCTGACACATGAATCTTCTACATAGATGTAAAAATTTTGGACAAAAAATAAAGAAATTCTTGAGCTAAAGTTGAATTACGGTAATGTTTTTTGTTCATATTTAAAATTTAATTAGTTAATTTAAGATTGGCTAAAGGTTTTAAATAAAGGATAAACTGTCATTTATTTTGTTTTTCTCTGTCGCTCTCATTTTTATATGAAATTTCTTTTTTATAATTTTCAATTTTTTGCAATTAATTTTGTCGAAAAATTTTTAAGGAAATGATTTTTTAATGGCAAATGCTGAAGAAAATTTTGAAGATGGAGGGGGAGAAAGTGTAACAGTTACAATTGCTTTGGATTTGCCAGAATCTGAAAATATTAAAAATACACGGAATGAAATTTTTGTTGATAATATTGAGGTTTTCTTTTTAATTTAAATATAATTTTTAAAATTAAAATTTAAGGTTGATGATGAATTTTTGAATTTTCTTTCAATCCCTTTACCAATTTCTCCTTCAGAATTACTTTCTAATTTTAAACAAAAAAATTCTTTATTTTCTTCTATTTTAATTAAAGATATTTCTTTTGAATTAAAAAATATTTTGGAAATTCGGTTAAGTACTTCCTCATGTGGTTCTATGCGAAATTGGGAATTTTTAGCTGCATGTATGGGTTTAAGTATTGATGAAATTGTTGGAATGAGAAAAAATGAAAGTAAAATTATTTTTTAAATTAAAAAAATTCCAAGACAAAATTATTTATTTTTTATAAATTCTTTTATTTTTCAGATCCAATAAATATTTTACTTCAAAAATTTTCTAATGAGTATTTTCTTAAATTATTGGAGCTTATTGGGCAATCTGGCCGTGTTGATGTTTTACTTGCTTTAGAACCATTTATTGGAAAAATTTCAAACGAAAGGTTTTCTTTTAATATTTTTTAAAATAATTTATTTAGAAAATTAAATAAAAATATCCATCACCACCAACAACAAATAAATTCCCCTATCAATTTGAGGGATTCTTCTCTTTTAACTTTTTCATCAGATATACAAAGGCAAAATTCTTTAATTTTAGAAGGCCCATTTATTTTTATTTTGCATCACGAAAATAAAAATAATAAAGATTTGAGGCGTTTACATAAAATGTTTATTAAAAATTTGGAAAGATGTGCTGCAGCTGCAGAACGAGGAAAAAAGGTTTTTTAATTTTAACTTCTTTGGTATTTATCCCTTACTACCTACCCTCTAATTATTTTTAACTTTGAATGATTTTATTGATAGAGAGCTTTAATTATTCCTCTACTCACTCACTCAGCACATTGAGTCGTGTCGAATAAATTATTAGTATTTTGACTGATACTTTTTTAAATATATTTTGGGGGTGTAAAGGATAAATACTAATTCATTTAAATCTTTTAAAGATTTTGGATGTTGATAATTGTTTTTCTGGGGAAGATTTATTTGGTTCTATTCAAAAATATTTTGAAAATGCTTCACAAATTCTTTTGGCATTATCAAGTGATTATTCAGAAATAATTTGTTCAGATAATGAACAAATACAAGAATTAGACCAAAAAATACAATTAAAACGTTCTTTGCATCAAATGACTTTTCAAGAAGTTTTCATTTAATTTAAAAAATTTTTTTTTATTTTTTTAGGTTCTTTATAATAGAGGAGAGAATAAACGTTTTCGAGTACTTTTGATGCGTGGAACAGGACCAGAACATATTCCACGTGGATGGCCTAGTAATACTTTGGTAAAATTTTATATTTTTCGTCGGCTAAAAAATTATTTCAATTTTTAGCATTATCGTTTTCCGGAAGACTTCTCTGAATTGTGCGCTCGTCTACTTGAAGGAGAAGGAGACAAATTAATTTCAAATGAATAAAATTTTAATTATAGCAAAATTGCTCAAAATTTATTTGTAAATATTTATGTACATTTAAATAAAATTAAAAAAAATAAAAGTGAAGAAAATAAGGCAGGCTAAACGTGAAAGTAAAAGAAACAATAATTAGGAATAAAATATGAACAACGGAAAACTATTCATTAAATTACAAATGGTATGTTTGATATTTAGTCCTTGCAGAAGTGAAATTAAAAAATAAATGAATTGAGAAAGCCAACATATTAATTCTAAATTAGAGACCGAAGACGAGGATCTTGAACAAAAAAATTCTTTGAGATTTCTATTCTTGTACGGCACTCCCAAATTCGGTCTCTAATTCTAATATTATGCCATAAATAAGAAATATAAAATCCAAACTTAATTTCCATTTAATTCAAAAATTGCTTCTAATGAAGATTTTAATCCAACAATACTTCCAAACAAGCCAATCGAAACAAAGAAAAAATTTAAAGCAAATCGTTTAAAGATGCTAATTAAATTCCTTTTATTATTTTCTTCATAATATTCAGTTAATCCAATTGAAAGAAAAGTAAATGTGTCAATAATGGGAGGAAAAATAAAAGCAAGGAAAACACCTCCACTAAAACCAACAAGCGGCTGAAATTTAGAGAAAACTTTAAAATTACTCAAAATTTTAATTTTATTCCTTACCATGATATGCTCAAGATGAGGTATAAAAATTGAAATTAACACTAAAATTAATTAAAAATAATACAAAAAAATTAATTTAATAATTACTAGTTAAAGCTACAAGACTTGCACGGAATGTATATTCTCCAACTGTCAATATTTTTGAGGAAGGAAATAAATTAGATAAATATTTATTTAATGGGGGCCATAACATTTGGATTGTAACATATTGTTGAAGTAAAAAATCGAGAAAAGAAATTATTGTAAAAACAATTTTTACAAAAGTAAGTAAAGATGTTGGAGGAAGATTTAACGTTACAGATCCTTGAATTTCATCACCAAATTTAGAATAACCAAGAAATCCAACAGCCGAATCAAAAATTTCTGTTAAAGCCATTCCTGTAGACAAAACACCAAAAGGACCCAACATTTCTGAAGGATGTTTCATTTTATTTTCCATAGGTAATACTAATGCTTGTCCTTCAAAACAGTAAAGAATAGAACCACAAGCTGTGAATACACCTGATGGAGAACCAATCCAAGGAAGTTGAGATGTTTTGTGTGGAGATTGAAGTAAATGCTAAAAATTCAAATGGTTTTGGCTAAAAAATGTCAGGGTGACGAGACTATAGTAGAGAAAGAATTCTCAGAATGTCTACATAAACCCGTAATCAGGAAAAGATTTCATCTCCCTTCCCCACAAAATTTAATGCTCAATCAAACTCAGAGAATTTCCAAAACCCCCGAAAACTAACATAAAATATAATTCCATAAGCTCCAAACATAAAAACATTCCCAACTGTATTTAAAATTGCAATTCTTTGTAATGTTCGCGTAAAATTAACTAAAACCATTGGAGGAAATATTATCAAAGCCCAAGCAAGTGCAGATGCATGGAAATTTGTAAATTGGCCGAATAACTAAATAAAATAAAAATTTAAAAACAAAAATATTCCTTAAAAACACCTCACGTAAATGTACAACAATAAAATCATATTTAATACACCCAATACCCATTAATAAAAGAATTATTGTCCCATTAACAAAAAATCTTTAAATAAAAAATTATTTATTTTTTCTTTCTTTCAAACTTTGCTGGTTTTGCCCATTTTTTACTCCATTCAAATCCACTTTCCATTAAAGCCGCTTCCATTACTTCTCCATAATTCATTGGTTCATTATTTTCATTTAAATATTTTTCCTTTTTATTTTTAAAAATTCTTTCCCCATTTTCTATTTCAACATTTAAATTTTCTTCTTTTTGTTTTTCATTTTTTCTTTTAGACAAATAATGTGCACTTTTAACTAATAATGTCATCGTTAATGTATTTAAAAATCCAAAAATAAAAACTAAAAAAAATCCAGTCCAAAGCCCTGCCTGTTTAAAAACTATAGGCAAAGTTAAAATACCAGAACCAATCATTCCTTTCATAAAATTAATTAAAGTTAAATGAGAACTTGAAAAAAAATAAGAATTTTTTAAAAACAAATTTTATTTTTTAGACTCACGAAAGTCCATCCTTACGGCTTCCCATAATTTTATTTTTTTGAATATTTTCATTATAATTATTCTCTTCATTTATTAATGTCATTTTGTTGTAAAATAAGTATATTAATTTATTAAATTACATAATTTAACTAAAAATATTTTTTAAATAATTTATTTTTACAAAAAATATATTTATTCTAAGGTATATTTAGATATCAAAAATTTATGAATTTTTTGTGGGGTTTCCTTCTCCTCCTTTTTTACATTTTTCAACATTTATTCCTATGTATGATTCTCAGTTACATATATATATTTATTAAATATGTATATCCATTATTTTAGGGTTAGAAAAACAATTTTTTTTTGAAAATATTATAAAATATTTAAAAATATTCTAAAAACTATAAATTTTTTGAATATATTTATAGTATACGCTTATATTTACCACACCTCAGTACAAACCATTAATTTATTAAAATTTTATTTTTACTCTCATATGTATAGTAAATTATTTCAATTAATTTAAATATACAGATTATTATAATTTTTATATTTTTTTTGTCGTATTGTGTTGTTGAATTTTTATTTTTATTTTGACCTTCGCGTCATTCTTTTGACGTAAATAAATAAATAAATAAATAAATATTTTCATAAAAAATGTACATAAATATAATCGTCATTTCAATACACTAATTTATTTTGGGAATATTTAGAAATATGTAATTAGGTAAATGAAAAAGATAAAATTAAAAGAGTCCAACCGCGTGCTTGTTTTATTTCTGTTTGTTTAAATATCCAAAGTTCATTTTAATGATTTATGTACAAAAAAATTACTTAAATCAATTAATATTATTAAATTTAATACCTAAAATTTAAAAAAAGTTTAAATAAAAGAAAATTCATTTTAGTTTTTTCTCAATTAAAAAAGGGGTATTTACATTGGAACTAATATTCTTAACTTTACCAATTTTTCTTCACAAAAATGTTAAAAATTATTTTATTTTTCTTTCTCTTCATCTCTCCTAACTATTTTCTTTTTTTATTTCTTTTTTTAGTTAATTTAGGGTCTAAATTGATTTAGCTGTCTGGTATTCCCATCTGGTACTTCCCCCTTCTACCAAATGGAAAAAGAAAGACAAAATTAATAAAAAAAACAGCAAAAGAGAGGAAATTTTAAAATAAAAATATTTTTTTTGTTGGATTGACTTTTTATTATTTATTTAAAAATTCCATTTATCATCTTTGTTTGATAATAAAAAATTGTTTTTCTTAGTTAAATGCATTTTATTTTTGTTTATCAAAATTTTAAATAACAGAAAAAAAGTTAAAATTAATGTTTTTTTGAAAGATTTTAGAGAAAGTGATTGATTTTACCATGAATAAAGCTAAAATAAATTTAAAAATATGGATGGAATAAAATTGAAAAAAAAACAACAGAAAATGCAAAATTTAGATATTAAAATTGCCTCAATCTTTTTTTTTTTGTTAAAAATTAAAATTATTAGAGATAACCAAAAATTCTTAAATATAGTTTTAAATATTCAAAAAAAATTTTAAGGCCAGAAAAATTTTCTTTTTAAATTTAAATTTAATAACGATCACGTGTTCGTTTTCCCCAAATACTTGCAACAGAAAGCCCAACAGTTGGTTTTGCTATTGTACAAATTGGAGAATGATCAATTAATGTTGGATGTAAACGTTCTCTCAAAAGTTCAACTCCCTCATTTGTTATACATCCAAATATATTTAATATCTTTTTTTAAATAAATAAATTTAAAAAAAGATTAAATAAAAAAACCTCCAAATTTTGTAATGACACAAAAGCCATTGGTTCAATTGCATAACAACGAGACAAAGTTAATCGTTTCAAATTTCGAAGTCCAGAAGAAATAGCTTCTAATGCCCGTTCAGTTATTAATTCATTATCGCTTAAATCTAATTCCTCCAAACGTGGGCAAGATAAACAGAGAAGTTTAACATCTAAAATTATTTTAAAATGTTTAAAAATAAGAATTTCCAAAAACTATTGGGGAAGAGACTCAAATAGGGGGAGGGGGGATACTAATCTGGATAAAGAAACAACTTTTAGAAGAAAAGTTCCCCACCTAATTTTTGGGTTTTCTGCCCCTTTTTTACACAAAAAATAAATTTATTTAAAAAAGTTTACTTCCGTCATTTAATTCTTCATTTGACCTAAAACCAGATAAATTAAGCCTAATCATTGAAGGAGGTGCCAATTTACAAATTAAAGTTATTGCTCCATTTCCAACATTTGCCCAACCAAAATTAACTTCTTCCAAACTAAAAAACAAAATTAAAAAAATTAATTTAAATTAAAAAAACCTTCTACAATTTGATAAAATATTGTAAATTCCAGTTTCACTTAAACTATTAACATAAACTAAATCCAAAAATCGAAGATCCAAATTTTTCCCAATTTCATTACAAATAGCATCATTCAAAATTGAACAACTTTCCAAACTCAAAGCTTCTAAATTCCGACAACGTTCAAAAATTCGTAACAAAATTTCAGAATTTTCATAAGTTGCATGGCTAAGATCTAAATGTGTAAGTTTTGTTAATTCAATATTTTGAATGTTAATTTCGTAGGAAGAAATAAATTGTGGAGATTCTGTCAACTTTAAAAGAAATTAATTTTAATAAATATTTATTTAAAAAAAACCTCTGCCTCTGTTAAACGTAAAATTTCCATTTTACGATCAAGTAAAGAATGTAAAGATAATTCATCAATTAGCCTTTTACTTAAATTCATAAATTTCCAAAAATGAGGATTTTTACTAAAAAATAAATAATAAAAAAATTCTTTTAATTTACCCCAATTGACTAAAAACTCGACATGTTCTCATAATTCTAACCAAATCATGTTTATTTAAATGCTTAAAAATTTGTAAAAGCAAAAAGTCAGGCAATTTGCTAAAATAATCTTTAAATAAAATTTTTTTAATAAAAACTAAATTAAAATCCAAACCAACAGCCATTCTGACAGAAGAACTACGTCTTGTAAATCGATTAGAGCCAGAACAAGGTGTTCTATAAAAAACATTAATGTCCGGCCTAGCACGCAATACCATTGAAATGTCTTGAAATGAAATTGAAAAATTATCAGAATTAAAAGAGGCATCCATATCTCCCTAAAAAAATTTTCTTTTAATTAATCCAAATATTATTTACTCTAAATTCCACAGATTCATTGCAATTTGTTAAATCATTTGACATATTACAATCATTGCTAGTACAGTTATCTTCTTTAATATTATTTGGTAGATCCATTTATGTATTATTTCTGTAAAATTTACAATTTAATTTAGTAATTATTTTTAAAGTTAATTAGCTTTGTCTGATTAATAACCTTAAAAATTTAATCATTAAAAACGCGCTTAAATATTATGCCAAAGGGTACGGCCCACCGGTAGGGGATCATTGTGTACCGCCGTTTGTGTACGGCCGGTTGTGTACCGCCGTTTGTGTACCTGGCCGTTTGTGTACCGGCCGTTTGTGTACCGCCGGTTGTGTACCCACCCAAAGGGGACGTTTGTGTACCCGCATTATTTTTGGGATTAGGAGGGATTAAAGAGGATATAGTTTCATTTAGAATAATTAAGGGGGAGATTCTGGTGTGATATTGAGTAATCCAGAATTCAAGGGAACAAGTTAAAGACCCTGAAAAGCAAAAAAGGGGTCAAATTCAATTTTGGGTAAAAAAATTTTTGATAGCTCATTCGAAAGGGATCGACGAGATGAGTTGAATAACACCAAAATCAGCTTGATTGAATGATTCTGAACAAAGTTATGACCAACAGAATCTTCACTGGAAAAACTTTTTGTGCCGCTACTGAGGGTAGGGTCGCTATCTAAATTACTAACGTAAAAAACTATTACCTAATTTCCGGACTACGGCGGAATTTACCCTTATACGGGAAAAAATCAAATGTGAAAAAATAAAAAAATATTCTATAAAAATTTTATCAAAAAAAATTTAAAAAAACCATTGTCTTGTCTCGCTTCACTTATTAAATTTGTGGCCCTAAGGAGGGCCGTTTGGGTTTTTCTTTGTCGTCGACGTTCTTCTAGTTTCATCACCTTCGTTCCTCCGGAGATTGCGCACTTGAAAATCGCCAGTCAGAAACTGACGGCGATCAACTAAAAAATTTTAAAGAATAAAAGCTTAAAAAATAAAATAAAAATTCCAAACCTTATCAAATTTTCCATCGTTGCAGCCGTGGGACGATGAAGTCAACACGTGACGAGCAAAGTTTAGGCCAACCTGCAAAATAAAATCTAAAATTAAAAAATAAAAATTAAACTTTTACCTACACAAGATTCTCGTCCTCCCTCTCGTCCTTCTTGAGAAAATTCAGTGCCAGGATGGACTTGTGTGGGTTATCGGTCAACTAATTTTAGCAGAACTAGTTGAAAACCCTAAAAGAAAAACAAAAAATTTAAAAAAAAACAATAAAAAAACTAAAAAAATAATGCGGGTACACAAACGTCCCCCTTTGGGTGGGTACACAACCGGCGGTACACAAACGGCGGTACACAACCGGCCGTACACAAACGGCGGTACACAAACGGCGGTACACAATGATCCTGTTCCCCGGCCCACTGGGTAGGGGACGATTCAGTATCGCCAATTCAGTATCGCCGATTCAGTATTGGCCGATTCAGTATTTGGGCTTTTTGGCCATAACTTTTTGCTCGATCAATACTGTAGAAATTATTATATATGATTTGATAGGTCTCGGGGTGCTGCATCTTTTTCATAATTGGACTGTCTTGATCTTATCACTCTACAAAAAGTTATCACTGATAAACGACGTCACAGGCATAAAAAATCGGTTTTCACATTGTAACTTTTTTTGTGGACATCAGATCAGATCGGGCCAATTATGAAAAAGATGTCGAATCTCAAGACATTTCGAATGATATGAGAATTATTCAAATCAGTCGAATATCAGGAAAGTTATGGCCATATACGGCGGATACTGAATCGGCGGATACTGAATCGGCTATACTGAATCGGCGATACTGAATCGTCCTTAACCGCGGCCCACTATGGCGCGGGGCACTATGGCGCAAGCCAAAAATTTTAACAAAAGAATTTTTATTTGTTGGTTAATTTATTTATTGTTAGTATTTTTTGACAGATTTTTATTTTATTGTCTAACAAGAAAATTTTTCAAAAATGGCAGCGGTAATAAATCAACATCCTTCTGTTACAACAAGCAGTCTTGGAGAAAATGCAAGATTAGGTATTTTTTTGTATAATATATTAAAAGATTTATTTTTTTAAAAGAATTATTACAAAAAGTTGAAGGCCAACTTGGAGGCCGGATAACTGGAATTAATTTATGTACAAAGGATGATGCTATTTTGACAACAAATGAGGACCGTACACTTCGAGTTTTGCTTAAACGTGATTCTGGGCAATATTGGCCATCAATTATTCAGGACCTTCCACACATTCCTACAAAATTATATTTCGTTGAAGCAAAAAATCTGTTTGAAATTTTATTTGAATTTTTTTTATTTTTAAATTTTTAGTATTTTTGTTGGATTGGTTAATGGACTTGTACATGAATATTCTGTTGAAAATGATTTTAATAGGTTTTTTCCACAATTAAATTATGTTTTTATAAATTTTAAGTATTTCATTTAAACGTGTTTGGCCTTCACATACAAGCTCAGTGACTGGAATTGCTCTTTCCAATAAACTTGCCTTCATTGTAAGTTGTTCCAGAGATAAGACTGTTGTTTGGCATTCAACTACTTCTACAAATAAAATTGGTTTAGTAATTTTAATTATGTTATGATTTTATAAAAATATTGTTTTCCAAATACATTTTGCTTATTTTATTATTTTTATATTTTAATTTAGTTTATGACAAAAACATATATTCAAACATTTTTATATTATTCCTAAATTCAAAAATAGAATACTTACAATTAAACTTCTTATCTTTTATCCATTTAATTTAAAAGGTAGCTATTGTGCTCAATCTCCATGTACTACCATGGAATTTGATGAGGATTCTTCTTTTGTCTTTGTTGGCGATTATTCTAGTAATGTTTATATTTTGCGTTTAAGTGAAGGAAGTCCAATAGCACAATTAATTAGCAAATTAAGTGCTCATACAGGTTAAATTTTCTTTTATTTTTGAAAATATTTCTGACTTTTAAAGGTGCAATTACTGCATTGGCTTGGTATGTAAAATTTAAATATCTGAAATAGTTGTTAATTTTCATATCAACAAGATAAAAAATGGTTTTAGGGTTAAAATTTAATTTTTAACTTTTTAAATTGATACAAAAGTTATTTTTGCGTATAATTAACCTTAAAAGTCATTGCTTTTTAATTTAAAAATATAAATTTGAGGGATTCAATCAATCAGTTACTTTATTCTGCAAGTGCTGACTCTCTTGTAATTGTTTGGGATATTGGTGGTAAGCGTGGAAATTGTTATGAATTAAGGTTTGAAGAGTTTGTTAAAAATATTTGAATAATTTTTGGAAATTTTTTAAAATTTATTTTTAAGTGGCCACAATACAAAATTGACCTCTTTGGCACTAGGAACTAAGTCTCGTCGCTTATTTTCTGCTGATGAAAGTGGCCGTCTAATCTGTTGGGATATGCGAGCAAAACGTATTATGGCACCTGCATGGCGAGATACTGACCATTGTGAGATTTGTGACTCTCCTTTTTTCTGGAATTTCAAAGTTATGTGGGACAGAAAGGTATTTAAGTATATAAAATTATTTTTAAAGAACATTTTTATAATTAAGATAGTAGGAGTACGTCGACATCATTGTAGAACTTGTGGGCAATCTGTTTGTTCAAGTATTTTTTTTTATTTTTCAAAAATAAATCAAACATATATTTACTAGATTGTTGTAACAATACGACTATATTTCCTGCTATGGGATTTGAGAAACCTGCAAGAATATGCAAAACTTGTAATGGAAAAATGCAGAGTTATCCCGATCAATTTGAGTATATTTTTAGGTTTTGTTTAAACATTTTTAAAAATTTTCTAAAGCTTAACGCCGTTGGCCGTGACAAATGATTTGCGACAAGGAATTGCTCAAATGACATTAGATGAGCAACAAAAGAAATTAGTCTCTGCTGGATTTGACCGAGTTATAATGATTTGGGACGTAAGTAATATGCTCTCTAATTAAAGAAAGAAAAATGTGATTTTAATATACATATATTTAAATAAAAAATATTTTAAAGAAATTATTTATATTTTAAGCAATAAAAATAACCACAAATATTTTTTGAGTAAAAACTTTTTTTTTGAATTTATCAAAAATATTTAAAATAATATGGTTAAATTTATTTATATTAAAACATATATTTACATTCTGCTAATTGTTCTCCAAAAAATTTTTTGTGGATGGATTTTAAGAAAAAATGTGGCTGGAATATGTCGTGAGGGGAATATTAAATATTAAAGCTCGAATCAAGTTTAAATTAATTTTCTTTCAAAATATTAAAAAAAATAAATGGGAATCGATTCGAGCCAATATAAAAATGCGACTTTTTTAAGGTGATGGAACTTTAAAAACAAGCTGCTTTTAAAATCCTTTTTAATTTTTAAATCTAAAAAATTTCATCAAAAATTAAAGGCAGCGGTAAAGTGGATTAAAAGGCTTGAGGCGACGATAGAGGTTTTTATTGTTTCTCGTTACAAATCAAAAACATTTTTAAATCCAAATAAAAACCTCTATAGCTAATAAAAAAGGGTAGACTAAATTTAATTGAATAATTATCTTGAAGAGATTTGACTTGAATTTTACGAACCGTTTAATTATTTTTGTAAATTACTTTTTAACAAGCACATTGAGAATTTGGCTCTTCTTGTATGTCAGAGAGTGTGAACGATTGACTTCGCATTAACCCACACTTAATTCCATCCCATCCTTCAATTATACGAATCGCTCCTGTCTCAAATCGAGTATTTATTTCACGTGCAATAAGTGCAAATGCATCCTTATAATTAAAAATGAATGAGAATTAAACTAAAAGTACAACAACAACAACTTACATTCACATTAGCGCCTGTGATTGCAGATGTCTCAATGAACTTCATTCCCTTATGTTTAGCAAAATATTCACCTTCCTCAAAAAGAACTTCCCTTTGTTCTTCTAAATCAGCCTTGTGTCCAACGAGCAAAAAGACAGTTTTTGAAGGATCTGGGCCTCCTAGATGCGCTTCTGCTTCAGCAATCCAATCGGGTAAACTGTCAAATGTGTGACGCTTTGTGATGTCATAAACGATGATAATGCCCACAGTATTTCGATAATACGATCTTTGAAGAAATGAAAAAATGATAAGAAAAGCAATTTTTTATAAATACGTACCTTGTAATAGATCGAAATTTTTCCTGCCCAGCAGTATCCCTTAAAGTTGGTAAATTAATTAAATTTTTAAAAAATTAATAATTTACCATAGTTGAAGCTTTATTCGATAATTTGGTTTGATTTCTACCAAACGAAAGTTGAAATCTACTCCAACGGTTGGTTCATTACTTTCGGCATTTTTTCCTTCTGTAAAGTAACGAAGAAGAGAGCTTTTCCCAACTGTAGAATCCCCAACGACAATAATTCGGTATTGATAATGATACATAGTAAGAATTAAATAAAATTTTGCTGAAAGTTTGAATTTCACGTGTTAGTATAAAACAAAAAAGCACAAGACCAGTTGAGCCACCTAGGCGCATTAATTCTTTTTGCCGTATAAAATCTTTTGGGATTCTGCTATTTTTGTGCTAAATTTATTACATAATGTAAAAAATTTTAAAAAGTCAAGGCGGCGAAATGTAAATATTTTTATAATTGTTTATCAATGAAATCATTTTTAAAGCTTTTTTATCAGTAACTGGACCACAATCTACATTTTTTAAATACATAATTCTCACTTTTTACAAATATTTTTTCTAGATTTTTTCTAAATATTTGGTAGTTAACGGATTAATATGTCCTTAAAAGATCGTGCTTCAAGTCAACTCGTTGATTACGGCAAACAGATGAAGGATGAAAACAACATTCTCACCATGTCTAGTGGTGCTCCGATCTTCAACAAAAATGCTGTATTGACTGTTGGACAGAGAGGCCCATTATTAATGCAGGATGTTGTTTATATGGATGAAATGGTTTTTATTTAATAAAAAAATATTATGAAATTATTTTAGGCTCATTTTGATCGAGAGCGCATTCCCGAACGAGTGGTTCATGCAAAGGGGGCCGGTGCTCATGGATATTTTGAAACAACTCATGATATTAGTAAATATTGTAAGGCTGCTATTTTTAATCAAATTGGAAAGCGAACACCTCTTTTTATTAGATTCTCAAGCGTCGGTAATTTTTTTATTATTAATATCTTTAAATATAAAATTATATTAAGGTGGGGAAAGAGGAAGTGCTGACACTGTTCGAGATCCGAGAGGATTTGCAATTAAATTTTATACTGAAGAAGGGAATTGGGATTTAGTTGGAAATAATACTCCGGTATGTCAAATTATAATTAATCATTAACAGTTTCTTTAAAGATATTCTTCATCCGTGATCCATTCCTCTTCCCGAATTTTATTCATACACAGAAAAGAAATCCAGTTACTCACTTGAAGGATCCTGAAATGGTAATTAGTCATATAGTTTACTCGAATAAATACAAAAAATTATTTTATAGGTGTGGGACTTTTGGTCACTTCGTCCTGAATCTCTTCATCAAGTTATGTTTCTCTTTTCTGATCGAGGTATTCCTGATGGTTTTCGACATATGAACGGTTTTTAATTTTTATATTATGATTAATTTAAAAATATTTCAACTAAATTTATAAAAAGAAAATTTTTTAAAAGGTTATGGTTCACACACTTTTAAATTGGTCAACAAGGAAGGGAAAGCTGTTTATTGTAAATTTCATGCAAAGGTTTCAATATCTATTAAAAAATATTTTCTTTTGATTTTTTATAGACTTCTCAAGGTATTAAAAATCTTTCGGTAGAGAAGGCTCAACAATTGGCTTCTGAGGATCCTGTGAGTTTTTATGCTAGAACAAAAATTATTGATAAACAAACATTTCTTCATTTTCTTTTTAAAATTTTTAGGATTATGGATTGCGTGATCTTTACAATAGTATTGAAAATGGACAATTTCCTCAATGGGATTTCTTTGTTCAAATAATGTCATTCGAAGAGGCTGAAAATTTCAAATGGAATCCTTTTGATTTGACAAAAATTTGGCCACACAAAGAATTTCCTCTTATTCCTGTTGGTCGTATTGTGCTTAACAGGTCTTCACTCATTAATTATTTAAATAATATAAAATTTTTAGAAACCCGAAGAATTATTTCGCTGAAGTAGAACAGGCCGCTTTTGCACCTTCACGCATTGTGCCTGGAATTGAGTTTTCCCCAGATAAAATGCTTCAAGGTTTCCTTTGTAATTTAAAATTTTTATGTAACTGAATTTAAAGGTCGTCTCTTCTCCTATCCGGATACTCAATTTCACCGTCTCGGACCAAATTTTATGAAGCTACCTATTAATTGCCCGTTCAGAACGCGTGTTCGAAATACTCAGATCGACGGATGGCATTGCTCTGATGAGAACCGAAGTATTTTATTTACTAAATCTACAAATATTTAATTTCCTTTTCGCAGATGGGGCACCTGTATATCACCCAACCTCATTCAATGGACCAAGCGAATTAGCAACTGCACAGGAAAGTATTTGGTCGACGACGGGAGAAGTAAATCGTTATAATACAAAGGATGATTCGAATTATGACCAGCCTGCTTCTTTTTGGGAAAAGGTAAAAATGCAAAATTATTTTCTCTAAATTATTCAAATAAAGGTTTTGGACGAAGAACATCGTAAACGCTTGACACGTAATATTGCCGCTTCGCTGGGTCAGACATCGCTTAAAACCCAAGAGCGTGTAATTCAGGAATTTAGTAAAGGTAATTAATTAATTGAATATTTAAATATTCTTTAAAAAATTTAGTGAACGAAGAACTTGGGAAAATGATTCAGAAAGAATTGAGTGCTAATAAGGAGCGGCCCCATCTGTGATTTTCTGGATCATGAGATATTTAAGATATTAAGTAGGACAAATTATTTAAATAAAAAGTGCCAATAATAATTTATTTAATTTTCACTCATTGAGTGTTTATTTTCGATATGTATATTTAAATAAATAAAATATTTAATAATTACATTAAACAATTTTATTATGGTCTTCTACCTAATTAAAAGTGTAGTTAAAAAATTGATTTGGTGTAGGTAGCCTTTTGCGACATAAAATATTAATTTTTAGATTCTAAAAAACTAACACCGAATTTATTTACAATTAAAATTTGGGTTTCTAATTTTTCACATTTCCATTCAAATGTTTTATTGCCTTCAAGTCAAGGTCGACAGTCCCATTAAATCCGTTTGTTGGAATCGCACGCAGTCTTTCAATATATTCGGTAGGCAATTCGTGCTCAACAGCCCCAGCAACAATTACTTCTTTGTAATGAGGTGAAGGGGCAGCCAAAATTCTATTAGTGTTTGAATATTGATATGTGAGGCAATTGAAGCCCCGATCCAAGGAAGAATAAGATAAAACATGAACTGAAATATTTTTAAAAAATTAAAATTTTTCTATTATTTTTACCTTCTAAACGGTGATAGCCAATCTCTTGCCTGAATTTTGAAAATTTGACAATTTATTTTTTTCCTAAATTTTACCTGTCTAAAGCATTCAAATGAGAATAAGGCACGCGCCAGATACATCCAAAAACTCGACTTCCATCTTTTGGCTCGATTGAAGCGAGTGCTCCCTTCCATCGTTTAGAATCGTCAAAAAAGAACAAATCGAAATTATTCAATACTCCAACTGAAATAAAATCGGCTCCGGGCACCTAAAAATATTTTTGGAGTTTTAATGATATTTTAAAATATGTAATTTACCCCAACATGAATTCTCTCTTTTAACAAATTACTTCCATAGGAAAAATAGAAAAAATACGTGTCAGAGTCTGGGGTATCATTTAAATCTGCAACCATGTTGAGCACGAAAATAAAATACCTATACATATTCATTAAAAATAAACAAATGTATATTAAATATATTCATAAATTGACAAAAACAAATTAACAATTTTAAATTATATTTTTAAAAATTAAAACAATATTTAAAAAAACTAAACTATACTTACAAAATACAATTAAATAAGAAATTAAAAATAAATTTTTTCTCTCCCAATAATTGACTTTAAAAATCAAAATTGTAAAAGAAAAGAATGTTTAAATAAAAAAATATGAGAAATCGTTATAATATGGAAAAGAAAAAAATAACAAAGATAAAATGGCAACGAAATATTAAAAAACATTAAAGGTATAAATAATTAATGAAATATATTTCTTTATATAAAAAGAAATCCATATATTATATTCATTTTGGCAACAATTTTAGCTTTTCAAAAAAATTATGGGGTTGGTCAATTTCTATCTATTTTATGTTTAAAAAACTTGGAATTACGCAAAAATAAAATTCTTATTCAGAATTATCAATTTAAAGTACCATTTTGTACTAAAATGTCTGCAGAAGTTGTTGCTGAATAATCTTTAAATGAATAATTTAAAAAGAATAAATAATTGAAATTCACCTTTTCCTCCTGAATTAGTCAAAGAATTTGTATATAAACATGTAGAATATGCAGGCGAAAAATTTAAATTATTATTCCCATTATTTAATTGTTGTTGTTGTGCTGTTGCTACTGCAATTGCTAAATGTTGATTTAATTGCTCTAAAGGATTTTCTGTTGAATTTCCGGGTGGTGGTTGTGAAACTGGTTGGCCATTATATCGAAAATGAGGCATTTTTAGATCAAGTCTGTTTTGTTGTCGCTTATCTCCTACTTCAATTTCCAAATCCAAATCATAGCTTTGTCTTTAGAGAAAAACATTTTAAGATTAAAAAAAGAAAAATTTACTTGTCATTAGCCAACATTAACAACTTTCCAATAACCAATTGTCCAATAGTGACAAATAAAGGATTTTTAATTAATAATCTAACTTGATACCAATGAGTTAAAGGTTCTGTTGGGGCTGTTGAAAGATAAACAGTTTTTCTTTAAAAATTTTAAAATTATAATTTAAAAAATAATCAAAAAAAAACGTTTGTCCCATAAATCCAACATCAAACCAAGTAGCCAATCCATGTATATAACCAGTTCTTAAAGCATTAAATTCAAAAGGAATTTCAATCCTTTGAAGTCGTTTAGCTTCATCATTTTCAAAATTAAAATTCCAAGAAATACATGTCGACATTAAAATCCCAATGTGCCAAGTATCCTTTTTTATTTAAATTTTATTTTTAATTTATTTAAATGTTTACCACAATTGGTTGTCGGAAAACTTCTTCTAAGGCTGCACTTTTAAGAGAACTTAAATTTATACCTTAAATGAAAAAGTGAAAATATTATTTTAACTAAAATTAACCGTGAAAGGATTCTTGGGTCCAAAAAGAGGAACGAGCTGTTTGTTCTAAATAAACTTGTTCATCACTAAATAATGCAATTTGAAGATTTGCTTGTGTTGGAAACATTCTCCCTAAAAAACATGAGATTTGAACAGCTTCGAATTAAAAATAAGTATTTTTGTATATTTGGAATAACGTAAAGCTATTAGTCCAAACGATTTTATTACTCCAAATTCGAATTATAATTGCAAAATTAATAGAAATAAATTCAAACCTCCTTCTTTAAGAAATTTCCTAGCAAATAAATAGCTTTCCAACATTCTCTCATTTACTAACATATAACCCATAGGCTCAGAAATAATAACATCAACGGATTCAGGCAATTCAATTTCTTCAATTTTTCCAGTTATAACTTTAATTACATCATTTAAACCATTCGCAGAGACAAGAGACTTTTTTGTAAATTATTTATAAATAAATTTAAATATTTTTACTTTGCAACTATCAGCCATAGATGAAGCCTCAACAGCATAAACCCTCTTTGCACCAACCTGAGCAGCGAAAAATGAAAGAATTCCACTACCAGCGCCAACATCGAGAATTACCTAAATTTAATTTAAAAAATATTTTTATTTAATTTTACTTTATCACGAAAATCTAAATAATTTTCATGGATTGCACGTTGGTATGTTGCTGTTCTTGTATAATCTTGCATCATGTTTTGCTGTTGAAAAAGAGATCCATAAAATTGAAAATATTGTTTGGCTGACCCTAAAATTAATTTTATTAAAGTTATAAATAAAACAAAAATAATCTTAAGAAAATAAAACAATTTACATCAAAAATCAAACCTTCCTCCGTTCTAGAATTAAATTCAGAATTCATTTCATTATTTGATAAACATTTTCTTTTTCTTGAAGAATTTTGTGTAGAATATGATAATTCCTCATCATCTATTAACTCCGGTTGAGGTAACAAAGAACAAAAATTTTGAAGATCTAAAGAGAGGAATATGGAAAAAAACAAATCAAAACCTTTATTTGACTCAAAACGTAAGAGAAAAGGTTCTGAAACCATTAATCCACAAACAGGAACTTGTTTGCTAATTGGCCGGAATGATAAAAATTGTTTGGCAAAATGAAACCATTGATAAAAATGTAAATGTTTTTGTAAATTTACACCGCCTAAAATTTAAAATAATTTAAATAAAAATTTCAAACCTTTTAAAACAAGAATTTTCCCTTGCTCTATAAATGTAGCAGTACAAAGCTTTGAATCACAAATCTCTCCAATATTTTCATCAATATTACAAAATTTAACAGAGAAAGACGGAGAAAAGTTAACACCCTAAAATGTAATTTTACCAAAATAATAAAAATCACCATTTACCAAATCAAGTGGATTCATTAGAAAAGAATTGATTTTAAAAGAAAATTTAAGTTTTAGGGGATTTAATTAATAAAACAAAAATAACATTATATTAAATATTTAATATTAAATTAGAAATACTCCAATGATCTGAAAATTATTATTATTTTAGCTTAAATAATCTAAATTGAGTAAATAAAATTAATATTTTAAATAAATAATCACAATTAAAATAAATTAAAAAATTTATCGAAAATTAAAAAAAAACATTTCACAAAAATCAAAACATACTAGTTTAAATAATGTTTATATTTAAAAGATTATAAAAAGCCTGAAAAATTTTGAATATTTTTTGTTCTTAAATTTTCTAAAAGCCAAAGAAAAAGGGCACAAAAATTATGAATTTATAAGAAAAATTGGTTGAGGGGAAAAAAGGAGAGTAAATATAGTAAGGCAGAAAATGAAAGAAAATTGGTATTTAATTTTAATCTCAATTCAATTATCCACAACATGGTTCAACCGAAGCACCAAAAAATGTTACAAATAAATCCATCGTTGGAAAAAATAAACTTAAAATCATTCTTGCCAAAACTTCGCCCAAAACAACTGAAATACATAACCAAATATTGAATGTCATAAAAATCAACATAAGCATATAACTAAGAGTTAATTGAATTGCATGAAGACACATATCAATTAAATTGCCCAAATTTGGCCTTAAAAAAGAATTTTGAATCTCTTAAAATTAAAAACCTTCTCATAGTAGTAAAACCAATAGTTGAATCAGTTGTAGATAAATTTCCATCTTGTCTATTAAATAATTTCTTTTTTCGATAAATGCGAAATAAACGAGTAAATTCCAAACAGAGACAAAAAATAAAAATAATTAGACAAGAGCCAAAAATACCTGAAGTAATGAAAAGAATAAAAAAATATTTAAAAATTCCAACCTAAGGCAGAATCAGTATTCCAAAAACTAAAAAGGATAGATTCCTTTGAACCAAAATGAAAATGCATGGCCATAGAATGAAGCATACTAGTTATTTTATTTGGATTTTCCTTGGAATGATTATGTTCGATATGATCGTGGGAATGAGGTGAAGGTTCTTCAGTAGTCATTTCTAAATAAAAATATATTTTAATTTAAAATAAAGTTAATGAAAATATATAGAAGAGAAAGAATAAATGAAAGGTGGGATGTAGCCGAGGAAGACTTACTAAGCCGGTCCTCTTCCCAAAAATCATATATAAAATTCGCATTGCTAGCACAGCTCTTAAAGAGAAGTGTGGCGTACGCGCACGGACCAAACAGAGAAAAAGGGAATATAAAACTAGTTTTGAGGATAACATTTTAATGAATAATAAAAATATTTTTGGCCAGAAAAAGTTTTAAATATTATAAATATTTAGAATATTTAGAGAATAATGACTCACCTGGTGAAAAGATTTAAACAAGATCTTTGATTTTGAGTAAAGTTAATTGAAGTAATGTTACTTAAAGTTGAAGTAATGTTAATCCATCAAGTATGTTTTTAGTAATCATATTCTTGCTTGAGCACTTAATTACCTAATTAGAAAAATTAATGTAGTTGAAGAACTAAAGGAAAAACAAACTCTAAACAAAAACAATGAAAAATTTTTTTGACAAATTTTGCCCTTATTGGCAAAATAAAGTATTGGCAAACTGTCAAAACTTGCGCAATTTTTCACTTTGAGCAGTTTTGGTTTTGCGCCGTTTTGGCCTTGCGCCGTTTCGGTCGCTACGTTTTGGCCCGCGTCTTTTTGGGCGTGTCCCGATGCGACAAATGCCTCCAAAACGTTTTTCTCAAAATGATAAAAAATTTAATAAATTTATTTTTCAATAAATTTTTCTTTTAGATAAAAGTTTTGATAAAATGCGTAATATTTTGTTAATCAATTCTCGTCATTACCCTTCATTATTTAGTTTTAGAACTGCTGTTTCTGCTGCTTCTGTTCAAACTTCAAATATTAAGGCATTTGAAGTTTATCGTTATAATCCAGAAACTCCAGAAGTTAAACCTCATTTACAGGTTTTTTTTAATTTTATTTAAAAAAATGGTAAAAGCTAAGTTTTGCTTCAAAATTCCTTTTTTGTTTGTGTAATCTTATCAATCAAAAATGAATAAATTTTATCAATATTTTCGGAAGGCAAAGGATAATATTTACCTAAAATTAAACGAAGCTTTTCTTTTTAAGTAATAATTTTAAAAGTTTTCCTATTTTTGAAAAGAACGCTAAATAATGAAGGGCATTTTTCAAATTTTTATACAAGGATTTAATTCATTTTTAATTGTTTAATTTCCCTTTACCAGACATAAAAGGTAATTACAGAAAAATAAAAAAAGGGAAAACACAAATTTAATTTTTATCAAAAATTTTTTTTAAGAAATATGATATTGATTTGAACAAATGTGGACCTATGGTTTTGGATGTTTTGATTAAAATTAAAAATGAAATAGACCCGACTTTAACATTTCGTCGTTCATGCCGTGAAGGTTTTTTTAATTATAGTATCATGAATTTTATTTAAAGGAATTTGTGGTTCTTGCTCTATGAATATAAATGGAGAAAATACACTTGCCTGTATTTGCCATATTGATAAGAATTCGAATAAATCTACAAAGATTTATCCACTTCCGCATATGTATGTAGTTTTAATTTTTAAATGACACAAAATTTTAACCTCAAAATTCTATTTTTATAATTTACTTTTTTTACTAAAAATTTCAGCAAATTTTATATAAATTATTTTTTTAAATAATTAATTTATTTTTAAGGTATGTTGTTAAGGATTTAGTCCCCGATATGACACTTTTCTATCAACAATATGGTTCAGTACAGCCTTGGCTACAAAAGAACAAACCGCTAAATTTGGGAGAAAAGGAAATGTATCAAACAATTGAAGAGAGAGCTAGTCTTGTAAATATTTTTTAATTTTTTTTATTTAAAATTTTATTTAGGATGGTCTTTATGAATGTATTTTGTGTGCCTGTTGCAGTACTTCATGTCCTTCTTATTGGTGGAATCCCGATAAATATTTGGGGCCTGCAGCGCTTCTTCAATCATATAGGTAAAATATTAAAAAGAATATTTTTTTTTTAATTTCTTTCTTTTTTCGATGGATAATTGATTCTCGTGATGATAAAGCAAAGGAAAGACTTTCTCGTTTAACTGATCCATTTTCTGCCTTTAAATGCCATACAATTCTTAATTGCACAAAAACATGTCCAAAGGTTTTTTTTAAAATTTATAATAAAAGAATGTGTTTTTTAGCATTTAAATCCTGCAAAGGCTATTGGGGAAATTAAATCAATGTTGACTGGACTTCGGTAAAAAATTTAAAAAATATTTTAATTTAATAATTGATAAATAAACTGCTCTCGTCTTCATTTGTCTCTCAGTCAGTATTCCTTTAATTTTTCTTTTTATTCACTTTCATTGTTTAACCGAAAAATAATTTTACCAATTTAATTCCAAAAATAAATTTAATTAATTTTTAGAACAAAACCAGAGCCACAAGTTCCAAATCCAGCAGATGCTTGAAATGGATGGTACAAAAATAATGTGTTTTTGTCTGACATTTATTTAGATTATATTATTAAAATTCTTTGCAAAATATGTTTATTTAAATTTAAATAAATAAATTGATTTAGAAAACACTATTATAACAAATAATAAAATTCTTTACTTTTAAAAATCCTGTTTTTTTATATTTTTTTCTAATCCATTTTATTTCCTTTTTTAATCCTTAAAAGATCGTCTCAACAATTAAAAAAGCAACATTTATACATTAAAATTGTAAAGATTAACTTAAAATATTTTTATTTAAACTTTCCGTAAAGGAAAAATACCGTCTTCTTTTATTTTCGATTGCCGCTATTTTACGATTTTTGCTTTGTCATAATCTTTAAAATAAATAAATATTTTGTGTATAGTACAAATAAATAAATATATTTTTATTTAAAAAATTGTAAAAAATTTATAATAATATTTTCTTGTCATTTATTTTAAAAATGCTTTTCTCTTGTCACTAAAATGCAAATTTTTATTTTCTCTTAAAGAATAAATAATAAATTAATATTCAAGTAAGGAGTGACAACTTTAAAGCAACAAAAGTAGTATTTTTGAATGAAAATTGTTTAATTTAAAAAAAACAATACCTATTCTTAAATTAAAATTATTTATATACATTTTCTATCAAAAATAATTTTAATTCTCTTCATTATTTCCTTATTTTTGCCATTAAAAAGAAAAAAAAAGCCGCTATTCTCTCTCGAGAGACCAACTACTTGTGAATATATATTTTCGTTTTGTTTATTTTTTTCACGGCTGGCACAATCTACATATACTTTTAAATCCCCCAAAAATTCTTTTATTTTACTTTTTATTTGTCAATTGGATTTTTTATTTTATTTTTGAAAAGTGTAAAAAAATAATTTTTTTTTCAAATTTTTATAAATTTATTTAATTTATTTTAAAATATATTTTATTTCGTATTTTATTTCTTTCTTTCACCCAAAAATTGATTCATCCATCATTAAAAGCAAACAACATATACCTACAAATATATACTCTCTTTTTCATCAGTTGTTGATGAATTGAAAAGTGTAACAAATAAATAAAAATATATTTTAACGTCAGTTTAAGTCATACTTTTTCTTTAAAATTATTTTTAAAATTAACTTAAATTTTAAAAGTATTTCTCTAAAAATTTTAAAAATATTTTTTTTTCTCATCTTTTACTTATTTTGAAGTGTTTGTGAAGGTATTTGCAATTCTCTTATTTCTTGTCAATTCTCTTATTTCTTGTACTAGCGGAGGGGGTCGCCCTTCGGGCGAGCCCCTTCCGCTAGCCAAATTCTAAACATTACAATTCCAAACCTTTATCAACTATTAACTAAGATTTTCAACCATTAACTATTAATATCTATGTCAACTATTAACTATTAGCTAAGATTTTCAACTTTCAACTATTAACTACTAACCATGATTCAAATATTAACTAATATTTTGAACTTTCACTATTAACTATTAATATCTATTTTTCTATTAACTATCAATTTTCAACTATTAACTATTAATATCTATTTCAACTATTAACTATCAATTTTCAACTATTAACAATAATTCAACTATTAACTAATATTTTAAACTTTCAATTATTAATATCTATGTCAACTATTAACTAAGATTTTCAAATTTCACTATTACCTATAAATATCTATTTTTCAATATTAGCAATTAACAATGTCACTCATCTATCCCAGTCATTACCGTTTTTTTCAATAATTGTGGGACCGTTTTCTCAAGCCTATTGAACACTATATTCTTTTTTTCTATTGGCGGGCTCTAATTCCCACTATTGTCAGACCCTTTTTTCCCGTTTACGGGAACATTTTTGCTTACCATTATTCCAGCCATAGCCAGACACTTTTCATCCATTTTCGCTCACCATTATTCCAACTGTTACCAGACCTATTTCACACAGTTACGGGGCCCTTTTCGCTTACCATTATTCCAACCATTTCCAGACTTTTTTACTACATATACTACAACTTTTACTTAATAGTTAATAGTAAAAGAACTTTTTTAATATATATATTACAACTTTTAGTTAATAGTAAGAGAACTTTTTTACTATATATACTACAACTGAGCTATTAACTATTAATTATTAACTCATCAACTATTAACTAAGATTTTCAACTTTGCATTTCCAGCTATTAACCATTAACTAACATTCAGGTATTAACTTTCACTTATACTATTAACTACCTTGCTAGTACTATCAATTATCAGCTATTTAGTATCACAAAATGTCAAACTCTAGTACTATCAATCACACAATTCCAAACTATCTAGTACTATCAACTATTTTGTAGCTGGCTTTATCAAACTATCTAGGACTATCAACTACTTAGTATCTCACTGTATAAACTATCTAGGACTGTCAACTATTTAGTATACATTGTCAAACACAAAAACTAAAACATAACTAAAATTAATTTAAAAAACAAAACCCACAAAAAACCAACGGTTGGATAATGTGTTGTTTAAATAATTGATCAGCACAAAAAACCACCGGTTGGATAATGCGTTGTTTAAATAAAGATCAGCTCAAAAAAACCAACGTAGAAATCGTCTTGTTTAAATAAAAGATCTTATTTGTTGAACCTAAAAACAATTTTTAAATAAAACCAATTTAAAAAACAAAAAAATCAATCAAAACACATCCTAAATATAATTAACAAACAAAAAAATTTAAAAAATCCAAAAAAAAGTCAAAACAAATTCTAAAAAATTCACATTCTTTCTTTACTTCTCTAAACACATACTATTTTCAATTTTGGGATATTTTGTCATTTTTAAATAAAAATTAAACACAACGCCAAACACAGCAAGATTCAAAGCTGCGGACAAACACACATTAATTCTAAAATTATATATAGGACGAGCGTTTGTTCGCCGCTTCGCGGCGAACAAACGCTCGTTTTAATTTTTTGATTAATTAAAAAATAAAATCATCTTATTAATAAAAGGTTTTTTTGATTAAAAAGTTGTTGACTTTTTTAACTTAGCTTATTTTTTCTAAAATTAAGAGAAGAAATTTTTGTTTTTTTTTGATTTTTTGAAAAATTAGATTTTGATTTCTTAATTTCATTTTGAGTTGTTTAATGAAATAGATACAAAAATTTCTTAATTTCGTTTAATAAAATTACATTTTTGAAAAGTTTGCTTTTTGGCGTTTTGTTTGCACTTTTTTTAGTTTACTTTTCTTAGTATAAAAGCAAAAAAATTTGCATAATTTCATTTTTCCTTTTCACTCCTTTTTCTTTTTATTTTCTTTTTTCCTACCTTTTATTGATTTTTAATATTTTATTTGTTTTAATTAGTGCTTGCTTTTTTCCTTCATATTTTTTTTTCAAATACTTTTCACGCTACTCTTTTTTAATTTTTTATTCTTTTTAAAATTTTCTGTTTTTTTTTAAAATATTTTTTGAATTTCGATTCTTTCTGTTCTTTTGGCCATTTTTTTCTTTTTCCTAAAGTTTTGACTCTTTTTTAAAAAAAGTTCAAATTTTTAATACAAAAAAAATTAATACAATAAATTAAAGGGCTCCGTTTTTATATAATTTAAGGGCTTTTGTTTCTTGTTGGTTTTATGTTTTTTTGGGGGTCTTCCTGGGGTTTTTAAATCTTAAATAGTTTCTCTCTTTAGAAAAAACCATTCTAAAGACTTTTATTGACTCATTTAATTTTTGAAAAGTATTTTTCTTGCTAAAATCTGTAAGTCATTCTTTTTTTTGTGTGCTGTTGTTTTGTTGGCATTCTTTTAAAAATAGAAAATAGTTTTAATAAATTTAGTATAAAAACAAATTTCTTTTTTAAGTATTCGTTTTTCCCTTTTTCATTTTTTTAAAAAATTAATGTTTGTTTTCCTGTTGTTTTATTGATTTAGTTTTTTAAAAATATGCTTTGTTTATATGTTTTTTTCGGTCAAGTTTTTTTGATTTTTTATGCAATTATTTAAATTTCGTTTTTTAGTTTTGTTGTTTTAAAAAATTTTAGTTTTTTAAAAAATTTTCTTTTTTAAAATTTGACTTTTTAAAATTTTTTAGTTTATTTTTTTTGTGTTGAAATTTTTTATCTTTCTTTTTCAAAAAAATCATTTTTAATGTTTGTTATTGGGAATGTATTTTTCCTTTTGACTTCTTTTTTTCCTTTTTAATTTTTAATTGTTAGTTTTATTTTGTGCATTAGAATTTTTGAAGAAACTTAAACTGGTTTTTTTTTTTGAAAATTTTTTTTAAATTTGTTTCTTACGGATTTCGTTTTTTAAAAAACTGGTGACTTTTAAAAATATGTGTCTTTTTTGTCATAAAATTTTTTTTTGTTAAATTTAGTGAACAATAAAAAAGCATTCAATTTTTTAATTAAATATTTTTAATAAGTTTTTAATTATCTAAAAATTTATTTGGCATTTTGATTTTTCCTTTTTAAAATAGAGTTTAATTTTTCTAAAGTTAGTATAAAAACAAAACAGTTTTGCATAAATTAACTTTTCCTTTTGCATTTCTTTAGTTTTTAAGTTTGATTTTTCTTTTATTGATTTTTTCTTTCCTTTTTCATTTGTTTTTAAACATTTCTTTTTCCGCGTTTATTTTTGTACTTTTTTGTATTTCCTTTAACTTCTCCTTATTTAAATTTTGTTTTCACTATTTTTTTTAGTTTTTTTAAAATTTTGTTGAATTTTTTGTAGTTTATTAATGCCAGTTATTAAATGATTTATTAATTAAGATTTTGCCCGGCCCTGAAAAACTTTCTTTTTTTTCAAAGAAAGAATAGATTTTACGGACCATATAGATCAGGGTAGTTTTTTGGTAAAAAATAGGCAATTTCTTTCAAATTATTAACTTGTGTATCTAAGTTTTTTCTATTTCATCTTTTTAATTTTTGTTCTAATGTCGACCGTTTTTTTGTCTTTTTAAGTAGGCCCCCGTTAGTTTCTAATCATTTAATAGTGTAGTTAATTTTTGTTTTACCATTTGCCTTTTTTTAATTGTAAGGATGTTTCACCTGGAGCATTTTTAAACGCTTTAGCGGGGGTTAAACGAATAAAAAGAATAAAAGAAAGCATTTCAACAGCGGAGACGCAGGTTCGTCTCCTTTCCGGCGGCTAAACTTTTGCTTAATTTTTTAGGTTAATTTTTTGCCGCGAACTTTTTCAAAAATTTCAATTTTGTTTTTAAAATTCTTTTGGAGTTTTTTGCAGTTTTTCTCTTTTCAAACCACTTTCTTTTTTTCTTAATTTTATGCATATTTTTAATAATGCTTTTGACCCAACATTAAAACAATATTTAAAGTTGCTTCTTTTTTTGTTTTTGTATTTTCTAAAATTTGCTTATTTTTTATTTTTGCTTATTCTTTTTATATTTATTTATTATTTTTAGCTTTTTTCTTTTTTTCTTTTTTATTATATAATTATTTTCTTTTTAATTTTGCTTCATTTTCTTTAATTTTTTAATACTAATTTAACAAAGTTCTCTTTCATACTTTTTTAAATGGATTTTAGGTTTGAAAAAACGTTTTTTCTTTTTGATTTTGTGTAATAAATTTTGTGCTTTTTCCTTTTTTTTTTACCTTTTTTGCTGGACTTTTTTTTTGTCAATGCTATTATGCAAATTTTTTTATTTTTAAATTTGTAGATTTTTTAAAATTTTTTTAAAAATATTGATATTTTTTGCGCAACTATTATATATTTTTGTTTAAATTTTTTCAAATATATTTTTTGCAAGTTTGAATTTTAATTGATTTTTTATTTTTAATAACATTTTTTTAAATACATTTTTTTAAATTTATAAAAAATATTTATTTTTTTTAAAAACTTTAAACAGTTCGTCAAAAAGTTTGAAATTATTTAATCACCATTTTTGAAAATTAATTTCCCATTTGTGTTTTTGAAAATTAAAAAACGGTGATTTATTTAACTTATAAAGTCTGGTTTAATTTTGTAAACTTTGTTTACATATTTATAATTTCAATAAATTTTTAAAATTTCTTTTTTAATCCGGATACTCAAGCTCATTCATATCAAAATTTATTTTTTTCCCCTTCTCTTTTTTTAATGCGCTTTCCTCAAAAATTGACAATGTTAAAACACCCGCTAAAAATTTTTTTTTAATTTTTATTTTTTAAAACCTTCATTTCTTTCAACATTTGCGGTTTGAAGTGTTATTTCGTCATTAATATTTAAATTAATGTTGTTTGGATAAACAAACTGCGATTTATTTTTCCCGTCTGTACATAATGTCCCATTTTGTTTTTTCGCAAAATTAAGTATTATTGGCTTTTTAATAATACTTAAACGAACAGAACCTAAATTTAGTTTTGTTTTCCGGTTTTAATTTTTTTTGTTTATTTAAAAAGTTTTTTGTATATTATGTTTTAATTTTTTTAAAATTTATAATTTTTAAAAATATTTACATTTTATTAAACCATTTTTTTGCGCAATTTCTGCCAAAGAAGAAATTTTTTCGCCGAAAAATTTTTTTTCTTCAATTTTTATTTTACTTGAATTATAGAAATTAAAAATCATTTCTTCTTTACCAAACCCTTCTTTTATTTCTACACCTTGCAATTTAATTATGCTTCCCTTAAAAATTTAATCTTTGTATTTTTAATTAAATTTACTTCTTTCCCGTTTAATAGGTAAAATATAAATTCAGCTAGAATATTCCAAGAAGTTAATTTCGCTTTTGATTTATTCACTAAAACTGAACAATCTAGTACTTTTGCTTCATTTTTGCCCTTTACCATTACATTTCGTATCAAATTTGTATTTAAAAGTTCAACTTCTACATCACTAAATTTTTAACCTAGCTTGAAATTTTTATTTTTTGCTTACGCAAATTTTTCTCCTATTCGCAATTTTTCTTTTGGTGCGCCTTGGAAATCTTCGTCAATAAGAAATTTTTGTTTTAAAAATTCATAATATGTTTTTTCAGTTATTCCTTTAAATTCATTGTTTTTTTCTGTCAATTCTTCTATCGTGGAAGTTTCTTGTGCTTTAAGCTCAAAATTTAAACTTCCGTAGTTATAAAGCGAAGAAGTTTTATTTGCCGCAAAATTTTTCAGTAGAAAAGTTTTTAACTATTTCAAAAATTAATTTATTTTTTAAAAAGTTTACTTTAAAATTTGATCCAATTTCATTTAATAATCGTTGAAAATTTTTATCCCATAAAGTAATATTCACAAAATCATAACTGTCAGAAAATATTAATTAATTTTCGTAACTATTTTTAAAAATTTAAGTAGTTTTTCCAAATTTTATTTTTTTATAGTTTGTTTAATTGAATTTGCAAAAGTTTGTTTTGGAAAATTTTTTAAATTTAATGGGTTAAATTAGGTAATTCGTTTTTTCTTTTTCTCTTTTTTTTAAATAAAATTCAAAATTTTGAAAAAAATTGAGATTTTCCAAATTTTTGCGAATTTTTTTATTTAAAATTTTAATACTAACAACATCAATTTTTTGTTGTTTTTTATAAAAAATTTTTTTTATTTTAAATTTAATAAAATATTTTAAGTTTAATTATTTTTTTTGAAAATTTAAAAATCTTTAAAACTTGCCCATCTGTAGCTATTAAGTTCCATACAAATATTTTATCTTTAACAAATCGAACAGCATCAGCTGTTATAAACATTAATTTTATATCACTTAAATGTTATAATTAAATTTTTATTTTTTAAAAAAAACTTACATCATTGTTTCCCCGATTTTGATAGCCTGAAGCGGTGATTTTTTTATTTTTTTCTCGGGAACCGCTGAAGTTGATTGTGATTCCATTTTTTTATTTTAAAATATTTTTTTTTATTTTTTTGTGGTGGTTTTTTCGTTTTTATAAACAATTTTTTTGAAGTAAACTTTGGAAAAAATTGTATAGATTCTGTTTTCTTGAAAAATTTTGGCATAAATACACTCGTGTTTTTTTTCTTTTTCTTTTTGATCCATGTTTGGTTTTTTGAGCTTTTTTTAAATATTTAGGTTCCTATTAAAAATAGTTTAAAATTAGGTGTAAACAATACACCTTGATCAAAATATTTACACAATTTTGTTTGTTTAAAGATTTCGACATAAATATTTTGTTTTTTGCTGTACCCAAAAGATCACTTGTTTTTGATCAAATTTTTAAAAATTTGAAGAAATTTTTTGAAGCAAATTATTTTTATTTAAAGCAAGTTTTTTTAAAATTGATATTTTTATCTTTTCAAAACAATTATTTGAAAAAAGGAATTAATCAATTTTTTAAATTCTGACAAAACAGATGAAAGTATCATCTAAAATTTTTTTGAAAGATTTTTTTTTTTTACAGATCATTATATCTTGTTTAATAAAAAGTGCTTCCTAAATAAAAAAAGCAATTGATTCTTATTAATTTTATTTTTTATCTTTTTAAAATTAAACTAATTTTTGTTTTTAATAAATTAAATATTGTTTTATTTTTTTTTTGGAGAAAAAATGTTTTTTGAATGGTTTTTTTGCAGCAATACTTTTTTGAACAATTATTTCAATTTTTAAATTATTAAAAGATTAGTTTTAATTTTTGCTTAAAAATTTGTTTTTTTTAAATTTTTTTTTTCTGAAAATTAATGTTTGTTTGAATATTTTAGCGCAATACTTCTTTCCAAACAATATTTTTTATCTTTTTATCATTTTCATCTAAAATTTTTATTTTGATTCCTTCCCAAGATTTAACACGTGAAAGGCTCACATAGGTTTCTTCGTTTTCATTTACTTTCCGCTTTTTAAAACCGGAGCTTTGAACCGGTGTATTCGTTTGTTTTATCGTGTCTTTACTTTTCAAATTCTCACTTATAAAAAATTGTTTTTCTCGAACCATTTTAAAAGAAAAAGATATAGAAACAATTAACAAATATAAAAAATTAAACCACGTTCAAAATTTTACGACCTTCGGAAACTTTGTTGAATAAATAACAAAATATTTAATTTTTGTTTAAATTTTTTTATATTCAAAATGTTTTTTTGCGACAAAATTATTTTTTTTGAATTGAATGAAATTCCTTTAATTTAAAACCCGCCCCTAATTTTGTTTTTTTTCCAACCTAATTACGCTGAAGTGTTCTGTTGTTTTTTTTTCATTAAAATTTTATGTAAATTAAAAGGTAAACAACTTTTTGTTTGAAAAATTGCATTTAAAAAAATTTATTTACGCCTAAAAAGGTTTTTTGTTCTAGTTTAATAATGAAATCCTTTCTCTTTTGTGGCCACACCTTATTTTTTGTCCTTTTGTGCTTTTAAAACTGTTAAGCTCTTTTGTACTTTCTAGCAGATTAGGTTTTTTTTTGTATTTTGATGATGGGTACTATTTTGTCCGGCCACTCGTTGTTTACATTTAAAAAAGCGCAAGTGGAAGACGCTAATCTTTTTCTCTCTTTCCTTTATCATTTTATTTTTCTTGTTTTTTTCTTGTTTACTTTTTTTTTAAAAAATTTCGTTTCAAAAAAAATTTCTTTTCTCCCTTCAAAAAAGTTCATTTTCCATAATTTTAGTATAGTAAATTGGCTATATTTGTTTAGTCTTTTCGCACCTTTTTTTGGCAAAAACCAATTTCAAATCAATAAAAATGTACATAGAATCAGACCTCTCTTGTAAATAAATTCTCGAGGAGGAATCAACTTTTATAGGAAATAAAATAAATTTTAAAAGGAATTTTCTAATTAAAAGATTATTAATTTTGTAAATTAAACATTTTTAACAAATTCATTCTAAAAATAAATTATTATTTTCTTACATTCCTTTAAATAAATTTATTTATTTTTTACATTAAAAGATATTTTTTAATAAAATATTTATTTAATTTTGAACATCCGAGAATCTTTATTTAAGTAATTTTTTTTGATTTTATTTAGCCTTTTCTAATGTGTTAAGCAACAAATAAAAGTATATACATATACATCTTTAAATTATTTTAAAAAATCCTTTTCCTTTTTTTGCGTGTTTTTATGTTCACATTCCGTTAAATACAAAATAAATTTTGATTTGAATTTTTTAAATTACACTATTTTTTAGAATAAAAATTAAAATAATTTAAAAAATTTTTTTCATAATGCCTTTAACTTTCTTTAAATTTCACTAGGTTTTTTTGTTATTTTAAAAATAATGTTTTTCATTTATATAATTTTTCACATTCTTATTATTTTAAATTACTTTAACTAATTTGTGTTCTCTTTAAAAAAACAATTAAATGCCCCTATTACTTTAACTAAAAATATTCTTTTATTTTTTAAATAATTTTAAAAATTAATTTTCTTTTATTAAATTAAACTCAATTAATTTATTTATGCCAACACCATTTCCAAAACTTCTATTATTTAAATTCCTCCTTCATCTTTCCGGGGATTTGCGCGCGTGTATTTTCCTTCTTTTTACCAAATATTTTCTTATACTACAAATCTTTCCCGTGTTTTGACAAATCGATTTTAAAGGAGGAAAGAGGGTTTATAAATAAATAAATTTTATTTATTTATTATATTTTAACTTTAGTAAATATTTTTAGTTTTTTAAAATTAAAATAAATTTCCTTTAAATTTTATTAAAAATATTAAAGAAAATTTAAAAAAGATCTAATTAATTAATTATTTAATTAATTAATTTCAAATGCCAGCTCAAACAACAACAGTTGAAACAGTTACTGTTGTTAGGCCTTTAAAAGTAAATAAATTATTTAAATTTAAATTTTCAATTAAAATTAAAAGGTAATTTCTCTTGTTTGTTTGTGCCTTTCTTTATTTTTATTGTGTGTTTCTTTGTTAAGTAATTATTGGCTAAAAACATATTCTTTCCACACTGGATTATTTCAAGAATGTACAGAAAGGACAGCATCTACACCTACAAATCCAGTACCCAATGCCCCACCAGAAGGGCAATGCCAATCACCGGCAAGAAATACAGGCAAAAAATTAAATAATTTTAAAAATTAAAAAAAGAAGAATAATATTTGTTTATTTAATTATAGTAATTGCCTTTGGGATCTAATTATCTAAACAAAAATTGATACTCTGTATCTCCCGATATCTCCTTCAAATTCACATAATTCCTAAATAAGAATTGTAAAAAATTTAAATTAGAAATTTGAATTGATTTAACTGTTGTAGCGGGCTGATTAAATTAAATTAAAAACAAAAATACATAATTTGATTTATAAATAAACTCAGTGTGATATAGGTAATAGGGAGTAAAATATCTGAGGGAAGAGTAATTAAATAAGATTATTGGTTTTTAAAATTAATTTTTAAAGTATTTGTTCGAATAGCCTCAGTTTTGTTAATTATTTCTGCTGCTTGTAATTTATTTGCAATTTTTGTAAATACAGCAGCTTTAAGAAGTAATGATTTACACAGAAAATATATTTTTTATAAATCAGCAACTTGGCTTTCATTTATTGCCGGTAATTAATTAATTTTTAAATAAATTTAAATAAATATTTGATTAATTATATATCATCACAAAACCTAGTTTTTTTTATTTTTAGAAATTAAATAATTTTAAACAAATTAATTAAAATTAATTTAAAAAAAGTTTTCTCTGAATTGTCAACACTTGTTGGTTTCCCAATATGTTTTTATTTGTCAATAAATTCTTATGGACTTAGAAATTGGGAATTTGATTGGTCTTATGGTGTTGCTTGGGGGGCTTTATTGTAAATTAATTAATTAAATAATTAAATATATTCTTTAATTATTTAAAAAAGATTTATTTTTGGTGCTTTACTTTTATTAATTTGTGACAAAGAACATGAAGAAGTTTATTATAAAGAAAAAACTATATATAATCCACCTGCTGAATTTACATAACAAAAATTGAATTTTTTTTTATTTTTTTTTTGTAAATAAAATAAATATTTTTCTTAATTTTTAAAAAATAAATAATAAATTATAATTTTAAATATAAATTAAACAAAAAATTAAATAAATAATCTACTTATTTTTAAAAATAAGCGCTAAGCCTATTATTATATTTCTAGTCAAAAAAGTGTTTTATTTTTGAAACTTTAACTAAAATATAAACAAAAACTTGTTTATTTATTTAAATTTAAATTAAAAATTAAAATGTTTTTATTAAAATTAAATAAAATATATTTATTTATTAATTATTTAGTTATTCAATTTTTGTTTTTTGTTTCATCAGATATAAATACTCCACCAGAATTGGTTGGAAATATTTTTTAAAAATAAATAATAATTTTTTAATAAAAAATTAAAGGAATGTTTGGAAACTGGAATGAGACTTCATTTTATTCCAAATTTAGAAGAAGGAGGGGGGGAAGAGGAAGGAGGAGGGGAAGAATCTTCTTCTTTACCTTTTAGTGGGCATGTTTATTTACGAGGATTTTTCTTTTCAAGTCATTGCCATGTTGATTATAGTAAACAACCAATTAACCAACCATTTTATTTACATATTCCATATAAAAGTGATTGCCAAATTAAAAGAGAAAGAAAATTATTATTAAATAATACTCGAGAAAATGAAGAAAATAATTCTGGAATTACTTATAGTACTGTTGTTAGTGGAATTTTTAAAAATATTTTTTTTAATAATTCTTTTAAAGGTAATTGTTCAACATCACCATCTTTTTGTAACTAATCGAGACAAAGCATATAGTGTTACTTGTTTTTATAGAGATTTATTTAGAGAACTTGAAAGGAAATTAGATATAAAGTTTTTCTTGTTATTAATTCCTTTTAATTAATTTAAAGCGATATTTCTTCTTCAAAAATTTCTTCTCAAGTAGATGCCCCTTTATGTCAATATGAAGTACTTAGATTATTAAATGGAAATAATGAATCTTTAGATAAAGAAGAATCTGTTCGTTTTGCAAATATTGGAGAACAATTAACACATAAATGGAGTTGTGAAAGTGGTAAAGATTTAAAGAAAAAAATATTTTTTTTAAATTCTTTTTTTTAATTTAGAGGAATTGGGTATGTTAGTGCATTCTTGTACTGTTAGAGATGGAAATGGACATAGTTTTCAATTAATAGACCAACGTGGTTGTGTAACAGATAATTCATTAATGCCCTCATTAATTTATTCTTCTCAATTAAATTCTTCTTTTACTTTAATTAATGCTTTTAAATTTGCTGATCAAATGTCTATATTTTTTCGTTGCCAAATAACTTTATGTGATAAAAGACAAAATGGATGCGAAGGAATTACTGTTTTTTTAAATAATAATTTTTAAAAAATAAAATTATTTTTAAAGCCTCCTTCCTGTCAATTTATTCCTTTACCTTCAAATGGGGGCCCTCCTCTTCCAATTATTGAATCTTCTCGTGATACTCAAAATCAAAATATTTTAATTAAATATAAAAATCAACAAAATAACAAAATATTACCATTAATTAAATGTTGTAAATTAAATGAAGAAAATGGTTTATGGATTCCTTTAATTAATATTGGAAATGGGAGGAAAGAAAGGAATAAAAGGAATTTAGAAACAAAAAATAAAAGAGAAGAAAATAAACAGAAAATTGGTTAGTTAGTTTTGAGGGGATAAAACGAATATTAAGGAAGACATCAAAAGCTCCTTTCCCGTTGAAAGCGACTCAAAACATTTGTGGGGCGCCGCTTTGAAATTAGAAAATTTTAAGTTTAAACTCTTAAGTGAATTTAAATTTAAAACTGCAGTTATAAATTTAAAATAAATTTTTGTTCAGATTTAAATAACAACAATACCTCCTTTACCTCGACCAATTCATTAGAAAATAAACAAAAAAATTTAATAACAATAGATGTTGTTGCTGATGGATTAGTTATATTTGCCAGAGATGAAGGGCCTAATTTAGAAGAACGTAATAGATTACTTGTTCAATTAAAGCAAAGTTCTCCTCTTCCAATAAAAGAAGAAAAAGAAAATCAGAATCAATGTCCTTTTTTGTTTGCAGAAATTCCTTTTTGGATGTGGACAATTCTTTGTAAAAATATTTTATTTTTTATTTTTTAATTTTTTTAATTTTCAGCCTTAATTCCCCTACTTTTAATTGCTTTATTTATTGAATATTATTTTTTAAATAAAAAAATAAAAATGTTAAAATCATTCAGAACACCTTCATTTCCAGTTGAAATGTGTGGATTTCCAACGAGTTTTGGTCAAAGTCCTTTACCAAAACCTAGACGTTATACGGGTGGAGGAGGATTTTGAAGAAAAGAAAATTTAAAAATTTTAATGAAATTAAATTAATTACAATTAATTATATTACAAATTTATTGTTTGTTAATTACTTTTTGACAATAAAATTTAAATATAAATTTAATAATTCTTTATATTTTATTCCTCCTTTCATCAATTATTTATTTCTTTTTTTATTGTTTATTTGTTGCTGTGTAACGATAAAATCCTTCCCCACATTTTCTGCCAACTTTCCCCGAAGTAACTAAACGTTCAAGACTTTCACAAGGAGTATAACGATGATCATCTGGGCAACGTTGATGCCAACCATCCATTATAAATTTCATTGTATCCAAACCAATATAATCCATTAATTCAAATGGACCCATTGGATGACCTTTTTAAACAAATAAATTTATTTTTAAAACTTTCTTTTATTTTCTTTCCCATTTAACTTTTATAAAATATCATCACATATTTTTCTATTTAATTTTTACCAGTTCCCAATCTCATAGCTGCATCAATGTCTCTATGTGAAGCATTTCCACTTTCTGCTAAACGCATAGAATCGGCCAAATAAGGAATTAGAAGTCTATTAACAATAAATCCAGGCGAATCCGAACACTTAACCGGACTTTTCCCTATTTTTTGACAAAAACGGAAAAGTGCTTCATTTACTTCATCACAAGTTTTATTTCCTTTAACAACTTCAACTAATTTCATTGCTGGAACCTTTTAAAATTAAAGTTTTAAAATTCCAGAAATATTTGTTACAGGATTAAAGAAATGAAGTCCTCCAAAGTTTTTAAGACGATTTTCATTCATTTTACAAGAAACATCTTCCAAAAGAAACGAAGAAGTATTTGTAACTAATAAACAATTTTCTGATACACGGGATTCTAGATCAACAAATAATTTTTGTTTTACCTTTAAATAAATAAAATTATTTTTAGTAAATTAAAAAAAAAGAATTTTTATTAAAAGTATATATATATTTTTAAATATTCAACAACAACAACAACAATCAATTCATTTTCTTTTTAAAAATACCTTTAAATTTTCAACAACAGCTTCAATAACCATATCAGCACTTAATAAATTAGCCTCTTCTAAATCACAAACAAATTTTAAATTTTTAATAACAGATTCAATATATTTTTGTTGAAGCTCTAAACTTTCATTAGACATTCTTCTTTTTGTTGATTTTTGTATTCCTAATAAAACTTTTTTCTTAGCTTCTTCACATTTATCTAAACTTCGGCCAACAACAGTAACTTGTTGAATACCTGATTCTAATGCTACCTTTAAATTAATTAAATTTTTATTTTTATTTATATATTTACTTGGGCAATTCCAGTTCCCATTAATCCAGTCCCAATAATTACTATTTTTTCAAAAGAAAAAACTTTTGGTTGTTGTGCTGTTAAAGTTTCCAACATTTTTAAATTTTTTGTTAGAAATATTTTGCCAAGTTATTGGAGACTGTCTGAAATTAGAAAGTTATAAAGGAGGGAATTGTTCTCGGGGATAAGAAAAGCTTAAAGGCTCAATAATATTTTATTATAATTAAGGTCTGGAAAGCTGTTTGAGTTAAGTAAACTTCTCTTTTATTTATTTCAAAATTAATTAAAATATAAAATGGGAATGGAATGATTTTTTAAAATAATGATAGAAATGGCCATCTTTCCATTTATTTTAAATAGTTCTCCTCCTCATATCATTATGGCATGGATGGCGTGCTTCTTGGATGATTTTTAGTTGATTGGCGGGTAAAGAAATGTAAAAATTTTGTGTGATTTTCCTTATCATTGTTATAGAAAAATATCAAAATTTTGGTTGATAATTTATTTTTATAAAAGAAAAACTTTTAATTTGGGATGTTTTGTTTGGTTGTGAGTGAGTGAGTGAACTTATAAATAAATAAATAATTACAACAAATACCTGCTACATACTTCCATAAAATATACAATAAATAAATATATTTAGTTACACATGTTTTTGTTATCATTAAAATAAATATTTAAACGTCAGGCCATTAAAAATATTCACGTGAAGAAAGAAAGAAAAAGTTGATAAAATTAAGCATAAGTTTAGAAAATGAATATAGCAGTAAAAAGATAATGATGTGTTTATTGCAGACAAAGCAAAATTAAATAAAAATTAAAAATAAAAAGACTAATTTAAATATTACTTTTTATTTAAGTACATATTTCGAATATCAATGAAATCGAAAAAGTTGATGATTTTCAATTATTATTTCCTTAAATTATTTCAAAATTCTTTTAATATAAAAAGGGTGGCAACAATTAAATTAATCTCCATTCTCCACAATTAACATCCAACTTGTTAGAGCTTTGTCGCCTCTATTTTGTCGAACACTTGTCATGGTTAGCCTCAACAACGAGATTGCAGAGAGGATCATTCAGGCAATGCTGTTGGACGAGCCTTCTCCTTCTCCATTGGATATGGACATTATGTGAGTTTAAAAAGGAAATAATTATTTTTTTAATTTAAATTTCTTTTTTTGAAGTATCCCAAAGGAGACTCATGATTTCATTGAAGAATTTCATAAAAATAAAATTAAACTCGAACAGGTAAATTTAAAATTAAAAAAATAAAATTTTTTTTAAATTTAAATTTAGATTTGTAAATCAATGGAGCAAGTACTTGAGAAATGGGATGTAAAGATTCGTCCAGCAAGTGCTGCTCCCTCATTAGATGCAAGACTGACATATCCACATAAATGTGCTGAACAATTGGGGAAAATACAAAAGTTGCCATTCACTGACGATATTGATGAAGTAAATGAAGTATTAATTGCAACACAAGTAGCTTATTCTGATTTGGCAACTTTAGAGAGAGAACATTTGGTTAAGGTAGGGGGGGGGGAAGAGAGGGAGAATATTTTTAAGAATTTATTTTTATTTTTAAAGCTCTACAAAACTGTTATTGAGAAAATCTTCAAAGGCTATTTAGTTAATGAAGTGCCAGGAATTGAAAGGAATATTAAATCAACAAATGAGGCAGCTATTGCTTTAGGTCGAGCAATTGAAGTTGTTGAATTAAAGCCAACTCCGATCAACAAAGAATATCTTTCCAAAGCTGAAAGTAATTTTAGCTTTGCATTAGTGAAGGTATTTATAAAAAATTAAGAACTAATTTCTTTTTTATTTTTAAGATGGATCAATATGTTCGGAGTTTTCCTGATCGACAGAAAGAATTCGCTCGTGGTGCTAATTTGTTTGCCCAAGGATTACGTGAACATTATGTTCGTCTACACCGTTCGATGAATGCAACATTGGAATTATTGGACAAGAAGTTGGCTTCTCACCGTAATGAACAAGAAGATGAAGGTGGAGCAGTACAGGGAGAAGAAGGAGCTGAGGGAGAAGGAGGAGAAGTAGTAGAAGAGGGAGAAGGAGATGAGGGGCAATAAACTTTAATTAATAAGTGATATTGTATATATTGTGTGTTCATACATATTAACTGTTAATCTCGACTCATTCTTTCCTTTTTTGGCATAATTATTTTTGATAATGTAAATGTATGTGTAAATTAGATTCATTTTTAATTAAATAAAGTTTGTATAATTTAAAAGGAAATAAATATATTTTTAGTTCAATAAAAAATTCTTTTAAATTTATTTAAAAAAGAAATATTTTAAAATAAATAAAAATAAAATAAAAATATTTTGTTTTATTTTTCTTCTTCTACAAATTCCAGAATTAATTAAAAATTTTGAAGATTTTTCTGCTGATGTTTTTAAAATTAATTTATTTTTATTAAATAATTCGTCTTTTTTGTTTAAATTATTTAATGAATATTTAATTAAAGATCTACAAGAAATTGGTAAAGGAGAATCAAAGCCTAATTGTTGATATAAAGTATCAAAACTTGAAAATTCAAGTCCAATAAAATTAAGTAATAAAGAAGCTGGTTTGTCTCCACAACTTGAATTAATTATTGGTAACCTTTAAAAAAATTTTTTTGATAATATTTACAGAAAATTAATTCTAAAAAATAATTTTGGATATACTTTAGCCGGTGGCCCACTCAGAAACGGGTCAAATTATATATCATTCGATTCGCCTCGGCGAGCTGAGTCGAATGGTACCACTCTTTTTTTGCGGAAATTCCTACGAGCCGAGATATAGGTCCTTGAAAACCGAAAAACCAAAGGGGGGACCAAGCACTTTTTTGGGGTGAAAAATTCGAACATGCAAATAATAGCTCATTCGAAAGAGCTCGTCGAGCTGAGTCGAATGACACCAAAATCAACGAAATCTAACTTCATATGACCGAGTTACAGACCCCTGAAAACTGGTAATTCAAAGGGGTGATTTTTGGAATTAAAAATTTTTTAACCATATTATAGTTCATTCGAAAGAGCTCGAAGAGCTGAGTCGAAAGACACCAAAATCACCGTGATTGAATAGGTTTAGACAAAGTTACAACACAAAAAAGAAGAAACATAAACCTATGGGGCGGCAGCGAGGCGCTTGTGCAAAACCCCGCGCTTCGCGCGGGGTTTTGCGGCACGCGCCTCGCGGAGAGTCTACGGGCGCTGGGTCTGGGCTCGTAACATAAACCTATTCCTATCTCCCTTGTTCTGGACGTATTTGGGGCCTCTGTAGCAGCAAAAATCTCCACAGATGCCATAGGTAAGGAGCTAAAAGAAAAGATCATAACTTTGTCAAACCAAGTCGGATTTCGTTGATTTTGGTGTCATTCGACTCAGCTCGACGAGCTCTTTCGAATGAGCTATTATTTGCATATTCGAATTTTTCACCCCAAAAAAGTGCTTGGTCCCCCCTTTAGTTTTTCGGTTTTCAAGGACCTATATCTCGGCTCGTAGGAATTTCCGCAACAAAAGAGTGGTACCATTCGACTCAGCTCGCCGAGACGAATCGAATGATATATAATTCGACCCGTTTCTGAGTGGGCCACCGGCTAAAGTACAGCCATAATTTTTTTAATAAAAATTTTTTGGGAAATTTTTTTTTAATTTCCTCTTTTAAACATTTTACTTAAAATATTTTTAATTATTTACATGCAACGAATGACAGAAGAAAGATCCCTTTAAAATTATTTTTTTTCTAATTAATTTTCTTTTTCAATTATTTACCTGCAAAGAGCACTAAAACGCATTTGCATTGAATGAAATTCACGAGAAATAATTGCATTTGTAAATAAAAGTGTTGTTTCTTGTGAACGATTTATTTGAATAGAACAATGTTTAACCCCTTTTATTTCATTTCTTTTAAAATAAATATTTAATTAATTAATTTTAAATTTAATTTACTCAAAAAGGCAAGGCAATGAACCAAAAAATTCTTTAAAAAATAATTTAAAATAATTTAATTTTTGTTTTTTTACCTTCTTTTCTTTGTTTACAAACAAATTGTAACCCAGCATAAGCTGTTTTAAGATCAGCAACTTGTTTACTTTTAGACTCACAACGTAATAAACATTCATCTACTTCCCGATATGAACTTTAAATAAATATTTTTTTTTAATTCTAAATAATTTTCTAAATTTATTTACTTGCAAACATTTTTAAAGAATTTGCTCATAAATGCTTGTTCATTACTGTATAATATTGAAGAAGTTGGGGTTACTTCAATTAACTGTTAAAAAATAAAAATAAATATTTTTTTTAAATTTTATTTTAAACTTTTCCCATTTCTTGAATACAATTTCCATCACACCCAATTGTTGACAAGTCTAAAGATACACTAAATACTTTAATGGATTTTAATAAAATTAAATAAATTATTAAATTAATTATTTTAATTAATTTATTAGTATTATTAATCATTTTAAATATTTTTTATAAATATTTAAAGGGAAAAAAAGTTGAAAGAAAAAAAAGAAAAAAATGTTCTTTTAAAAATAAAGAAATAAATTGAATTCTTTCACTAAACAAAACAATTAATTTGATTGACATATTTTAAAATTAAATAATTAGCTTTAAATTTTTTTAAAAGACAATTAGTAAAGATAAATATATATTTAAATTAAATATCAAAATATATATGTACATATTTTTCTTAAATGTTAATGTATTAATTTGTAATCTTAAATTATTAGTTATTTATTTAGTGTTAATTATATTAATTATACATATTACTGTAATACTAAAACAACAAAAGCATGATGAAATGGCTAACTTTTTTAATAGAAAAGAAAAAAAATTTAGGTGCCGTGTGATTCTGGCGGAAGTGCTGAAATCAATTAAAGCAATTTTTTATCTTTAATTAAAATCCAAAAAATTTTTTTAAATGTCTTCAAAAATTCCAATGAATATAATTGTTGCTGTGGATGAAAATTTTGGAATTGGAAAGAATAATTCTTTGCCGTGGAGATTACCTAAAGAATATAAACATTTTATTAATTTAACAACAACAACTAAAAATCCTAATAAAATTAATGCTGTTTTGATGGGTAGAAAATGTTGGGAAAGCATTCCTGAAAAATATCGTCCATTAAAGAATCGTTTAAATATTGTAATGACTAAAACTTGGGTGACGCCTGAATTTGTAATTTTTTTTTTATTTTTCTAATTTTTTTTTAATTTTTGTAAATTTTTAGGTTGACGAAAATTTGATTTTTATAAATAGTTTGGACTCTTTAAATTTAATTTTGGAATCAAAACCTTATGAAAATTTAATTGAGACAATTTGGTTTGTTTTTCTTTTAATTATTTTAAATATTTTTTCTTTTTTTTAAGGAATATTGGTGGAAAACAAATTTATTCTTTAGGAATCGAACATCAAAATTTAAATAAAATTGTTTTAACTAAAATTGATAAAAATTTTGATTGTGACGTTAAATTTCCTGAAATTAATTGGAATCAATTTATTGAAGAAGAAAAGACAGAAATTGTTGAAGAAAAAGGATTGTGTTGGAAAGCAATTACTTATATTAAAAAATAAATTTTGATTGAGTTTGTTTTTTTGATTATATACCTCCTCTTATTTTTCTCTATACATTCACTTAATTGTATTTTTCTTTCCAAATTTCACTTAAATATTTTTTGGCTTAAATTAAATAAATTTATTTTTTGTTGTTTTTCTTTTCAATTTCAAATTTATTAATTATTAAAATATTTATTTTTTTCCAAAATTACCTTTTTATTTCTAAATATTTTTTAAAGATGATGTTTCCTTTTAATACTCCTTATAATTATTTATTAAATTGGGCATTTGTTTGTTTTGCTATTCCATGGCTTTATAGCTATTTTAATGAGCAACACAGATTGACTACAATGCCTGTTGAACAGGTTTAGGAAGATTTTATTTAAACGTTTTTTTATTTAAAATAATTTAGGCAATGTTGAAAGCTTGGGAGAATTTTATTGCCCAACCTTCAATTAAATTTCGTAAAGTTATTGTTGGGTAAGTTTTTAAATTTTAATTTTTAAATTATTTTTTTAAAGTATAAATTGTAATGTTGACGTCATTGTTTCGGGAGTATCTGTTATAAATAATTTAAATATTTCTTCGCCTAATCCTATCGGAGATAAAGAAATGCTTGGAGGATTTGAGGTTTTTTTATTTTTTATTTAAAAATATTTTTGGGAAAGGACCTTTATGAAGTTTTTGTTCATTTCTTTACACGTGGAGCGCCTGCTGAGCGTTTTATGGCTAATGATTTAACTTTTGACAAAATTGTTTCTGCTATTGAAGATAATCAATTACATGCACAAGTTTTTTAATTTCAAAAATTATTTTCTAAAAAATTATTTTGTAGCATTATATTGGTGGAAATGCTGCACTTATGGCTCAAAAAATTGCTTCAGCTTTTCCATATGCAACCGTAATTTTAATAAAAATACTTTTTAATTTTTTACATTTTTATAGCCTTATTTAGTTGGACCTATAGGTGAATTTTGATAAATATATTCAAAAAAATTAAATATTTTTTAGGCCCTCGTAGTCAAGCACTTCTCCATCCTTCAATTGTCCGTAACAATTTTACTAGAATTGTTCAAGATGAAATGCACGTTATTTTGGAATATAAACAGGGAGAAATACTTGGAGAATATGTTGCTCCAGCAAGTTCTAGATTTATTATTTCACATGACCAATTTAGGTTAAAAAAATTTTTTGTTAAATTTATTTTTTAAATTTTTTTAGTGGAAGCGCTATGGTAATTGAAATGTTTTTTAAAGCAATAATGCAATTTAGACCTGATTTAATTATTTTTTCTGGTATTCATAGTATGGAAGCACAGGTTTTTTTTTAATAATTTCATTTTAAATTTAATTTAAAAATTTAAAGAATCAAGAAGCTCGTCTGGAAAAACTACGCCTTATTAAACGTTCACTTCTTCAAATAAATCCTCTCATTCCGATACATTTACAATTGGGAAGTATGCCTGATGCTAATATTGCCGATGATATCTTGAAAAGAGTTTAATTTGAAAAAAAATTTTTTTAATTAATTTTTAGATAATTCCAAATGTTGATTCTCTTGGTATTAATGAACAAGAATTAACTTTTCTTTCAAGAGTTGGTGGAGGACCTTTTAAAGAACAATATCCAATAAGTGCAGGGACTCTACATGCTTATAAAGTTTGTTTTATAATTTTTTAATTATTTATATTTTTTTATTTAGGCAGTAGAAATGCTTTATTGGTTACTTTCAAATTATGGACATGATAGAAATAATCCAGAAAGTAAAAATTATAATCAACGTCTTCAACGAATCCATTTTTATTCCCTCACTTATCACATTATGGTTAATGGAATTTATTCAAAATTTAACATTTTTTAATTTCAAAGGTTAGTAAAGGCCCAGATTGGTCGAATTTAGCAGCAGGTTTAGCTGCAGGTGCTCGATTAGCTGGTCGTCAATCTTGTAATTTGGCATTGTCTTCTGGTAGAGCAACTGATTTTGATAAATTAGAAATTCGTTCAAGTCAAACTGTTTTATTAGACAAACGAGTCAATAAAGTATTTAAATTTAATCCGCACAGGTTTTTAAAAATTATTTTTTAATTTTTTTTTTCAATTTTAGTCCACTTGCCTCGTGGATGCGCGGTGACCTTGTATTTATTTACACTCCTGTTTTTGTTTGTAAATTTCCTCAACACACTGGTAAAAAATTTAAAATTTGTTAATTTTATACAATTATTTCAAAGTTGGAGTAGATGATGCAATTGCTGCTTCTGCCCTTCTTTATTCACAATTTTTTAAATTAGAGAGGAAAAATTGGTAATAAAATTAGAAATTTAAATTGAAGAAATTATAATTAAACCGGGTAAAATTTACTTTAAAATATTTTTGCTCATTAATTAGGTATTTGACTTTAAATATAATTATTTTATTTTGAATTTTTCTAAATAAAATGGTTCTACTTTTTATTGTTCTATTTATATTTTATTTTTAAAATAAATTTTAATTATTTAGTCAGTTAATTTTAGTTTTTAAATTGTTTAAATTTATTTTAGATTTAAAATAAAAACTCTTTAAATATAATATGAATGTTTTAAAACAATTACATTTTCAACTTATTGATAAAAGGTTTCGAAATTTTTAATTCGGAAATTTTTAAATTTTTATAGGATATTTAATATACGAACAATGAGGAGTGTGGCTAAAATTGATTCTAGTAAGAATTCTCTACAATTAAGAAGACCGGAAAAGCGTTTACTTAAATTAAACTTTGATCATATACCTATGAAGGTTTTAAATTAAATTTTGAGAAATCTAATTTCTTTTTTGAGGATCAAGTTGTAGTTATGTTTCCTGGCTATGGTACTCAATATTTGACTATGGGACGTAATGTGAGTAAAAAATTCTAAATATTATCAACCATTGATTTCAGGTAATTGACAATCCAAATAGTAAAAGGCTTTTTGATCGGGCAAACGGTATTCAAAAATATTTTTCACCGAATATTTATTAAATTTTACAGAATTTTTGAAATTTGATTTATTTGATCTTTGCCAAAATGGTCCAAAAACTAAACTTGATCAAATAATTTATTCTCAGATGGCAATTTTTGTTTCTTCTCTCGCAGCTTTTGAAAAATTAAAAACAGAACAACCAGATATAATGGATCGTCTTACTGGTAATTTTTTTAATTAATTTATTATTTTTTTTTAAAGATGTTGCTGGTTTTGGACTGGGTGAATTCTGTGCATTAGTAGCTGCAAATGTAATCAATTATGATGATGGTTTTTAATTATTATCTAAAAGGGAATTAATAAAATATTTTTTAAGCCTTAAAAATAATGAAGATTTATGCAGATGCTACTGAAAGATGTTCACAATTATCATATTCTGGTATGATAACAATTCGAACATGTGCAGAGTCTCAACTATTGAAGGCTTTATCCGAAGCGAAAGAATACTCGGAGTGAATTTTTTTTAAATAATTTTTAAAAATTTTTAAAAGATCAAAAGGAGAGCTTCCTCTTTGCGAATTGGCAGGTTATTTATTTTGCCATGTGAAGATAATTGCTGGAACAATGAAAAGTCTAGGATTCCTTAATCAACATGCTAAACATTTTAAATTTCAGGTTTATTTAATTTTAACATTAATATTTTTTATCATCTTAGATACTCAAACGTTTGCCAATTTATGGTGCCTTTCATACGACACTAGTAAATCTCCTTTCTAATTTTAATTTCAGTATTTTTATACGTAGATGAACGAAGCTGCAAATGATGTTAGGGAATACTTGGAAGGAATTAACGAAATAAATATTCCTTGTATAAATGTTTACTCAAACTACACGGGAAGACCTCACTTATTTCAAATAAAAAGATTAAAACGTGATATTGTCAGACAAATTACAAATCCAATTAAATGGGAACAGATTGCACAACTTCTTTTCCAAAAGAGACAGGTTTTTAGATTTTTGTTTTAAATTAATAAATTTTTCTAGAATGAGGATTTCCCTTCTTATATTGAAGTTGGGCCAGGTAAACAACTTGGAAATATTCTATATAATATTGGAAAGAAAACTAGAAATACATATATACATTATCCACCTTAATTTTATATTTTGTTGAATTTTAAATAGTTTTTGAGAAACTTTTTGCTCAAAATGGTCAGGGAAGCAGGAAATAAGGGTAGGCGACAACAAACAAAAAAACTTACAAGCTAATATTTCTAATTTGTTTTTAATGACATTCTTAATTCTTCCAAGGCATTACGAAATTCGCACGTTGTCCCATTTTCATATTCGTTCCATTTGTAAAATTTTTTCACTCGGCCAGATAAGGCATTGTCCAATTCCATTTTCTTGACCTCATTTGTAAAGAATTCCCTAAAAATTTTTAATAGAATCAACTTAAAATAATTTGGATTAAGTTGAAAAAAATTAAAAATAAAAATTTGTTTAAGAGTTATTTATAGTGTGGTCCTGGAAGCTAATCGGTTAAATGTCCTATATTACTCAAAGGACAAACCTTTTTTTATCCTGTAACCTCCGCCACTTTAACATTAATTCATTTAAAAGTACATCCGTATGCAAAAAGTCATTAAACTTTTCGTTGCAAATATCCCCATCAACTTCTTTACATCCATCCTCGTTTTCTTTTTCTTCACTAACATATTCTTCAACTTCTTGACTAACATCTTCATTAACTTTTTCATTAACATATTCGTTAACTTCCTGGCCAACATTTTCGTTAACTTCTTCTTTATCGCAAACACTTTTGTTGTCAGGATGGACCAATTTCAATTGATCAAAAAATTCGGCAGTATCATTAATAAAATTATCACTACAGGAATTACTTCCCCCCTATAAAACTATTTAATTTATAGTTTTTAAAATTAAATTACCTCATCAGAATAATTTCCTTCTAAAATCGCAAAAAATGCCTTTGTATCTTCATCCTCAAGAAATTCCATTGAAGATTTTATTGAAAGATTTGTGATATTAAAAATAACAAAAACTCAACGCTAAAATGTGAATAAAGAAATAATTATAACAAATCAAATGTAAATTCCAGTTATGCTCATTGTCAGTCTCTGAATTCCGTAGATGCGATTTTACTGAGTTCTTCGATCTTGTACATATTTAAAATCTAAATTTTAGCAAAATGAGACACGCCAAATCCAAAAATACACCCAATTCGGCCAAGCTCAAAATGCCCAATAGATTAAAAAATTTCGTCCCACTAAAACTAAAAATCTGGACAAACTTATTTTTTGTCTGGCACTAATTAACATACTTAATATTTTGCAAAATTATGGGAGATGAAGGCTGGCAGATTAGAGAAAGAAGATTTACAAAAATTAAAACAGATTAAGAGAAATGCAGCAAAATGTTAGTTTAAACGTTTAAATTATCCTAATTTTATTTAATAATTTAATTTAGGCACTCATGAAAATGTGAAGGAAAAAGTTTATGAAAGTTTTACTTCAGCGGAAAATTTTCTTGAATTTATTAATAATTGGGAGAATATTTCGGATGGGGATGATTTATTAATTTTTTTATTGCGGATTTTGTCTACATTAGAAAATCAAAATATATTTATTGCCAATAATCAAATTTATGAAGCTTTGTTCAAAAGGTTTTTTTAATTAAAATTTTTTTATTAAAATTTTATTTAGATCTTTCAACTCAATAAAATCCCACATTGATCCTAAAATTTGTGAAATTTCTTTTCTAATTGTTTCAAAAATTTGTAACACTACAGTTAGAATTATACAAGCAATACAGTTTAATTTTGACATTTTTTTGTTTAGGTATAATTTTTATTAAATTATTTTATTTTTTTTAAATTAAAAAAAATGGTAATTTTTTAAAATATTCATTTTAAATTTTAGATATATTTATACTTTGAATCCATCACAATACAATGGAGAACCGCAAGCTTTACACTTTCTCTCCGTCTCCTTTTCTGTTTTACTTAAAACTAATTTATTTGAATCTTTATTAATTAATTGGTGGCGTTTTCGATTTTTTCTTCAAAATTCAATTAATTGTCTAATGGATATTGCTTTTGGACAAAATTCTCCATTTTCTTTATCGAATGAACAGAAAACCCAAAATAATTCTGATTCAGTTAAAGATTGTGTTATTCAAATTTTATCTGTGCCAAAGGGGTAAATTAATTTTAATTATATTATAAAATTAAAAAAAAAGATTCCCTAAAAATCTTCAAATTTCTTCTATCGGAATTTTACTTGAATTACTTATACAACATCCTGAATTACTTTTTGAAATGAATATTGGTTTAAATTGGTTTATACCTACAATTAATCAATCAGCTCTGGGAACAGTTTTAATAAATATTTTGTGTAAATGGCTTGATTCTCCAATCATAAGAGAAAAATATGAATTAAAATTTATTGTTGAGGTTTTTTTAAATTTTTTTGTAACTACTAGCAATAAAATTTTGGTTAGCAATTATTTTGTCCGTTTATTTCTTTTGATTCAATACATGATCTTTCTGCCAAAATCGAGTAAGTCGTTAAAAATTTTCGATTATTGAAATAGGACATTCTTTTTACTTTTTCGAAAAATTAAAATTATTAAATTTATAGTAGTTATTCACATTCAACAACATTAATTGAAAGATGCAAGAATTCTCTTTTTAATTTATTGATTACTTGGCCTGGTTTATTTACTTTTTTCTCAAATAATTCTTCTAATCGGCAGTTTGGGTTTTTTATAATTATAAAATAATTATTAAAAAAATTTTTTTAGTTTATTTTCTCATATTGGTTGTCAAATTGAAAATTTGAACTCTGATAAAATAAAATGTTGCACAATAGAGCTCTTTTCTGATCTGCTAAATGTTCCCTATGCAAGACATGAATTTCTTGATAATAATTGGGAGAAGGCTTTCTTTTTTTATAGTAAATTTTGTACCAATAATACTCAAAAATTTGAAATAAAATTTTAAATCAGAACAAATTAGACTTCCTGATTTGTTCAGTATTTCTCTTCGTGATGATTTTTTGCTTGCAGAAATTTCTTATTTGGATAATCAGAAGGACGATTCCTTTATAGATTTATTAGAAATATACAGATCTGTTGTTCTTTTTAAAATTGTTTCTGAAAAATTTCCTGAGGTTTTTTTTATTTAAATCATTAAAATTCTTTTTTTATTTAAGGCTCTTATTCGTTTAATTCTGCAAAATCCAGACTGCCCAATTTCAATTAAAGCAACATTTTTACTTGCAGATATACTTTATGTATTTATTTACTATTTTTATTTAAAAATTTAATTTCAAATTTTTAGATGTCTAAAATACTTCCAAAATCTGTTAGAATTGAAGCAATAAACAATAATAATTTAATTAATTCTGTTGTTGAATCATTTAATTTAAATGAAAATATTTCTAATAAAGACGAAAAGAAAAGGTAAAAACCCGCTTATTTTTAATAAATTTGTGTTAATTCAGGAATTCTTTTCTTTTAATTGATCGTCTTAATGAAGTCAATAATTTTTTAAATAAGCCAACAAAATTAGAATTTTTAACTTTAATTAATACATTTCTTATTGTAAATTTAGAAGAATTTAGAAGAAGTCGATCTGTATCAATATTAAATACTAGTAGACATTCATCAACTACAGCTAATTTTGATGATTGTAATAATAATGTTAGTGGAGTTATTGAAACTTTTTCTGAAGAAACTCCATCGGGTAAAATTTGTTAAAAATTATTTAAAATATTTTTTTTCAGATTCTTTTGATTCAAATATTGATAAATTAATTTCAAATGTATTTATTACTCAACCTACTAAAAAAACAAAAATTTATAAAAACATTAATGTTCCAGAAATTGCCCAACAAAAATTAAAGAAAAATGATTTATTAGAAGATTCAAATAAATATTTAATTGAAAATATTGATTGGAATATTATTTGGAGAATTTTATCTTTTATTGATGATAAAATAATCTCTTTTCAAAACAAGTCAACAATTATTAAATCAACAATTGACAAATGTATTCCAATTTTTAATCAAGTATTTTTAATATATTTTTAACTAAATTTCAAAAAATTCTAATTTTTTAAAAAGATTCTTTATTTATTTTTACCTTCAAAGCAATTTTTTATACAAAACAAACCATCAATTCAATTGATCAAATGTGGTCAATATTTTATTCAGTTACTTTGTTTATTCAATTCATCAACTTTTGTTGGAAATGATAATAGTCAATGGGCATTAAACATGGTCAGTTTAATTTTTAAAAATTTGAGAAATCCTCTTATTAAGAATATATGTAATTAGCTTAATTTTTAATGTTTTTTATAGTTGTCGAACTTCATAAACGACTTTTGCAATCAAATTAATATGGTGAGAATTAACCTTAAATGGGTTCTGGAGACTTCTATTTAAATATCGTTATAGGACAAATCTGAAGCTGTTTTTAGTTCAAAGAATTTATCATTTGGCGGATCATCAGTTTATTTTGCCTTACTTCGTGCACTTTTATCTCAACCTTTTGGACAGAAATTATTTGACCAAACAGGACTTGGGCAGATGTGAGTAGAATTTTTTAAATTAAATTCCCAAACAAAATTAGAATTAATTTAATTAAAATGTTTTACAAATGAAAAAAAAAGCAAATTTAAAAACTTATGGACGTTGACTTAGATAAAAACATTTTTGTATTTGCTGCAATTTCTGAAGGCATTTGTATTTTTCTACCAACATTCCGTCATTTGGAAGTCCACCAGTTGGGTTGCAATAGGGACGGCAGTGTTCAAATCCAGCCTCGAAAACATTGAATTCTTGACAACAAGGAGTTGCGTCCTCATATCCGCTTGCTATCGATGAAAAGAATTTTTTAAATAATATTTTCGTAATGATTTTCTACCGCAAATCATCATGTCAGCGACTTTATTTATAGGACAGCGACCAGTTAGCACTGCAAGTTGAATCTGAAAATTAAATTTTTTTTATTTAATTCCTGGTCTTATTGATATCCATCATTTCTTTAATATTTTTAAATTAAAACGTACATTAGTAAGGTTTTGGTCATAACTACATAATTGAGAGCAGCCTTCTCCTAACTGTGAGCAACAGTTTTGGAATCGTTTATTTGCTAATTCTTTTGGTACACAAGGCTCCCAATTTTGTTTTGGACACTAAAATATAATTTCAGATAAATCCAAATTTTATCAATACCTTTTCTTCGCTCTCTCCTCCAGATAATATGCTATTGCCTATTATATCTGCTCCAGGTTCTCTAATTTTGTTGTTAATTGTTGACAAACCTTAATAAGACCTTTCTGATATTTTTCTTATATTTTTTTAAAGTTTTATTCATCTTAATTGATTTTAACCTACTTTTTTCGTCTGCCCATCCATTTCCTACTTTTCCATCAATCGGTTGTAGTTGTGGGATTTTATAAAATTTTTGGAAATTTTGTTGTGGTATTGCTACGTTTGGTACTGTGTGTATTATGTTAGCTGGTCTTTCGTCTATACTCATCATTGGCTGATTGTAAATCTGATGGGAAAATATGGAAGGCATCTGTGTTTGTTGAGGTGCATTATTTTGGACAACTTGTGGAATTTGTATTAGTTGATTATTCGGAGATTGAATAGAATGAAGTTGGCCACCTTGGAAATTTTGTTCAAAAGTTTGTTGTGGGGATATTGAAGGAGAGAATTGTTGTATCTTAAAATTATTAAAACATTTGATATGAACATCTTTCAATAGCTAACGAACCGATTGGTAAGATTGTTGTTGGAACGGATTGCTTAATTGTTGTTGCTGCTCTTTCTGAATTTCTAATGGTTGGAAATTTGTTGGGGGTGGAGGGGGAGGAATAGGATATTGCTGCTGTTGAGGAATAGGTCCTCCATAAAAACCACCTCCTCCAATATAATTTTGTGTATTTTGTTGCTGTTGAAAAGGTTGGACAAAAGTATATTGTGGTTGTTCTTGTCTGTATTGCAAATTTTGAAAATTTGGGGTTTTCCTTAAAATTGTTTCATGTTGCTGTTCTCTATTTCCTTGAAATTGTTTTTGTTGTGAGAATAAATTTGACGGTCTTTGTAAATTATTTGTGCGTTGCTTGTTTCTATTTAAGTTTGTCGGGATTTGTTGTGCATATGGTACTGTTATTGTAGGCTGAGAGAATGCTTTGTTGTTTACTTCGTTGTCTATTACAGGTTTAAGCTTTATTCAAATTTTTTAAGGTTATCAGAAAAAATCTCACCGCTGTCAAGAAATGTTTGTTTTGTTGTCTTATCGGTTCTTCTGTTGTTGTTGGACAATTACTGCAGGCAATAGGGCACATTTGTAAAATAAAATATACTTTACAATGTACACATTTTGCACGGCTACAGCTTGGTAAATCACTTAATGATGATCTAACAATGGACATTAAAATAATTAAATAAATAATAAGTTTTGGCTGCATTTACTAAAAATTACGATGAAAGATTGCTTAAATTACTTTAAAAACATTCTTGAAAATTATTGTTAAGATTATTTCGACGGACATAAATAATTTATAATCTTTCAGACATTTTTAAGAAACTGTTTTCAAAGTGTGCGCCTATTTTTCGTAAAAATTCTTTCAAATTTATAATGGGCTTCCATTTTTCTCATCATCTTAACAAAAATTAGAGAAATGAATGAATTAAGGAATTTGAGAGGCTAATGTTTCTTTGTTAGTAGGCTTAAGTTGCTTTGACTTGCGCATATTAGCTATCTGATTTGAATGAATCTGGAAATTCTTAAAGTAGTATAGAACAATGACCATAATAGATGTCCATTTGAAGAGGGAACGAAAGTGAATTGGATTGGGGTTTTTAGCTATAATGGTGGAAAAATTGAATGTCAGCGGGTAGTCTGTTTTTGTTTCTTTTTGATTTCTGTCGATTTTGGGTAGATCTTTAAGGGTTTGTAATTTTACCATTTTTAGTTTTTAGAAAAATTTATTTAAGTTTGTTTCTTACATATATGACCAGTCTTAATTGTTTCTCTTGTTAAATGTCAAATTTTGTTATAATATTCGAATACTAAATGATCCTGTGAGAAAAAGAAATTTAAAGTTTTTTGAAAGAATGTCGGCAAGCAGATTGGACGAGAGAGAATTTTGTTTTAGATTAAAAACGACTGCTGGAAACGAGAATTTTTCAATCGACTAAATTCACCATCAGCGCTTTAAACGGACAAGTCTGCCTGCTCAACACTTAAATGTTGAGTAGAGCATATACGAGATTTTTAGCCGCGAGGCAAATGAAGATGAAATAAACATGTAATATGTATTTCTGGGGATATTTGTAAAATGCTAAATTTACTGAAAGCTTTCATTTTCAGCAGATGCGAAAGGAAATTTAGGGAAAATTATTGAATGAATTAGGAAAATTTGTTTTTGTTTCATAAAAAAATAATAAGTGCGAAATAATTATGATATTAATAAAAATATTTTCTCAAATTTTTTTCAGATTTTTGGACAAATTACTTGAAGAATGCACTTCACCAGAGCTGATTAAATTGATTATTGTTTCTCTTGATTATTTCCCTTTATTGCCACGACTCGATTCTGAGGATTGGTATTTTCCTCGTTTTTTGCTTGAAAACGTTCTTATTTCTTCTAAAAATATTGTAACAATCGTTTTTAAATAAAATTTAACAAACTAAAAGGCCATCCGAAAATGGTGTACTAAATTTGTGGGAAGCTTTTTTACTCTTAATCAACATTACGCTTTATTCCAAATCAACTTCTCTTGGAAATGGCCTTTAAATTTGCTTTTTCTTAAACTTTCTGATACTTCTCCTAAAGTTGTTAACTTAACAGCACGTATTTTGTTGAGATGGCTTTCTGTAAGTTTTTCCAAATTTTTAGCTGACCGAGCTTTTAACTCTATAATTTCTTCAAAAAAATCTTGTAGTTGTGTCCAATTGATGTTCTTATTGAAATGAGGGAACAACTTTTGCGGGCTAAATTAGAAACTCTTGGTGATGTTGGAATTCTTTTGGAAGTATTTCTGTTCGATGCAGATTTGGACACAATGGAAGTTGATAAATCTAAATTGTTATTAGAAATTGCTTCTAATTCTTTAAACAAATGGAATGATGTATTTAAATAAAAATTTAAAAAATACTATAATTTAAAATATTCTTTCTAGTATTTCTATATTCATTACAATGAAATTATTGCTGAACAAATTCGAAGAGCATTGATTAATAATGACGGAACTAATTTTTTCTGCTTTAAACGTTCAAAGAATGGCGATTTTGCACGTGCTTCGGGACAATTGTTTATTTTTAAACTAAAAATATTTTAAAATTTCATTTTTTATTTAAAGATCTACATCTGTACCAACCCATAAAAAGCAAAAGGTTTTTCCTCCCCCTCATCTTTACGGTCATTTGACACGCTCAAAAGTTGGTCAAAATCTTTTGAAAAATCGAAATATTATTGGGAAATTGGAGGCTATAATTTGCAATTTTCTACAGAAAGGGATTTGTGTTGCTCAGATTGATGAAGTTAAAGGTGGAAAAACTTTTCTTTAACCAATTAAAATATTTTTTCAGGTTCCCTTTTTGCTTTGGCCCAAATTCTTGCAAATTTGCCATCTTATGTAATTTTCCCATTCAGTAAATACACACAATTATTATTGGAATGTTTTTTACAACAAAGGAATAATTCTAATAATTTACCATGGCTTTCTATTAGAGGATGTGCAATTTGGGCAATAAATATTGCAGCAACATCAAAAAATCAACTTGGTAAATTTTTTAAAATAAATTCTTTTTTAAATTAATTTTATTAGTAATTAAAACACTTTTTGAATTTGGCTGGGAATTTGGAGAATCTTTTGATAATTTTGAATTAAAAATTGATAAAAATTTTCTTTTTTCAAAAAATAAATTTATTTTTAATTATCTCCAAAATAATGACAAAAAACAAAAAAGAAGAATAATTGAAAGAAGAAAAAGAATAAAAAGTGAATTAATTAATGAAAGGAATTTAATGTAGGTATTTTAATTAATTTTTTTTAATTTTAAAATTTAATTACTTAGAAATGCCATTTTTCGTTCAAATTCTTTGGATAGCTTTTTTAATAATTATAATTCTACTTCAAATTATTTTTATACAAAACAAGATAGTAATTCTGAAGAATTTTGTGAAAGAGGTGCTGCTAATATATTAGAAGAAAAGAAAGAACACCACAAAATTACCGAAAAGGAGGTAGTTAATATTTAAAAAATTTATTTTTTTATTTTTTAAGAATAATGATCTCATTGCTTATAGAAAGTTTTTAGCAAAAATTGATAATTTGGATAGACAAACAGAATATTATTATAAACAAATAAATAATTTTAATAATTTTGGACATGTAATTTTACCAAAAAATATTTCAACAATTTTTAGTGTAAAATTTTAATTAAAAAAATATTTTTTTAAATTTTATTTAGGATATCTTTAATGAAAGTGAAAACAAAAAAGAATCTTCTTGTCTTGAAAATAAAAAATATTTAAAATTTTCAATAAATAAAAAACATTGTAAATTTTTATGTATTTTTTGTTCATCTCCAGAAAAATCAAAAAATATTGAAGAAAAAAAAGAAGAAAAAAATGAGGAAAAAGAAAAAACAGAAAATGAAATACGGCAATTAATTTATCAATTGGCTACTCAATTTTCAAATACAGAAATAACTATTAAACTTCTTCGGTAATTTTTATTTTCTGAATTTTTAAATTAAAAAATTTTTTTAGAATTTACAAAGAACAGCCAGAGATATTCGAAAATTGTTGTCTTTTCTCCGATGTGATCAATTTTATTAGCGATTCGAAAATTATTTCATTTGGAGGACGTCGTTTACTATATCAGTTATTTTGGAAAACTCTTTCTAATTAATTAATTTTATTTGTTTAAATAATTATAAAATAAATTTGTTTTTTAAATAGTTTTAAATTAAAATATTTATAATCGAGAAATTTATGTATAAATTTAACAAAATATCAATTTTTTCTTTTTAATTCTGTTTTATTTAGTGATTTATCAAATTCACAATTGATTGAAAATTTAACAAATGGAAACATGCATTACTTAAAATATTTACTTATTTGCTCTTTTAAATTGATCAAAATGACTCAGTCCTAAATATGAGTTTTAGAAGAAAATACCTTCTTTTTCATTTTATATTCTCATTTGTATTTTTAAGTTATTTGAGGTGTCCTTCGCCGAATCAGCCCGTCCGGATTTTTCTCGACGAGGTTCTAAATCTGGGTTAATCCCGGAAAATCATTTACAAAATCCGAAAAAAGAAAGACTTCCCAAGTTATACTTTATTAAAAAAAATTTTTATCAAGTGTGCAAACTTTTCGTGTCGGGCTAACTCAAGGAACGGACAAGTCAAGGAACGACAAATCAAGGAACGACAAGTCAAGGAAAAGACAAATCAAGGAACGACCAACTCAAGGAACATACCAACTCAAGGAACAGACAAGTCAAGGAAAAGACAGGTCAAGGAACGACCAACTCAAGGAATGACCAACTCAAGGAATATTTTAAAAATCGAAATTTCTTGAAAAATCTGAATATTTTTAGAAAATAAGAATTTAAAAACAGATTAGAACACTAAAAAACAGAATTTAAAAAAAATTATGAAAAATTCTGGGTTTTAAAAATTGTATTCTGATTTTTAAAATATTCCATGAATTGGTCATTCCTTGAGTTGGTCGTTCCTTGACCTGTCTTTTCCTTGACTTGCCTGTTCCTTGAGTTGGTATGTTCCATGAATTGGTCGTTCCTTGACTTGTCTTTTCCTTGACTTGTCGTTTGTCTGTTCCTTGAGTTGGTATTCCTTGAGTTAGCCCCCACCCCAAACTTTTGCACCACAGTGTATTTTATTTGATAATTACATTGTCAGGTGTAATTTGTTCAACTTAAGATGTCTATTGCCCTTTTATTTATTGTTCCCATGACAATTAACCGACACTTCTATATATTGTACACACGTACATATTCGAATAAAATATTAAGTTACACACTTAAAAAAATTCCCCATATGTATGTATCTAATCTTTAAATAAATGCTTTATTTCAATAATTAAAAGATTCTGGTACTTGTACCACCCCCTTCTATTTAATTGTGGATACCCTAGTCGTATTTATGTTTTTTGACGCGATTCATTTAGGATCAATCAAAGTTGCCTTGTTAAATTCAGATCAAGTGGCAGTTGGTCTTGATTGAATTCAAGAATGTATATGTATACAAATTTATACATATACATTCACATTATGACGCGTTATTTGCTTGAAATATATTAGAAACATTTCCAATTCAATTATTTAAACATTACTTACAAGTTATTCGCTCATACGTTTTAAGTTTATTCAGTTCGATGAGCCGCGTTGAATAATCTTCTAATCGAAATCGAAAATACGTATCCAAATATATCGAATTTTATGCCACTTAAAGGTCTGCTTTTGTTTCTATTTTTTATTGTCTATTTATTCTATGTACATTTATTGTAGTCCCATTTCTCGTAGTTTGTAGTAGGCGAATTTTTAATTTTAGGAAGTTTTTCTATTACACACTTAATGTAGTCTCATCCTTTGTAGTTTGTAGTTAGGCGGAATATTTTTATTTTTCAAAGGTTTTTAACTTTTCTTTTAATTATTAAAACTTGAGCATTTAAACAACAAAATATTTTATTTTACTCATTTTTTTATGAATATGGAAGCATTTTGTGTTAATGAAAATACTCCTGTAAGTTTAATTTAATTTTTAAAAAAATATGTTTTTTTCAAAAGTTATTTGATACCGAAAGTCTTAGAAATGGAAATTCAAGTACAATACCGAGAGTTTCTGAATGTTATCAACAAACTACACTTTATGCTCTTCCTGCTTTTTTCTTGCTAATTTTTTCACCTCTTGTTATTTATGATTTTAAAAAAAGTACAAAAGGGCCGTTGTTAAGGCGAACACCGACAACTTTAAGAATTGTTTGTTTTTTTCTTTAAATTATTTATAAAATTAAAAAATTTTGTTTTAGTTTTTATGTGGATTTCTTCTTGTTAATGTTCTCATACAAATTGTTTATTTCTCTGCCACATTTACTTGGAATCAAAACTTAAATCCTTCTTCGACTTCAAATGGAGCATTGCCAATTGCTAAATTTTTAGCGCTTCTTTTGTTGGATATTTCTTTATTTTTGGCTCTTATTTTGTTGTTGGGATGTCGTCGTTTTGGACTAGCAACTTCTGGTGTATTATTTAATTATTGGCTTTTATTAGCTGTTTGTGGAATTCCTCGATTTCGTGAATCTGTTGAATTATGGTTTGGAGAAAATGGAAGGGATAATAAGGTTTGGGGGAATTTTCGGGAAATTTTAATTAAATTATTTTAAGGATTATTTTGCCGCTTTACTTTTTATTCTTTATTATGTTGTTGTTGTAAAAATATTGTTTATTTCTTGTTTTGCAGACCATTCTAGAACTGATGAAATTAATGTAATTTAATTTTCTTTTTAAAATTTTTAAAATAATTTTTAGCAAAAAACTTGTCCAGAACCTTCCGTTTCTTTTTTAAATAGAATTCTTTTTATTTGGTTTGATGGTATTGCTCGGCTTGGAAATATGAGAGCTTTAGTTATTGATGATTTATGGAATCTTCCTGAGCGTGATAAATCGAAACATTTGACCAAAAAATTTGAAAGGATTCGAGAAAAACAATTTAAATGTATTTTTTAATTAAAAAAATAAAAAAAATAAATACTTTTTAAGCATATAATCAACGAAAAATCAAAAAAGTAAAAACTCCTCTTTTAAAGAAAAATCAAAATGGAATTGAAGAGACTGAATTATTGGAGGTTTTTTTAATAAATATTATAATAAAAATTTTTAATTTTAAGACAAATGGATATAAAACTGACTATTCTACAAATAAAAATGAATTTAAAGATAATTCTTCCCCTCCTTCATTAATTTGGGCTTTATTCCTAACTTTTAAATTTTCTTTATTTGGTGCAATATTTTACAAAATAATTCACGATTTATTACAATTTGCACCTCCAAAATTGTTAGATTTACTTTTACAATTTATTGAAACACCCGAAGCTAATATTTGGAATGGAATTGGAATTGCTGTTTGCATGTTTTTGTTAAATTTTATTCAATCGATGGTTTGAATTTTTTAATAAATTTAGTAATAAAAAAAGTTTTTGATTCTAAAAATTTAAACTGATAAAGACTAATTATTTAAAGTTTTTAAGCCTAAACAAGTTCTATTCCTATTAATTAGAAATAAAAATTTGGAACTACTTTTAATATTTTTTTAAATATTTTATTGAAAATTTTTTATATTTTCTTTTGAAAAAAATTCAAAAATATTTTTACAGTTTATTCATCAATATTTCCATATAATGTTTCGTATTGGCATGAATGTTCGTTCAATACTTACTTCCGCAATTTATAAAAAGGTTTTATAAAATTTTTAAAAATTTTCTTTATTTTCTTTAATTTTTAGGCTCTTCTACTTTCTAGTAATGCACGTACAAAACGAACAATTGGTGAAATTGTTAATTTAATGACTGTTGACATTCAAAGATTTCAAGATATGGTTAATTTAAAAATTTATTTAAAAAAATTTTTTAAATTTTTAATTAAAGGCTTCGTGGATTAATTTTATGTGGTCAGCACCCTTTCAAGTTTTATTATCTCTTTTTTTTCTCTTTCAACTTTTGGGTATTTCTGTACTGGCTGGTCTTATTTGTTTAGTTGCTTTTATTCCAATAAATGCAAAATTATCTTTAGCCATGAGAAAATATCAAGTTTTTTTTTCAATTTTTAAGAAGTACTTTAATTTATTTTCAGCAAAAACAAATGACATTAAAAGATGAACGATTAAAATTAATGAATGAAATATTGAATGGAATAAAAGTATTTAAACTTTATGCTTGGGAAGAGAGTATTGAAGATAGGGTAAAACCTTTTTTTGAAATTTTTTTAAAAAACTTTTATAGATTCTTGGAATCCGTAAAAAAGAATTACAACTTCTTCGTCGTATTGCTTATGTAAATGCAATTTCCTCGATAACCTGGTCTTGTGCTCCATTTTTGGTTGCTGTTTCAACATTTACTGCTTATTTATTATTGGATCCAGCCAATAATGTTTTAACTCCGAGAATTACTTTTGTTGCTTTATCTTATTTTAATATTCTTCGTTTTCCACTTGCAATGTTTCCAATGATTGGTTCTCAAGCAGTTCAATGTAATGTTAGCAATAAACGGTTGAAAACATTTCTGGCTGAAGATGAACTTGAACCTCTACCTTCAAACAATTCTTTTGGAGATTCTTGTATTTTTTTGAATATTAGAAATTTTATTTACAAATAATTTTTAGCCCTTGCAATTTCTTTGCGAAATGCTAGTTTTTCTTGGAGTGAAGAAGAACCATTATTTTTAAAAAATCTTAATATTGAAATTAAACGGGGTTCTTTGGTTGCAGTTGTTGGAAGAATTGGATCAGGCAAAAGTAGTTTGTTGTCAGCAATTCTTGGTTTTTAATAGAATATTTTAAACGATTTTAAGTTTGCTTTTAAAGGTGAAATGTATTGTAAATCTGGAACTGTTGAAATTGATGGCCAAATTGCTTATGTTCCTCAACAGGTAAAATGATTATTTTCTGGGGATATTGGAACATTTGAGATGATCTAAAATAAAGAAAGAGAAAGTATTGCTATTTTTTCTGTTTTAAACTTCATTTACTAATTTAATTAACTATTCTATTAAGGCCTGGATACAAAATATGTCTCTCAGAGAAAATATTCTTTTTGGAAATACTTTGAATAAACAATTATATGATGTTGTTATCGATGCATGTTCTTTACAACAAGATTTGGATTCTCTTCCTGGCGGTGATTCAATAGAAATTGGAGAAAAAGTTTTTAATTAAATATTTAATTTTAAATTTATTTTTAAGGGAATTAATTTAAGTGGCGGTCAAAAGCAAAGAATTAGTCTTGCAAGAGCTGCTTATTTGGATCGTGATATTTATTTTTTAGACGATCCATTATCTGCTGTTGATTCTCATGTTGGCAAGCATATTTTTGATAAATTAATAGGTAAAAATAAGTTTATTATTTTTGATTTTCTGTTAAATTTCTAAAGGATCTAAAAATGGTTTATTGAAAACAAAAACTCGTGTTCTGGTCACACATGGGCTTTCCTTTCTTAAATATTGTGATCAAATTATTGTTGTTAAAGGTTTTTTTAAATATTAGTTTTTTTAAATTATTTTTAATTAAAGATGGACAAGTCACAGAATCGGGATCTTATCACGATTTACTCAAATCCTCTGGCGAACTTTCTGAAATTATTGAGGAATATGTATTGAAGCAGCAATCTACCACTGATACAAACGAAGAACCAGACGATGAAATAATGGATGTTCTAGATGAATTGGAGAAAATCCACCCTGAAAAATCACTTTCAAGATTGTCGGCTAGACGAGTAACTTCAGAAAGTGAAACTTCTGGTAAAGCAGTAATGGTGATTTTTCTTTTGTAATTTATTAAAAACCAAAAAATAGCCTCAACAAAAAGAGTCAACTACAACAATTCCTCAAAAGAAGCTTATAACAAAAATAATTGAAAAAGAGGAAGTATTTACTGGTAAAGTTAAATTCGGAGTCTATTTGGAATATTTGCGAGCAGTTGGATTGATATCTTTGACTTTCTTTCTTTGTATTTATTTGTTGTCAAGTTTACTTGGTATTGCTACCAATCTTTGGCTTGCTAAATGGTCTGATCAGGCAGAAAAGGTTAATTTTAAAAATGTAATTTTTGTTTATGATTTTTTATTTAAGATCCAAAAAGGAAATTCTTCTTTTTCTATTGAGACAAAATCAAATTTAGTCATTTACACTTCGCTTGGAATAGCACAAGGTAACGAACAAATAAATTTCTTATTTGAAATAAAAACTTTTTTAGCATTCACAGTTGCATTTGGCTCAGTTATTATGTCTATTGGAATGTTTGTATTTTTATATGATTTTCTAATCTTTTCAAATTAATAGGATAAAAGCAAGCCGAAAATTACATCAAACGATGTTGAAGAGTGTACTTCGTTCTCCAATGTCTTGGTTCGACATCACTCCTCTTGGTCGTATAATGAATCGATTTGGAAAGGTTTTATATATTTTACTTTAAATTTACAAAAAATCGATAAAGAGGAAAATATTTTTCAAAATTTGAAGGACATTGATGTTATTGATTCCCGAATTCCTTTGTCGTTTTGTATGTTTGTTGCCTGTATATTTCAAACATTTTTGACCCTTTTGATGCCAATCTTTTTAATTTATTGGACTGTTCCTTTCTTTGGATTCATCCTTCTCTTCTACATTCGCATTATGGTCTTCCTTCTTTGTTAGCACTTGCTTGCTTATTGCCTGCTTTTCCTTATTTCTATATCTTCTATTTATTCATCACCTTCTTGCCAATCTCATTTAAAAATGCTTATGACTTTTTTTTTCATGAATATTCGATTCTTTTAGTAAACTATTATTTTCTTCATAATCGTCATGTTTCGTTCGATCTCTCTAACTTTTCTTTCCAACTCGAAGGGACTGTCATAATGATTAATTTAATGTATTACCTAAATAGTATATATTCAATTAAAAACAGGGAGAAAATTTTAATTTTTACTTAAAAATATTTTTAAATTTCCCCAGGATGTTGACAGTTTGGATAGCGAAATTCCTCGTTCGTTTACTTCATTTCTCAGAACTTTACTTGCATCAGCTGAAACGCTAGCAATGATTTCTTATGCGACTCCTCAATTTATGTTGTGTGTTGCGCCCCTTGCCATCTTTTATGGATTAGTGCTTGTTTGTTTTATTTATTTTGGCTTTTTAAATTATAATATTTTTGTTCTTTTAAGTTTAGAATAATTATTTCTTTTTCAGCGTTATTATGTAAGTACCTCACGTCAATTAAAACGTCTAGAATCAACAACTCGATCACCAATTTATTCACATTTCCAGGTAAGAAACTTGTCTAATTAATGAATGATATTAAAATTAATTTTAGGAGTCAGTACAAGGTGCTAGCTCAATTCGTGCTTACAATTGCGTTGAACGATTTTTGATTGAATCTCAAAAGCGTGTAGATAATAATATGCTCATTTATTTCTCTTCCATTGTGGCAAATAGGTAGGGCTATATCTTAGCATATTGAGTACATGAACTTGTGGCTGTATATTCACCTAAATTAAAAATCATTTTTTCAGATGGTTGGCAGTTCGTCTGGAATTAGTTGGCAATTTTATTGTATTTTTCTCTGCATTTTCTGCTGTTTTATTCCGCCATACTGATCATGTAACTGCTGGATTAGTTGGACTTTCTGTTTCTTATGCTCTTTCTGTAATGATTTAATTATAACCGCTAAAAATTTTTTTCATTGATTTAGGTTACTCAAGTATTAAATTGGGCTGTTAGAATGGCCTCTGAATTGGAAACAAATATTGTTTCAGTTGAAAGAATCAAGGAATATAAAGAAACACCAACTGAAGTAGAAAGATTTTTTTAATATCTTAATTTCATAAATTTTCTAGGCAGCTTTGGAAACTCCATCAGAAGTTTTTAAAGATGATAAAGGAAAAGAATTTTGGCCAGAAAATGGGGAAATTTCAATTGATAATTTAGCTATTCGATATCGACAAAATTTGGATTTGGTATTAAAAGATGTTAATGCGCATATTTTGCCTCATGAAAAAATTGGAATTGTTGGAAGGACTGGAGCTGGTAAATTAATAAATATTTTTAATAGAAAGTATATATTTTTAAGGTAAAAGTTCACTTGTTCTTGCTTTATTTCGTTTGGTAGAACCAGCTTCTGGTAAAATTATTATTGATGGAATTGATATAGCAAAACTTGGTCTTAAGCATTTACGTTCTCGTCTTACAATAGTCCCTCAAGTAAATTTAAAAAATTTCCTGATTACAAAAATATTTTTAAGGATCCAGTACTTTTTTCTGGAACTTTTCGTGAAAATTTAGACCCTTTTGGTCATCATTCTGACGATGGTATTTGGACAGCATTAAAACTTACACATTTGGAAGAATTTGTTAATACACTACCGAATAAATTGGATTATAAAATTAGTGAAGGGGGTACAAATTTAAGGTTGTGAATCTAATAAAACATTAATTAAATATTATTACCTATTTTCTAGTGTTGGTCAACGTCAATTAATTTGTTTAGCTCGTGCTGTTCTTCGCCGATCAAAAATTCTTGTTTTAGATGAGGCAGCTGCCTCTGTAGATCTTGAAGTAATTTTTTGGATTAATTTATATTTTTATTTAAAAATTATTTAGACGGATCATTTAATTCAACAAACAATTCGTCGCCAATTTGTTGATTGTACAGTTCTCACAATTGCTCACAGACTTCATTCTGTAATTGATTCTACAAGAATTTTAGTTTTTAGTGAAGGCAGGGTTGCTGAATTCGATACTCCAATTAACTTATTTGCTAGACAAGATTCTTTGTTTCGTGCTCTTTGTTTAGATGCTGGTATTAATAGTATTGATGATGTAAAAAATGGAGAAAATAATATTAAAGAAGAAAATGATGAAGAAATAAAACTGAATTAAATAAATTGGGGGAGTTTTTTTTGCAATTTAAAAATCACAAGGAGCTTTTGTGAAATTTATTGTTACTATATTGCATAATATTAAAATTATTTTAATCTCATGTCAATATTTTAAAATGTTTAATTTCAGAAAATACAACAAATCTTTATACATATTGACTCGGTTATAATGGTCAATTGTTGGATATATAACCGGATATTTTATTTTTGCATTTCCGAATATTTTGTAACTAGAGTCAAGTGAATATTTGTATTTTTGAATTTATGTATATAAAATAATAAATACATCAGACCTCGAATTCAAATAACCGCAAAATTACTTTTCTTAGAATTTGTTTGGCCACGGGGTAAAAAAAAAGCTGCGCCTAAGTGATACTCCCCAACGAGATATTTAAAATCGATGTCTAACTGTAATTTTAAATCCATTATAAAATGAGGGAATCATTTGTTCTTACCTAATTAGCATAATTAACATTTTTGATTTAATTTCATTTTTTCCTTATTTTCTCGGTTTTTTATATATAAATGAAAATTTTTTTTTATATTTTATTTCAAAAATCTTTTTATAATTAAAAATTTAAATTTTTGGTTTTCTGGGTACAACACAAGGTCCCATCCTTGGATCAGCATACCCAACAGCCTGTGGGCAATACATTGAATTAAGTTTTACAGCATCCCATCTAAAAAATATTAATATTTAGAATATATTAATTTACCATTTACTCTACCTAGTTAATAACCCAGCCCTTTGCCCAGCCCCAATATCAGAATTTCTTCTTGCCTGACAGTAAATTGTTAATTGAAACCATTCTCTTAAAATAATATATTTTTAAAATTAATTTATATTTAAAAATAACCTAGCTGTTGAAGGAATTGTTATTGATTCTGGATCAAAGGGCCACCTTAAATATAATTTTAAAAAAATTATTTTCTTTTTAATTAAATACATTAATTGTTCATTTGAAAATTTTGGTGAATTTTTAAGTAATTGTTGTGTATTTTTTGAATTATTATCAGTAATTAATTGAATATATGAAGGGGCATCTGGTCTAAGAAATTCTTCTCTATAGCCTTTTTTTAAATTAAAAAAGAAAATTAATTTTATTAAAAAAATACCCATAAATTTTAATAATTGTTCCATTACCTGAAAAAATAAAAAATTTCTTTTTAATTAATTAATTAACCATTCCTCTAGAATTATTAACATTTTGACTATTCAATGACTGTTCTGATAAATAAATTAAAGACCGTCTATTTACATCTTCAATATTATTATCAGAATAACCTGTTTAATTAATTAATTTTTTTTCCTTTTTTAATTTTTACCAGAAAATTTTTTGCTTTTTCTAATAACAATATAAGGTTTTCCTTCTGCCCAACGTTCTGCATGATACCAAGGCTTTTTTAAAAGAATATTTTTAAAATAAATTAATTAAAAAAACTTTATAATCTAATTCACTAAATCTAATACATGTTCGGCGATGAATTTGGATAAACTTTAAAAATTAAAAAAATTAAATTTAAATATAAAAAAGGAGAACTTAACAGCATCTCTAATTACTATTTTTTCGTGTTCAGTCATGCTAGGCCATAAATAAACATCATGACTTGCAGGCCTTTTATTTTTAATTTTATATATAATTTAAAGAGAATTAACAACTTACATACCTAATTGAAGTCCCAATATTTGGAAGAGAATTTTGTTGTCTTTTTAATTTTTGTTGATTATTGTTATTGTCTTCTAGTAATTGTTGTAATTCTGGTGAAGAATTAATTAAATTTGTTGTTGTTTTTATTTCTTCTTCATTAATATTTTCTTCTTCTGTGTCACCTTCAATTGGTTGGAATTCAATTAATTGTGTTATATCTTCATCTTGACTATTTACTGCAACAAATGTTTTTGTACCTCTCATCTTTAATTTATTTTTAAAATTTTAATTTATTTGGGAAAGGGGAATATAAAGTATCCACAAATGACATCACCAAGGAGGTATATACATATATACTTATGTACTATATGACAATGGGAATTTTTTCTCTTCCTGTTTGTGTATGAAAAAGGGGAAGAAAAACTTAAATTTTTTGTCTTAATTAATTAATAAATTGACCTAAAATTAAACATTTAAATATTTAAAATATAAAACAAGCCTGACGAAAACATTTACGTCTAGCATTAACAGAAAATAACAAAATAAATAATAATAATAATTTTAAAAACATTTAATTAAAATATCAATTTATTTATTTTCTTTTACTATCAACAAAACAAAACAAAAACAAATTTAATAACAAAATATAAATGTATTGGAGATTTTTAGAAGAATTATTTAGGTCATTTTATATTATACTAATCCTCTCATTAAATTATTTTAGATAAAAAATAATTGAGAAAAAAAGAGAAAATAAAAGTTGAATTTTTATTTTTAAATATTAAAAAAATAGAAAAGTTTAAAAAAGTTTTTTTTATTTAAATATTTTAATAAATTACAAAAAATATTTAAAATGTGTCAAGATATTTAAATAATTTAAATATTAATTTAAAAAAGGTAATTGTTCATCTTCATTTAAATTAGAATAATAATTATTAAAACAATATGTTGTTGGAGGGAATGACAATTCTTTATTTTCATTATTTAATTCAGTTTTGAGATTGGAATTTTGTTTTTGTTGGTTTTCCAAAAATTCTTTATCTTTTTTCTTCTTTTTCTAAAAATTATTTAAAAAAATATTTTGCAGAATTTATTTTCAAAATTATCTCTCAATTAATTTAGAATCTCTTCACCAATATTTTTAAACTCAAAAATTAAAACAGTAAATTCTTTAATTAAAAACTAAATACTATCTATTAGAGCATTTAGTATTTTATTATTAATTTAAAATATACCTGTTTATATCTTCTATTTTGAAACCAAATTTTAACCTAAATTCCGTTATTTATATATAAATAAAATATACTATTTAATCTCGTTATAGCACCAACTAGATATGTATATCCCTCCTCTCAATTATACTTCCTTCCACCTATTTCCCGATCCAGACGAGTTTCAAAACAAGGTTTCAATCCAATCAAATCCCAAAGCTTATTGACCAATAATAGTCGGCGTCAAATTAACGGCGCCGAAATGTTCATAGAAAGCCTAAACCTTTTGGCTTAAAAAGTCGGCGCAAAACAACTTGGCGCCAAATTTATTTTCTCGCCCATAACTTTAAAAGCTGACAAACTTTACCAACAAAATTTTATACTATTCGAATGTTAAAATATAGAAATTATTTCTTAAATCTTCTTAGCAACAATCCGGCGCTGCTTATTTGGCGCTAAACAATTTTAGGCGAACTAAAAAGGACATTTGGATAAAACTGATTAAATTTTAAAGCCTAACGTATTTGAATATATTCCCAAAAAAATTCGGAAAAACACAGCCAAAATCCAATTTTTAGGGGGTCCTTTTGTCGAGTATAGCACGGCTTTTGTCGAGTGTAGCCGGTATAACTTTTGGTCACAGGTTCATGACCGTTGATCTAGAAAATTTTGTCCGCATGAAATATGAAAATAAAACAAAAAATATTTTTAATATTTATAGTTTACGGATATATTCTAACTACAGTTATACATAGTTTCCCTTAAGTTTGGGACTATAACGAGATTTAACCATACTACCTGATCTGCTCTAAGTCCACAACGTTTGGCTAATTCATTACGTATTGCTTGATTAATGAAGCTAGATGCTGTTTAAATAAACAATAAAATTATGAATTTGAACTTTTATTTTTGGTTATCGTTGGTTATCCCTTCCCCTCCCTTGTTACAAATTATAGCTCATTCGAAAGTTTGTTGAACTAACTCAAATGACATAAAAACCAACAATTGACTTGCTTAGACAAAGTTATGATCATTTGTTTCAACTCCTTACATATGGTATCTGCCAATGCGGAGGAAGCAAGGCATGTAAAACTTAAAGAGAGTCACCGATTCGATACGGCCGCCACAGCGAATACGGCCGCAGCGAAGCAGATCTTCATGTATTGAAGACCATGCCTGGACTACTCAAGGATTATTTTAAAAAACATTTTAGCTATTTGTCTAAAATCTTTAAGTTCTTCCAACTATTTAGAAATAAATTAATTTTATAATTAATTAATTAATTAATTACCTCTATAAGCATCTTCAAGTATTTGAATTTGTTGTTGACTAAAAAGTATTCTTTTCTTTCCTTTCTTTAAATCTTCGTTTTCTTTTTTAAAAAATATTTTATTTTCAAAATAATTATTTGAAATATAATTGTTATTATTATTTAAATTAGTAGTAGTCGATTCAGCAATTTGAGGTAATAAATTGGGAACTAAAATAAATTTTAAATTTATATAAATTTGATTTTTAAATTTAATAACAAAAAAATTAAATATTAATTAATTATTAAAATAATTAGAGAAAAAAAAACAAAGATATATTCGAGATTTATAAATATAATTAATCTAAAAAATACTTGGATTTATTTCATTTTTAATAGCCAAAGAATTAGAAAAATTATAATTAATTTTAGAAGATTGATTATTAAATAATAAATTATTATTATTTAATTGTTGTTGTAAATTATTTGAAGAATAATAATTATAATTATAATAATTATTATTATAATTAAAATAAGGATAAATACAAAAAGAATAATTTAAATTTTGTTGAGGTATTTGATTTGTTAAATTATTAAATTGATTTGAATTTGAAGGTAAATTATAGAAGGAAGAAGAGGAGGTTGAAGTTGATTGTTGATTATTTAAAAATAAATAGTTGTTGTTGTTTTTTGTAGGAAACATTTGTTTGGCTTTTTGAATTTTAAATATAAAAAACAAAAAATTAATTAATTAAAAAAACAATTTATTTTATTTACTATATAATTTCCAAATTATTCTTTTTCTTTAAGAGGACCACCACAACTTTTTTCTTTTATTTATTTATTTACGTAAAGTTCAAGAAAATTGTTTTTGTTTTATATTTTGCTTAAAGCTAAAATTAAGTTTCAAGTACAAAAATATATTTTTGTAATTTATTTGTGTATCCATGGATTGGCAAAAGGCAATAAATAGGTTAACGATGAAATATAAACCCGAAAAGAAAAAAAATAATAAAACAAAAGTCCTCAATCCTAAAAAATTTTTGGGGTAAAAAAGTAACGTCTTCTTTCTTTTTTGGTTATTTTTGTGTTTGTGTTTTTTTCTATTTTTGTATCCAAGAAGAAAGAAATATTTAACCACTTTATTCTAAAGAATATATGTATCTACTGTATTAAATACGTCTGCCATGAAAAAAGTTTTTTTTAATGAAAAAAATAATTACTGTTGGGTTTGAAAGAAATATGGGAGGACTTTTACAATTTATTTGGGGACAAGTTTGGGAAATTAAAAAGTTTCTGAATTTTATATATGTTTAATTTTGTTTAAAATAATCTTTTAATTTTATATTTTTTTTAAAAATAAATATTAATTAAGGATTCTCTTTTTTTTAATTTGTTACCTTTCTGAATAAAAAATTAATATTTATTAGGTAAATAGTGGAATTAAAAATATTTTTTGTATTTATTTATATTAAAATTAGGAGAAATGCCTTCTCCATTTATTTAATCACTATTAAATAATTTTTGTGTGTTTCTTGCCTGAAGTCAGTAACAACAAAGAATTATTAAATAAAGAATTATTTTAATAAAAACCGGAAGTTAAAACTGTCAGTCAATCACTTTTTTTGGATTAAAAAATATCTGTAAACTTTCGTTATATTCACATTTCCGGTACTTTATTTTTATGCCACACCCACAAAATTAATTAATTGGTAAGATTAACTATTGGTAAGATTAACGATGACCAATTGAAATTATTACCTCAATTGGATATGTTTTAATATATTTAATCAAATAACGCATCATAATGAGAATAATTATCAATATTTGATTGAAGAATTAAATCAAGAACAACTAGTATAGCAACTTGTTGATTTACATAAGCTAATATTTCTAAAATTCTACAAGAATGAGCTATAATTTTTAATTTATCCATAATTTCATTAAATATTAGAGGGTGGTATAATGAAAAATACCCATTTACCGCAAACAATTGTATAATTTTAAGGTATTCATATTTATTTTATAAAAATTAAGTATATCTTCAATCAAATAATACATAAAGTTCAGATATATATTGTCAAAATTTTGGTTGGTTAATGGGTAGGAGGAGATTCCTACGATTGTCAAAACAAAAACGTGCTATCAAAACATTAGCAAACATAATACCGCCCATTTCGCTTAGAGTAAATTTATGTAGGAGTTATACATAAACCAAGATCCAATAGCTATAGAGTCTAAAGATATTAAGATAACATAATATCGGCAATTGAATTTTGGATGGTGTTTTTACTCTAATTTCCAGACAGATTTTGATCGGACAGTATTTTTCCTTCACCTTTAAACGATACCTGAATTTATTTTGAAACCTTATTTATTTTTTAATTAAATACTTCCCAAATTTTTTTATTTTATTTTTTTTTTCCAAATTTTTTTATTTCGAATTTTTTTCTCGGCGTACATAACAAAAGGGCATTCTGATTAAGAAAAAGAATGGATAAATGTCAATAAATTTAAGGGAAGAAGATAGAGGGGGGGGATATATGTATATTATAGAGAAATAAATAAATCAATTAAATCTATTAATCTCGTGGCATTTTTATTTTAAAATTAAATTTAAATATGTATATATAGGCTTTTAAAATTTTTATTTTATTTATTAAAAAACTAAAGTTAAGAAAAGTTATTTTTTTTTAAATTTCAACTCTCTCAATTAATTAATCCTTTATTTAAAAACTTTGTTAAACAACTTTTAGAAAAATAAATTTTAAATTGAAAAAAATACATTAATGTTGCCCACATAAATCAGAGATTTATTTTTATTTAAAAAATTAATTATTTAATTTAGAAAAATCTTAAAAACATTCATTACTATCTAATTTCATTTTTTGGCTGTAGAATGGACACGCCAAACTTTTATTGCTTTTGTGGAAATGTTCATGTTTTGGTTTGCTTATAATAAATAAAACAAAAAAGTTTCCCTTAATTATTTCCTTAAATAAAATTCTAATTAAACACTTAAATATTAATTTTTTTATTATTTAATAATTTTAAAGACTGGTACTCGTTTAATTGGAGCAATTGGTTCTTTGACATGTTCATTTTTAATTTCATTTTTAATATCAGAACAATCTTTTTGTGGAATTTTTGTATGGAAATATGTCTTTAATTTTTTTTAAATTTATTTTTATTTAAAGGTATTTGCTATGTTTTGTATTCCATTTGTTTTATTACTTTTTGCTGACCGTCAACGATGTTCTAAACTTTATTTGCCTTTTTTGTTATTAAATGTTTGTTTAAAAAATTTATATTTTAATTAAATTTTAAAAGAGAAGGTTTTATATTTTAATTTTTGTCTAAAATCATAAAAATATTTTTAAATAAAAAGGGGGAAGAATTTAAAAAAAAACTCCCAAAAATTCCCTCTTAATTTCATTTAAATTTAATTAAAAGGCAATTTTAACTTGTTTGAATTCTCTATATCTTTTATTTATTGGAACAATGATGATTTGGATGCCTTATTTTTGGAAAGAACATTTGGAATTATCTCTTGACATCGACATAGAAAATAAAAGTTTAAATTAAATAATTAAAAATTAATTAATCTCTTTTCCAGACTCCCTTCATTTAATTACTTTTTTAATTTTTATTATCTTTCTTTTAATTGAATTTATTTTATTTTGGTGTCATTCAATTGTATCTAATGCTTACAGTTTTGTTTTTTTAATTTAAATAAAAATAAATCTTTATTTATTTAGATTATATGAATGAAGACAAAATTATTTTAATTCCTCCACAAATTTCCACAGATTTTACAAAAAAACAAAATTCTCAAAAAAATAAAAAATGGATTAATTTAGTTGATAATCGACAAAGTCAATTAGCTTAGAAAATGGGGGGTTTTAAAAGAGGAAAGAAAAAATTGAAAGAAAAAATGAAAAAAGGAAAAGAAATGTTTTGTTTAAAAAACTTTTTTGTGATATTAAATATGTACATATATTTCCTTAAATTTTATATTTAAACACCCCCTCTCCCCCCCCCCCCCAAACATGTATTTAAACATTTGTATAAATTATTTAAAATTGGATTAAAAAACCAAAAAATGTATTATTACTTTATTAGACAGTAGTCTTTGTATAATTTTAATAAGAAATAAACACAAAAATCAGAAAAGAATTTTAAAAATTATGACAAATTTAAACGGAAATAATGATGAATCCGGACAAAAACACTCCTCTCTGGACTGAATTGGGTTGACTTTGAATGAAAGTTGCCAAGGAAATGTTTAAAGTATTAATTTAAAATACAATTACAGTCGATCCTCAACATAATGAAATAAAGGGACTGTAGCAGAATTCGTTTATATGTATGAGGTTAATTAGTATATCGAAAATTGATTATAGTAATATTTGAAATAAAAATAAAATTTAAAATAAAAAGTATTTTAAAAAATATTTTTCTCTCTTTCTTTCTCTCCCATTTCTCTTTTATAATTAAAAGATTCTTTTTAATTATTTTCTGGATTTATAATTCCAGGTAAATTATTATTATTTAAAGTATTTTTAAATAAATTATTTTGTAGAATTGTTGGCCTTCCATTAATTGTTTTACTTGAAGGAATAATTTCTAAATTAAAAAAAAATATTTTTAAAAATTAATTTTCTGTTTAAACTTGAAGAAGAAAATATATGCCAAAGAATTTTTGTGTGTGTTGAAGAAGCAAATAAAGAATTTAAACAAAAAGTTAATGAACGAAATGCCCCAACATAAACAGATATATTTATATCAAAAAAAGCAGTCAATAAAAAATTAATTGTATTTGGCAATAAATCTAATAAAAATTCAAATATAACAACCCATAAAGCTAAACGATTTCCCTTAAAAAATAAATTAAAAAATATATTTATTTACTTAATCAATTAATTTTAATTAATTAATTAACCATTCTTTTTGATTTATTTAAAGAAATATTTTCTTTAATTTTTTGTTTATTATTTCCAAATTGTTTTTCAAAACGTCGACGATGAGCAAATAAAATAACCAAAAATATACTTCCTGATATAAAATTAGGTAAAGCTACAACTAAACGATTAATTGCATAAATTAAACGAGAAGCATCAGAAGTTAAACAACCAAAAGAAATACAGTCTTTTTAAAATAAAAAAATAAATAAATATTTAAAAATAAAAATATTATTTTTTTCTGTAAAAAGTATAAGTAGCTAGTACTTTTCTTAAATTAATTTCCATGGGGAAACTTTAATATGTATAAATATACTAAATATTGAATTTTGTCTAACTTTTTTCCCTTTCTTTTATATATTTTATATAAACATATTTTATTTATTTACCTGAAATTTCATTTAAAGGTCTTTCTATATAATTAACAATTAAATTGATAGAAAATAATATAAAAATTGTTGTTAAACTAGCCAAAGCTAAAATAAATTTTGGTGCTTTTTTGAAATAAATATGTGGAGTTAAAACAATTAAAAGACGATCCAAAGAAAGAAAAAGGACAGAAACGGGGGCTGCCGGCAATAAAGAACCGGGGAATAAACCAGTCCAGAAAATAATTTTTGTAGTTGTTTTGAAGAAAAAAGTAAAAACCAAAAGTAAAAAATATTGAATTGAAAGACAAAAAGAAGAAAAAAGGAGAGAATATAAATAAACTTTAAAAAAATAAAATTAATTTTTAAATTTAAAAAACCACCTAAAAGGGATGGGGCACACTCAAAATTATTTTTCTTTGTTAAATAACGTATCATCCACAAAGCAAAACAAATAATTAAAAAAGATATTGTTGAAACAATAAATATAAAAATATATTGGGATAAAGGTATCCAACCGTTTTTAATCATATCCATTCACAAATTAATTTTATTAAATTGTATAATTTGCAAAAAATTAGAATTTCTAAAAATGTAAATAATTTTAATAATCAAAAAAAACTACTAAAATAAATGAATAAATTTAAAAATAATTATTTAAAAATTCAGAAAATTTTTTGATATAAATTATAACTACAAAAAAAGAAGGAAATAAATTTTTTAAAAAAAAGTTAGTTCAATTTTATTCAACAATAAAATACAAACATTTTTAGTTTATTAAATATTTAATTACAAATTTAAATATAGATTTTATAGGGTTGCCATTTTTTGAGAACTTTTATCGTGTGAGGATGTTAGGGGAATTATAATTGGAAAGTGACTAAAATTTTACTGGATGTGTAATTAGTTGACTTGAATGTAGGCTGAGATATGTTAAAACTAAAAATTAAAAGTATTTAAACATTAAAAGAAAAACCAAAACATTTGAAAATGAACTTTTATTTTATTTACATTTAAAAAATATTAAAAAAGATATTACCGTAAATCTTCTAATAGAAGCACAGTGCTTCTATTTTTCGATCCCCTCATAGGGTGTGCTTATATTAGAGACTGTGCTTCAATTGGAGACTGTGCTTGTATTTTTCGATCTATTTTTTAAACTTTTAAATTAAATCTTTACCTCGTATAAAATAAAACAAAAATTAAATTTCAATTGAATTCATAGATTTTCATAAAATTTTTCTAACCAACCAGCTTCATAATTTTTTTTACTTCGAAAATTTTCATAATTTTCTGATGCTGTGCTGAAAGGAACAAGCTCTGACTAGGACTGGCGAGACTAGGACTGGCCTTTAATCCCTTAAACTCCTTCATATCCTTTGATACTTCTCCAAATCAAAGCAATGATATCCCTCTTGATCTCCATCAACAACCCTTTATTCACGAGTGTTAACCCGCTATTTCCCAATTTTACACTAATTCGCATATTTGTTGCGAAATTTTCATAAAGAAATTTTTTGCAAATCCATATCCAGGTACTGGTCTGAAAAATCGGATCTCCGGATTTTGGTTCGGAAAATCCTGTACGGACTGAAAAATTTGAAATCTGGATACCAAATCAGGCATTTTTCAAAAGTCGAACCCTAATTGAATCAATAAAAATGACGATGTGCTTTTTTGGAGGCATACTAGGGGTTGTGCTTGTATTAGAGACTGTGCTTCAATTAGAGACTGTGCTTGTATTTTTCGATCCTCTCGTAGGGTGTGCTTATATTAGAGGTGTGCTTCAATTAGAGGTGTGCTTTTATTAGAAGATTTACGGTATGTTAATTTAATAAGTATATAGGTATATTAATTTAAACAAAAAAATACTATTTTTTTGTTAGTCTTGTCTTTATTAAATTAAATAAAAATGTTCTTTTAAACAATTAATTATTACAGGGTGACCGGAAAGCACACATTATTTATAACGTAACTTTATTTATATTAGGGATAATGAGATCAAATAAAGCTTAAATGATAAGGAACTAAATAAAAGACAAAAGAGAATAATCCTAGGATTCAATTCAGGAGAGTACAGTAGCTATATTTGAGACGATTAAAAACGAGTAAATTGGCTGCGCACCAACCTTGCACAACATTAGCCTCACGAGTAGGGGATGAATTCTAATGAAAGATCCAGACCCTATGCCAAAAGTAGCCTCAGACCCAAGGCTGTAAAACGCCCTTAAGATTTTCCCGTAGATAAGTCTTTATTTATTTTGACCCTAGGATCCACGAAAATCAAGGGTGTTTTGGCCGTCCTGTAAATAACCGCCCATAACATGACCGAAGAAGGGTGTTGGGAAGGTTTAACAACTGATTTGGAAAAAGGATATTGTGCGGTTTAATAACTTTCATCTTGGGAATTCTACATGTTTTGTCCATAAAAATTTTTATGACTGAATAAAAAAGTGTCACTTGACTTGCTGACTGCCTTAGAGTGTACTTGCATATCTTGGTCGCAACTCTTTTCATTTCTTTTAAAAAATTTGTACTTTTTTGAGAATATATTATTGTAGATAAAGCACAGTTGTTAGTTACTGTCTTATCTTGTTATTCTTGTTAGTACGTAGACATAGAAGTCACGTACGTAACACAAACCAGTTTCCATGGCGCTTTTTCTCATCGAAAACCATGGATTGGAGTATACTCGGTATTTGACCATGTTCACGTTCTCGGGTGTATTTACTGATCAAGGTATGCCACTTTTTTAAGTCAAATGTCTTACTACTACCTTAATCAAGTTAGAGGAAAAAATTTTCCCAGAACATTTCATACTGGAATTTTTAAAATTCTTTTGACAGTGCTTTTTTAAACATTGGGAGGAGTTGAAATTTTGTGAACGCTGAATTCTTTGGAAAAAGGTTTACTAATAGAACCTGGCTTATAAGCCCTGGAAGAGAAATGTTTGGGCTACAAAATGAGTATAAAAATATTTAAAAATGTAGATTATGAGAAAAGTTATGATGAAATGAAAAGTGTCAATTACTTTCTGGTCACCCTGTGAATAACAAAACGTTAATTAAATTTATTTAACTTAAAGAAATTATTATTTTTTTATTTTAAAATAATTAATGATTAATTAACTCAGTAGGTATATATTTAAAATAAACTTTTAAGACTACATAATTTCGAAATTAAGCAGAAGATTAGCGATAAAAGGATTTAATTTTATAAAAACAAACGAATAATTATCAATAAAATGATAAAGTTTAAACAAAATTATGACTGGAAGACATAGCAAAAAATATTTTTTTTTTCAAAAATTAGCCGATTTCTACGTTCTTTACTTTAAAATGAGCTTATTTTAAGCTTAATTTAGTGAATTAAAAAATATCTTTTTTTAATTCAGAAAACTTTTATACTTAAAGAAATTTAAAAAAAACATTAAAAGTCGAGAAGTCTATAATATTTTTATGTTTATGGCAAATATTTAGGTAAGCAATGTCCAACAAAAAAGGAAATAAAAACTGAGTAAATATATATTTTGTAATTGGCACTAAAAATATAAATAAATATTTAACAATCATTTATTTAATCATTATTTTTATGTATATTTATAGCAAAAGAAGGTAATTATTATTTAATATGTTACTTAATATATATTTTATTTATTTATAATAAAATTGTTTTTTATCTTTGATTTTTGTTCCTTTTCTATTAAAAATTTCTTTTATTTTGAAATTATTTAAAATAATTTTAGAATAATTATTAGTTTATAATCCAAAATTAAATAAAAATAATTTTGGAAAAATTTATTTAAAAATAATTTAAAGTAGTAATTATAAAATGAAATTTAAATTTCTTTTGAAAAGAAACAAAAATAAGAAAAATATTTTTCTATGTATTAAAACGGTTCGAAGTTCGCTTCTGGAGATACTGATTTTTGAAGGAGGTATATTTACTTAATAATTTAGATGGATTTGCTAATTGTCAAGTATTGACAAATATAGTATATCGCTCTCCATTTATATAATATAAAAAATGCAGAAAAGAAAGTTTATCATCGGATAATTACTTACATATAGAAAATAGCATGTAATTAATGTAAAATACTGTATTTATCACAAATTCATTATCCGCAACATCCACCCATGGGACAACTTGGCATAGAAGATGGGCCGTCCATGTTCAGTCTACCCATTGGACGTCTGGGTCCACCGCCCCCACCACCTAAAAATTTATATTTTATATTAACATTTAATATTCTCGATAATTTTTAATCACGTTTCCTGAACTCTCTTTAGGGACCAAGGCCCTTAGGGATTATTAAACTATTAAATCCTCATTAAATTTTTGCTTTTTAAATTAAATATTTATTACCAGGTCTCCATCCTCCACCACCGCCGCCTCCTCCCCAGCCGTCACCACCTCCTCGTAAATTTGTTCGATAACGAGATTGGGCATCTGGATCACTTTGAGCATTACCAAAGAAAGGCCCAAGAAGTGCACGGAAACTTTAAGTTTTAATAAAAATTATTTGTTAAATATTAAATTAAAATTTACAAAAATGTCACGAAATAGACGAAATTCCAAAATGTTTTGACAATAGAAAAATCAGCACGATCACGAACCTCACCATATAAAAATGAAAGAAAATTAAAAGTAAAAAATTAAATTAACTCACTAGAATTTACATAAGCCATTTTTCTAATTCTTCTGATAATTAATCCAACGAATAATTTTAAAAACTCACAACTACTATAATAAAATAATTTTTGCGTTTATATAAAATTATTGTATGCAAATTAGAGGTCGGCAAAATCGCACTTCCGGGATCCCGAGTCGGGATTTTTTTTCTTAACCGAGGCCGGGACGGGATCCCGAGGGATAAATCCCGAAAAAAATCCCGAGTTTCAAAAATCCCGAAAATAATTATCCGGGATCCCGCCCGGGATTCGGGATTTTTTTTAATAAAAAATTTAAAATTTTTATAAATAAAGTGCATCAAAATACTGCAATTTATATGTAAATAATATTAAATTTGTAAAAATCTAATAGATTTAGAGGGATATCGGTGGATTAATCACTAGGTCCCTTGATAAAATCCAACTATATACTAATCCACCCACTTTAAATACCTCCAAATTTCTCCGTTTGCAGCGCCGCAGACAAACATTTTGAGAATTGTGGAGCACGTGAAGCCAGATTTCTTCCATTTTCAGCGCCGCAGGCGAAGATTTTGAGAATTTTGGAGTTCCTTAAGCCAGATTTCTTCATTTTTTGCGCCGCAGGCGCAAATTTTGAGAATCACTAGCGTAAGACATGCTTGGGATTATGCTAATTTTAAAAATCCCGAAAATTATAAAATAATGTCCGGGATCCCGAGTCGGGATTTTATTTTTTAGCCGATGCCGGGACGGGATCCCGAGGGATAAATCCCGAAAAAATCCCGGATCCCGAATGATCCCGAAAATCAAAAAAATCCGGGATTTCGGGATCGGGATCCCGGAAAATCCCGTAGGGATCCCGTCCCGCGCCGACCTCTAATGCAAATATGTAATTGAATAAAACGTGAGGAAACTAAAACGAAAAAGATCAATTAAGTAGTTAGGGATTCCTGGTGGCAGGCCAGTTTGGCGCGATCTTTTCAGATTCATCCTTGTTTTCCGAATCATGGAAGGCGTATTGAATCATCAGCAGACAAAAATAGAAGAATTTCCTACTGAAGCTTTAAATTTTTGCCGTTAAATCTGATCACAACAAAAATTGCCCTCTTTCGGCAAAATTGTCTTGCGCCAAACTAGCTTTATGTACAAAACGTCAATGCTACGTTTATTAGCGAAATGTTAATTTTGAAATTTGTTATTTCCAGCTGATCGAATTAAATTTTTTCAACTCTGGGCGACAAAATAACTTTATAAATGAGGAATATTTTTGAAGATTATGTTAATTTTAATTAGTTTCAGATAATTTATATATTTCTCTGCTAATTTTACTTTTGAATAAATGGGATTTTTGCCATCACTTTTGAGTGGTCATGAAAAGCAACACGAAACATTAATTAAGCTCCTTGTGCTCACATTATCATCAATTGTAGCCTTTACCGTACGTTTATTTGCAGTAATTAGGTTTGAGTCAGTTATTCACGAATTTGATCCTTATTTTAATTATCGAACAACAAAGTATTTAACTGAAAATGGTTATTATGCTTTTCATAATTGGTTTGATGGTAAATTTTGTCTTAATATTAGAAGTATTTTTAAATTTATTATTTAAATGTAAGCATATGCTTGGTATCCTTTGGGTCGAATTATTGGTGGAACTATTTATCCAGGTCATTTTATTTTTGCTTAAAATGGAAAGCTAAGAATTGGATCACACTTTTTTCTTCCCAAGGTTTTTCCTTTATATGTATAGAATGATCAGTCCTTCCTCAATTTCATTCTATTTCCCTGTTGCAAATTTCATTCAAAAATGGATTAATTCTCTGTTATATAATTATTATTACAAAAAAAAAGATAAAAAAGTGTGGCGTCTTAAGCCTTGATTTTCTGTAAAATACTTGTCATTTTGCAGGTCTTATGATAACGAGTTTGTTTATTCATCGAATTTTGACTTTTTTGAATTTTACAATTGATATTCGAGAAGTTTGTGTATTCCTTGCTCCTCTTTTTAGCTCATTTACTGTTTTAATCACTTTCTTGTTGACTAAAGAAGTTAAAGTAATTTTTATTAATTTTACTTATTTTAATTTATTAAAAGTCTGAGGGTGCAGGTTTAATTGCAGCTGCTCTAATTGCTATAGTTCCTGGTTATATTTCACGTTCTGTTGCTGGTTCATACGACAACGAAGTTAAAAATTTTATGTAATAGTTTTATTTTACATATCTTTTAGGGGATTGCCATATTTTGCATGTTACTTACATATTATTTTTGGATTCGTGCTGTCAAAACTGGGTCAATTTTTTATTCAGTCTTATGCGCACTTGCTTATTTCTATATGGTTTCTAGGTTATTTTTGATTACTTTTATAATCTAATATAAAATTTTTTAAAAATATTCTAAATCTCAATTATTTCTAATTTATTGATTTTAGTTGGGGAGGTTATGTATTTCTTATCAATTTAATTCCGCTTCATGTTCTCACGCTTATTTGTACTGGGCGGTTTTCTCATCGGATATACGTTGCTTATTGCACAACCTATACGCTTGGAACAATTTTGTCAATGCAAATTCCTTTTGTGGGGTTTCAACCAGTCTCTACATCTGAACATATGGGCGTAAGATTTATTTTTTTAACAATTTTGTTAATTTTTAGGCTTTTGGTGTATTTGGTCTTTGTCAAATTGTTGCTTTTGCTAGCTGGATGAGGTCGAAAATGACAGCTGATCGTTTTCAATTGGTATTACGTTCGGTTCTCCTAGTATTTGGAGGTGCAGCATTTTTGGCACTTATTGTTGCTACATTCTTACATAGTTCGAATGAAACTTAATTCTTTATTTTTTATAATTTTACAGAAATTGCACCATGGACTGGTCGTTTCTACTCTCTTTTGGATCCTTCTTATGCAAAGAACAACATACCTATTATAGCTTCTGTTTCTGAACATCAGCCAACTGCTTGGAGTAGCTTTTATTTTGATCTCCAATTTTTGGTCTTTACTTTTCCAAGTATTTTTAAAATTTAACCTACTTTCTCTAAATTTTCCATTCCTTAACAAAAATTTAGCGGGTCTCTATTTTTGCTTCAAACAGCTTACAGATGCTAATATTTTTGTGATTTTGTATGGGCTTACTTCAATCTATTTTGCAGGTGTTATGGTTAGGTTAGTTATTTTGTTTTTTCTTTTGTTGTTTCATTTATAATTTCTTCTAAAGATTGATGCTTGTACTTGCTCCAATAATGTGTATTTTGGGTGGAATTGCCGTTTCTTCTACGCTTGGCAATTATATTGCCAATTTAGATTTATTTGGTACAACGGAGAAAAAAAGCGGAACCAAAGATACAGTTGGAGGTAAATCTTATGGAAAAGTTGGGAAGAAAGAAGACAATTATCCATATAAACAAGAGGTAACTAGAATAGTAAAAAAAATTTACATTTCCAAAAGAAAATATGGAAGTATTTTAACTTTATTTTTAAAAGATTGCGACAGCAGTTGTGTTAGCAATGACCTTTTGTTTGTGTACTTTTGTATTTCACAGCGTTTGGGTGACAAGTGAGGTTTGAAAATTAGTATTTTGTTTAAAACCTTGCTTTGTGTTCCTCTTTATTTTCCTCTAAATCATAACGTCCTTCAAAAGATTCATAATCATCCCACATTTTTAAACAAAAAATTTAATATCTTTTGATTGAAATATTCAAAAGCAAATAAAGAAAATTTTGGGTTTAAGCGGAATTTTCTGTTTTGTAGTGGGGAATTTGCTGTTAAAAAATTTATTAACTAGAATAGTAAAAAATTTATTTATTTTAGGCTTACTCAAGTCCCTCTATTGTACTTTCAGCTCGTTCGGGTGATGGCGGCCGAATTATTTTTGATGATTTTCGTGAGGCATATTATTGGCTACGTAAAAATACACCAACTGATGCAAAGGTTATGTCTTGGTGGGATTATGGATATCAAATTTCGGCAATGGCTGATCGAACGGTAAATAAAAATTATTCTAAAAACGTTTTAGATAATATTGTTTTAATATTCAGACTTGAAAAAATAATTTCTTTTAAAATATAAAATTAGATGAAAAAATTAAAAATTATTTGGAATGCATCAAAAATAAAATTTAGACTAAATATAAAATTTGGAGGATATGTTTAAAAAACAAAGGTGAAAGCAAAAGAATAAATAGTCACTAGTTGGTATAATAAGCAGTTTGAGACTAATTTTATCATTTTTTAAATTATTAATTAATTTAAATTTCTTTTATAAATTAAAGAATTTTTAGACAATTGTTGACAACAATACTTGGAATAACACGCATATTTCGCGTGTTGGTCAAGCAATGTCTTCTAATGAAAGTCATGCTATTGAAATAATTCGTGAATTAGACGTTGATTATGTTTTGGTTATTTTTGGTGGAGTAACTGGATATTCATCTGATGGTTAATTTAAATAAAAAATATTTGGTTTTAATTTTTCTTTGTTTTTTTTAGATATAAATAAATTTCTCTGGATGGTTAGAATTGGTGGATCTACACCAGAGGGTCGGCATATTCATGAATCAGATTATTTTACTAAAAATGGAGAATTTAGAGTTGATAAAGAAGGGTAAATTTAGAAAAAAATTGTTTTTAAAATTTTTAACATTTAGGTCTAAAACAATGTTAAATTGTATGATGTATAAACTTTGTTATTATCGTTTTGGTGCTGTCTATACAGAACAAGTAAATATTACATAAATAAATTAAAATCTTTAAAAAATAAAGGGAAGACCTACTGGTTATGACAGAGTTCGACATGCTGAAATTGGAAATAAAGATATTGACTTTGAACATTTAGAAGAAGCATACATAACCGAACATTGGATTGTACGTATTTATCGAGTGTTAGCACCAGCAAATAAGCGATGAGTTAAAATAAAATTTAAAATTAGATATTTTGGTTTATTCTGTTGAAATCTTGAGCAAAATTATTTTGGAGTTTTTACTGTTGGAATTGTTTAATTTAAATTATATTTTGTTATTTGCATAATTCTTTCAGAGGGGAATAAGACTTTAATTTATTATTAAGGAAAATTCTTTAAGCAAGTTAGACGGTAATTTTCGCAATAAAATTAATAAAAAACTTTCTAATTTTTCTTCCTAACTAATTAAAATATTTAAGTTTTTGGAATGATGACATTTAATTTTATAGGATTTGGTATTTGTCATTATCCCGCCTGACCTAAAAGTCGCATAGATATAAACGGACACTAAAATCGGCATCTTAAAATTTCGCCTTTTTCGATTTTATATGCTCTACGCAAGTAGAGCATTATCTATGCTCCATCCATGCTCTAAGCTACGTAAAGTTATTTTTCTTTTTCTGTCTTTTGTAGCAGGGTTTAGACTCGTGGACAAATCCTTACCGTCATTTTAGAATTAAATTTAGTCAACCCTGCTACATATTCTAAATCGTGACGCGATTTTTGAGGACCAAACATTTGAGGATAATTTCCATTAAATTGAGCTTATCCATAAAATATTACAAACAAAATTATGGCCAACAAATTCAGCCAACTTTTTCAAAAATAGGTCGATTTTGGCCAATTCAAAGTTGGCCGATAATATCCTCAAGTGTTGGGGTCTTAACAAGTCGGACATCCTATTTAAAATAATTTTTCTTTTATCAAATATTTGTTAATTAATGTTATTGTTGTTATTTATTAATATTATATTTTTGTTGTGAAACTGTCAGGATTTAATTTAAAAAAAAAAGCGATGTTTAAAATAATATTGAGAAATTTTTTGTTGGGAAAATAAAGAAAAATTAAGTTTAAATCTAATTAAAAATTATTCTTTAAATATTCTTTCATCATTTAAAGTCTAATAACTTTTTTTGTTGGAAGGCGGGCCATACTTGCTCTCAAAGTTCCACTTAGTTTTTCAGTAAATTTTCCACCAATTTCTTCTGTTAATAATTGTTTTTGATTATTTTCAACAAATCCTCCATTAATTGATGAATTATCTCGATAATTATAATAAAAATAGGCAATTAAAGCAAAAATTAAAGCTACATTAAATAAAGAGAATGAACAAAATAAAAGTTGAAAAAACTTTAAAAAAATAAGTTTTAAAAAATAAAAATCCAACATACATAATTAAATACCAATAACTATTTAAAAAAATTTTAAGAAATGTTTTTTTTATTTTTTCTTACCCAAGCATTGTAGCTTTAAAGGAAGTTGGTGACTAAAAATATTTAAAAATTTTGCAATAAAAATTTTATTTTAAAAATTCCAAACTTTCATATAACAAAATTCAAGACCAGTAACTGAAATTAATACTTCAGAGGCTGCTATTAAAAGATTTTGAGGAAATAACCATAAAATGCCCAACTGAGGAGGGCCAGAAAGTAAAAGAAATGTAAATATTGGATTTGGTAATGAGGAAGAAGTTGTTGAATCCTTTAAAATTCTTAATTAATTCAAGAAAAATTTCAAATTAAAAAACATTTTGTCCAGCTAATGGACTTCCATCCAAAGATAATACTGCTAACCATATTGATCCAGTACCATCTACATTTATATTTTGTGGAAGAAGTGATATTAATGGATTATTGCTAATATTTAAGGGAGGATTTATTGTTGAATTTGTTGTTGTTGGAATAATTGTTTGGGGAATTAAATCAGAAAATTGATATCTTTTTTTAAAAACTTAATTAATGTTTAAATATTGTAAAGTCAAATCTCTTTATCTAATCCAATCTCTGAGACATTTAGATGACTAAATTTAAAAAATAGTTTCAGGTACGTGACCACCAAAATTTGGTTAAATACTTAAAGAATAATAATTTTTGAAAACTAATTGAAAGAGAGAGAGATAAGGATTTGACTGAATAATATTTAACAATTACTTTCCTGTAGGAATAGCTTTGATTGAATAAACACTTCCTCGACCTTTCCCAACATTATCGCCATTCGGTGGAAAAACAAAAAATGTTGAAGACGAAATCTTTTTATTTAAAAATAAATTTAAATTTAAATTAAATACTTCATTTAAATCCCAATTAATAGGGCAATTATTAGAATCATCACAAATAGATAAAGATTGTTTTAATGGAGTAAGTGCTTGTGTTAATATATCATTAGTTGAATTAGAACATTCAGAAGGAAGTGAAAATGAAGAAGAGGAAAGGGAATTACAAGGTAAAAGATTTAAAAATCTTTAAAAAAATAATTGTTTTTTTTAAATAATTTTAAAAACCCCAAATAATTTGAAGGACCATTTGTTTTTGTATTTTTTATATCTAAAGATGTAAAAAATATTCCTTGAGGGCCAACTAAAGCAATATTAAATTGATTATTTGTTGCTGAATTAAGCCAAATTCGAAGTAAATTTTTTCGATGACTAGAGCAAGAAGAGCTATTGTAAATAATAAAAATAAATTATTGGAAAAAATAAAAACAATTTATTATAAATATCAAAAAAAGAGGAAGAAAAATGAGAAAAAAAAATAAAAATTATACAAAACTTTTTTAAAAAATAAAATATTTTACCCATTAAAACGAAATAATAAATCAACATAACCAGCAGTTAAATCTTCTGATTTTAAAGAAAATATATTTGAATTATTTGCCTCAATAATAACAAAATTTTCTTTTGAATTAATTTTAGAAATCGAAAAAGAACATTTTGAAGGAAATAAATTAAATAATTTAATTAAAGTAAAATCTTCTGTTGATTTAATTAATGAATTGTTATTTGATAATAAAAGTTTTTGAATATTTGCTGAACAAAAACAAGCTACAGAACATAAAAATATACCAATAAATATACGGCGAAGATAACTAGAAAAAATAAAGTTTTTCTAAAAATGAAAATAAATTTACGTGTTTAATGATAAACATTGACTAATTGAAGGAGATTTGAAAATAAACATCTAGTAAATATTTTTTGTTAAAATAAATTAATTTTAATATTCTTTAAAAATAAACGTATTTATTTATTTAAAGAATTTACTAATTGAATGATATTTTCAGGGCTATTCTCAATTAATTTTTCTTTATGTCTAGGAATATTAACGTTTGTTTCTGAATAGATATTTTAATATATTTTTTTAATTATGGATAGTAAAAATTTAACATTTTCCTGGAAAAATAACTACCGAACATGCTAAAATTTGTTTCAAACTCTCGTTTGAGGGGGTAATTATTTGAGAGGGGTAATTATTCGAGCATATAAGCTATTAAAGAGAATACGGCAGAATTAATAAGAAAATAATCAAAAAAAAACATTTACATAAAATAAAGGCAATAATAAAATAACAAAAATAGGCTGTAATAAGCAACAAATTTGGTCAGGCGGCAAAAAAGGTAATTGGCCAATAAATGGTAATTTAGTGTCGATATTTTGAATTTGTGATATATTAATTGATATCTAAATATAATTTAAATTAAAAATAAATTTTTGTTTAAATTTACTAATTTAGTTCGAAGAGCCCAAAAAATTGAAAGTGGCAATAAAACAAAAGATATTTGAATAACTGTTTGTAATTCTCCAATAAATTTTGTCTACATATTTTTTAAATTAATTTAAAAAAATATTTATTTATCTCTTTTTACTTGTTCACAAATATTTTTTCTTCCAAAATCACATTCTCTATCTCTCTGACAATTATGGTCAATAAGAAAATGTTCTAATAAATATTTAGGGGTTGGTTGTTTTGTTGAGGTAATTAAAGGTTTTCGACGATATTTATTAATTAATGATTGTTTAATTATTTTAAATGATTTAATAAAAATATTTTGATTTTTATTTTGAGGAATAAATTTATAAAAATAATTAGATGTTCCAAATAAAATTACTTTAAAAAAAGAATTAATATAATTTAAATAATTAAAATAACCAATAGAAATTAAAAGTAAAAATGTTGCTAAAGAAAGAATATTTAATGAAGGTTTGTCTGTTGGTATTTGAGAGAAAACTTAAATAATTTTTTAGAAAAAGCTTTTTTTAATTAAAAATACATTTAATTATTGGAAGTAAATAAATTCCAAAAATTATTGAAAATTGTTCCAACGAATAAAACAAAGCAAAAAAACATCCAATTTGGGTAACATTAGGCGGCTTAAATTGATCAGCCCCATAAGCAGCTAAAACTGCTTTAATACATCCACAGCCATAAGAAAGAAGAAAAAGAGCAAAAAAATCAAAATAACTTTTTTAATTTAAGAGAAAATTATTTAAAAAAAATAAATTTTACGGATGGAAAAATCCAGGTAATGGAATAAGTGGACTAAATGTAATTAATGCTTGGCCAACCAAATAAATTGGAAAAAACCAGGCAAGAGTACTTTAAAAAAAATATTTACACATTTATTTTCTTCTATTTATTAATTACCCATATCTTCCATATTTAATATCACACATAATTCCCCCAACAATTGCAGCAAAAAGAGTAACTTGAATAATTAATTTTTGTGAAGTATTGGCTGTTAAAATATTTATTTTCAAATTATCAATTAAATGATTTGAAAGTGTAGCTTTAAAAAAAGAATTTTTAAATTAAAAAATAAGTAAATAAATTACATTTTAAAAAATAAAAGGAAAATCTTTCCAAAAATTGAATTCCAAAAATTATTAAAGATAATTTTAAAGGCCAAACAGCTAAAGGTTGTTTTAATTCAAATGGAGGTTTTGTTTGACTTTTAATTGAATTAGATGAATTAGTCATTGTTGAATCTACTAAATTATTATTTGTTTTTTCTGTTTCTTTATTAATTATTTCTGCTGCCATTCTTTAATTAAGTACTCCAATATTTTATTTGTTTCTTATTTCAAAAATATAGTATGTATGTATTCCAAATAAATTGTTTTTTAATGGACAAAACAAAAAAAAATATTTTCGAAATTTATTTTAATATCCTCATTATTTAAAAAATAATGAGGAAAATAACAAGTTTTCTCAAAAAAGATTTAAAAAAATTATTTAAAAATATAACATAAATTTAATCAAACAACCTTCTCTCTCTCTAAAAACGTAATCCCTCAAAAGTGCTAAATTATAGAGGGGAACCAATTAGGATATTATTCGAAAATAATGTTTAATGAAAATTCTATTTTAGAGGCATTCAGGACTGATTCAAAAAGATGGAAAATCCAAAAAATAATTATAAGTCAAATCAATAATGTCTATATTCTTCACAAAATTCTAAAAATATTTTTAAATTGTTCAGAAAAACCAGCCAGTTTTAACCGACTATAACTTTTTTTAATTTTTTAGAAAAACGATCGATCATTCAAGACTGATTCAAGAAGATGGAAAAAAATAAAAAGCTCTCGTTAAACTGAATCTTTTCCCCAACAGAACACGGATATCTAGTCTGATACACATTAAAGTGTTAAGACCCGATAAATTGAAAAACATAAATAATCCAAGAAAAGTCTGGAGCCAAGACTCGGCTGCTTTTAAAATTTTCTTTAAAAATTTTAAACATTTTATTAAAACCTTTTTTTAATTTTCCTTAGAAAGTAAGAAAAAGTAAAAGGATTCTCAAGTCCAAAAATTCACGTATCTGAATGGTCGTACCCTTAAATATACTCTGAACCGGGTACTCTGATCATCAAATCTGAAACGTCCTCTACACAGAAACTTTTCATTGTGTTCTGTTGAGTCGCACGCTTGAGCGTTTTTCGATCCATAATTTTTTATGTTTGAACCATTTCAAATAAATCTTTTATCAATTAAAAGCTCTAAACACTTGAAATTCTTTTTCCTAGCTGTATCGAAGTGATATCCCTTTATTTTGGATAGATTGGAAAGCACACAGAGAAAAATTGTTCAGAATTCTCAATGCGGACTCAAATGAGCTGCTCCGTTAATGTCATCCTTTCTCGAAAATATTTTTGATAGTATTTAATTTTTCTATTTTAAATTACATATTTTTAGATTAAGTAAATTTTGGTTAGCCAAAATAAACAACAATGGATAATGATAAACGAAGTAATAGCAACACTCACAAAGCTAATGATACAAATCGTAATGAAAATGGTGTAGACGCAGGTGGGACTAGTTCTGGACAAGGACGTCATCAATCAAGTTCTCATAACCCTTTAAATAATACCCAGTATTTGGTCGATACTGATGATGAAGACTATGCAGACTACACTTTTCGTTCAGATTCTCCTCTCGAATTACTTGACAAGAAAGACTTTCACAATCAAAATAGTGATAGAATTCCCTTAATTCCGACAGATTTTACTTCAATTCACGAGGCAATTCAGAATTTTACGGCTGTTTTTCAATCGAGGTTTGTAAATTTTAATCGTGTCTCTTTACATCTTTATTTGAAGATATGGTGCTCAACATCCCCCATTTTTTGATGGCCCTTTGCAAAAAGCAATTACAGAGGCATTTGACAATCCAAATATTGAAGAACGTCGTCCATTGGTTTTATACTTACATCATGATGATTCTGTTGCTGCTCATATTTTTCCTCAAAATGTTTGTATTTTTTTTAATATAATGTTTTCCCACATAATTTTTAAAGGTTTTGTGCTCGGTTGAAATTAGTAATTTGCTTAAATGTCAATTTCTTGTTTGGGCCTGGGATGTTACTCAAGAACAGAACCGCAAGACTCTTTTTGATTGGATGAATTTGGCTAACTTAGGGAATCTTGTTGAGATTCTTAAAGTATCAAGCATGACTGGAAAATATCCTCTTTTGATTATTTTATGCAAAGATCGGAGTTCCTTTCAACAGTATACTTTTATTTACGGTAAATTGTTTAAAAGTATTAAAATTTTTAACATTTAATGTTTTTACTTAATAAAAAGGTCAAGAAGATGTAGCAAGCGCCATGCAGAAACTTATGATCGGTTTAGACCAGTACCAAGGAATTCGGCATCAAAACCAAGAAGAGGAGCGTGGGCGACTTGAAAGGGAATTATTTCGACAAGAACAGGCACAGGAATATGAGCGTAGTTTGGCTTTAGACAAAGCAAAACAGCAGGAATTACATGAACAAAAGACGAAAGAAAGGTTTTTCTCAAGAATTTATTTTATTTTCGAAATTTTTTAGGGAAGCTGAAGAAAAGAATCTTCGATTACAAGCAAAGAAACAAAGTCGACTTAATGAACTTGCCATGATTTTGCCACCTGAGCCAGAAGAATCTGATCCTAAGGCAATTTCTATTCGTTTTCGTTGTCCAAATGGAGAAATGAAAATGAGACGATTTTCTCGTGATGAAAGTGTGGAAATGTTAATTATTTATGCTGAATCAATAGGTTTTGAGAGGACTCATTTTCGTCTGTGGAATTCTGACAGGCCGAAAAAAGAGGTAAATTTGATAGAAAGATTTGAATGTAATATAATTTTGTTTTTATTTTAGAAGTTTTTGACTTTTTTATTGGCCTTTTTGGAATTTCTATTTAAATTAATTTTTCTTTTTATAGGTTTCAAGTATGAACACATCAAAAACTTTTGAAGAATTGCATTGGCCGAAAAGGGAAAATGTAAATTTATTTTTGTAAAATATTTTAAATAAATTTTATTTTTTAAGATAACAATTGAAGAAATGTAAAATTTGGTTGGACATTTAAAGGGGAAGAAAAGAAACTTTGACGGGAAGGGAAAATATTGAAGATCTTCAACAATAAATATATTTTATATATGTACATTGTTGTGTTATATTGAAGAGAGGGGATTAAATTAATTTTTTAATTGTGAGGTTTTTTAAATATTTTTTGTTAGAATTTGAGTATTCGAATTTCTTTTAAAAATCTCATAAAAAATCCTCTCAATCTTTCTTTTCTTCACCAATCTATATAAATATTTTACACATTTGTTTGTGTATATTAAGAAACAATAATTGTGCATCACCGATTTGTAACAATTTTATTTTATTTTCTTCCCCCATCAAAACATTTTTGTTTAACAATAAATCTTTTTGTAATGTTTAAATGAAAATTTAATTTTAGTTTATCTTTTATTAAATTTTTTGTATTCCTAACTGATTATTGGTGTTGTTCTATCTACTTTCAGAATTTATTGCCTCGTCAATACATCTTTTGATTTTAAAAATTATAAAATTTTCATTTGACAAACTGGGCTTACCCCCCCTCCCCCCTACCACCTCCCCCTTCCCACCACACCACTTGTTTATTCATTGAAATTTCGTTTTTTAATTTTGGAAAAATATTTTCCATTTAAAGTGCTTTGTTTTGAAATTTAAAGAATATCTGTTTACAATTAGCTTTAATGTGTAATCTCAAAATTACCTTACTTGGAAATTAACAAAAATTTGAAACAATTTTAGATTATTTTTGATTAAAAAGTGATGATTTCTGAACAAAAATTTATTGAAGATATTCAACAAATTTGTGGTTTTAGTTTAAAATTATGCAAAAATCCGTGGATAATTAAAAATGTAAAATTAATTTTTTTAAACAAAATTTTAAAAATATTTAAGTTAAATAATAAAAAATGGATGGAAATGAACGATTTTGTTTGTGATGTTTCTGGTAAAAAATATAAAAGATGTTCTTCAATTTGTTATAGGTACTATTAAAACAAAAATATATATTTAAATATTTTTTAAAAAGTGAAGTCTATTCTGTGCCGGTTTTTTGGTTTAATATTTATAATTTTGGTAAATTTAATTGTTAAATTAAAAAATTAATTTATTTTTTTTTTAAATGGAAAACTTATTCCTTTAGAAGATTTTAAGAATTTTGTTTTTCGAAAGGAAACAAATGAAAATGAATTTTTAGAATTTATATCACAAGGAGAACATCCATTCCTTGGAATTGCTTTTTACAATATCCATCCATGCAAAGTTTTTTTTTCTAACTTTAAATTTAAAAAAATAAATATTTAAGACGGCCGAATTAATGCAAAATTTTAAAGGAAATAATTATGTTCTTTGGTAATTTTTTATATTTAGATTTTAAATTTTTTAAGTTTTTTGTCTTTACTTAATGCTACTATATTTTATTTTGATTGGCCTATAGAATTCTTTAAAAATGCTTGTTAAATTAAAATATTTTTCTGTAAATATTATATGTACTATATTTTTTTGTTTTTATTAAAAAGGCTAAAATGTAGGGATGTATTCTGAATTAGATTTCAAAGAGGGAATACCCCCTTATTATAGAATATTTAACAATAGAAAACTCGTATTTATTTGTTTTTGACTGTAGAAATTAAATATAAAAGAAATATTTACAATTAATTATTCACCGAGAATGTACAGAGGAAGAAAAGGCACAAAAAACATGGAAATTTAAAAATAACTAAATATAAAAATATGCCAAAATTTGACAAAAGTTTAGATTTAAAAGGTATTTAGAAGGAAAATGAGGGAAAAGAAAAGATAAAATGGAAAAATTAAAAAAAAGCTCTGGGCTTAAAATATTAATTAATTAATAGAGATATAACAACTAGAAAATATTAATTTTAAAGATATTCACAGAACTTAATTCCCCAAATCTCTATAAGAAATAAAAGGAAAAGAAGAAAAAATAAATTCTGTTTTTTTTAATTCAGTCTCCCCGTATTAAATCAAAAATTTTCCTATTTTAATATCTTTTCATTTAAATTGTTCCATTTGGTTGTTGTTGTTGTTGAATATTATTAACTCCATTTGATTGTTGATGAATTCCACTTGCCGGCACAGCACTACTACTACGTCTTTTTGTTAAAGGAAGAGAAGAAGTATTTATGTTATCATCAAAATCACCATTTGGATTTTTTAAAAAATAAGTAGTCATTAAACCTTTGCCTTTAACATTAATTTCACCACGACATTCAAATTCAAAACCTTCACGTTCAAGAATTTGTTTTGTTTCTTCGGTTACCTAAAAAAATTAAATCCGTATAAAACTTTCTAACAACAAAGCTTCTTTTAAGATAATTATTTCAAACAAAAAATAGGTTATAATCTAAAACTAAAAATTTCATTCCTATTTATCCCTTCAATTCCAATATTCCTTTTTTTACAAATTAAGACGGAACCCAAATTTCCGATACTCATAATTCAGAATATATTTAAAAGTTTTTTATTTAAAAAATATCACTTGAATACGTCCAGGAACACCAGAACTATCCATTCTAGAGGCAACATTAACAGAATTCCCCCAAATATCATAATGAGGTTTTTCTGTTCCAATAACCCCAGCAACTACCGGCCCAACATTTATTCCAATTCTTAAATTAAAATTTCCAAAAGAATGTGCATTAAATTCTTCTAATTGAGAAAATAATGCTAAAGCAAAATTAGCAACAGCCACAACATGGGAAGAACCGCAAGTACTTCCTGTTAAACCTGAGGCTGCCATAAATGTTGTCGATATTGTCTTTAAATAAAAATTAAAAAATAATTAAATATTAAGGTACTTTTATTTTTTCAATACAATGAAATTCTGGATCACTCAAAATCTGAAAAGTAATAAAAAATTAAATATTTATTTATATTAAAAACAAACATTATCAAAATCTCCAATAATTTCATTTAAAACTCGAATACATTCCCTTCCTTCTTGATTAGTATCCATTTCTATTTTTTTTTGAAAAGTTATTTAAATATTTAATTTAATTCAATTTACCCATATAAAATTTATCAAATTCAGTAATTGTAACAAAAATAATACAAACATTTTCCCTTCCTTCAGAATAAAGATCAGACCTTTTAGTTGGTTGGGCACATAAAAAATGCTTTTTGAAAAATTATTTATTAAATAATTCCAAATTAATTTAAATATACTTTAGCAACATGTGCAGGCAATATATTTTCCAAAACTTTTCTATTTTGTTCATATGTTTTTTTAACTTCAGCATTTTCACTTAAAGCTTGTAATTTCCAAATAAAATCAAAACGAGCAATTAATTCAGAACGATGACTTTGTAATGCAATTAAAATAAAAGCAAAAAATACAACAAGTGTAAATAATATTCTTGGCTCTATTGAAGGATTATTTTCACTTAAATAAATAAATATTTTTAAAAGAAATTTTTTAAATTAATTTAAATAAACCAAAATATATTAAAATATTCTCACTTTAAATTTCAAAAAAGAATTGTAAATTATTAACCAAAATAAGTATATCCTTTTAATTTTTAACAACAACAAAAAACTATTTATTTATCAATTTTTATTTTAACAAAATTAAAAAAAATAATTAATTTACTTGCAAATTTTTTGTGTTAAAAAATAATTTTGTTGTAATAATTTAATTGTTGTTGTTGTTAAATTATTTCCTTCTTTAATTATTTCTTGTGTTTTTTGTTGTTGTGATTGTTCATCTTTTGGTATTAAAGAAGGAAAATTTAACATCCAAATAGAAGCTAAAACAGGTAGACATAGAAGAAAAGCAATAAAAACTTTTTCGAGAAAAAGTATAGATTGAAATGAACAAACACATAAAAGTAGTAATAATGCACATTCAAATATTAACTTTTTAAGGGGAAAGGAAAAATTATTTTAGAAAATTTTAGAAAAATTACTTCAGTATTTTTTAATTGTTTTCCTTCACATTTAGAAGGTGTTGGTTGTAAAGCAAAACGTAAAGAAAGGAAAAAAGCACAAACAGAAAATAATAAAAGCACCAATAAACATTTTTGTATACGGCGAAGTCCTGAATGGCGACGTTTACGTCTTGGCAACTAAAAAAATTTAAATTAAAAAAAATTAAAAAAATTTTTAAACCTTAACAAAACGTCGAAATAAAAGAAGAAAAAGTAATAAAGGCAATAAAACAAAAGCAACACCCCCAGCAATTAATTGATCAGCAAAAGCTAATCCTCCAATACCCAAAGCTAAAATACACAAAGCAAATACCCAAAGAAGGTTTGTTATTTCTAAAAGTGATGGATTGGATTTATATTGAAGAAACTAAAAAATTTTTAAATTAAAAAAATATATGATTTTTATTAAAAAAACAAACTTTTTGTTCCATTGGTGCATGTTTAAAGACTAACAAATAAGGCTCTAAAAAATAAATTATTAATTAATTTCAATAAATTATTTTAACACTTTCTCCTCTTTTCTTTTTATTAAACCCCTTTAATTAAAAAAATAATTAAATTACCACAATAAGCATTTCTCCAAGCTTCTTTATTTATAGCTTCAATCCCCCTTTCTAAATATTTATTAACATCTTCATTTATTGTTCTAGATAATTCTCTCCTTAAAGGATTTCCTTGTCTATCCATTTTACCAGTCAATTGGAGTTCTTTACTTAAAGTTGAACGATTAAATGTTGATTGTTGTTGTAATGAATGCTTTAAAAATATATTTTAAAATTTCTTTTTATTTTTTCGTCTTTTACCTCCCTTCCTTCTTCTCCTTCAACAATTAAATAAGTATTTTTAATTTCATGTTCTGCCAACCATTTAGACCGTTCATGTCCATTTCCTGGTATAACCTTAAAAGTTCCTTGTAAAGCTTCTAAAGTATCCTCTGTTATATGAATTCGACTTTAAAAAATAAATTTAATTTTTTTTTTAAATTTATATTAAAAACTACCCAGGTATTCCAGCACTTTCCATATGATTAGCTAAAGTAACATCATTACTCCAAACATCAAATTGCCATTTTTTCAATCCCAAAACTCCACAATGTGCTTTCCCACTTTAATTTTTAATATTTTTTTTAAATTAAAAAATTAATTATTTACCTATGTATTCCAACCCTCATATTTACATTAACATCATAAAGCTCGCGGACTAATCTAAAAAAAAATAATTTTTGTTTAATGTTCCAATTTAAAAATTTCAGTTATTTAATTGGGGAACTTTTCTATCGTTTATGCTTAAATAATTATTGTTAAAATTAAGGCTGTTCACTACCGGTTATTAACCGGTACCCCGATTTTTGGTTTCGGTTCGGTTAACCGATCGTGAACAACCCTAGTTAA